CCATGTATGAATCAGGTTTTGTCTGATCTGGTATATTCTGGTATAATAACAGCATAGAAGTGAATCCAACATAAATCAGTCTTTTCAACATATTTACCTGTCAATAAGCCCATGTCTTGTAATAAGCCCATCTATATATATATTGCTGTCAATGACTTATTTCTATGGTGTAGACAACATATTTTCCTGTCAATAAGTCCATGACTGGTAATAAGCCCATCTATATATATTGCTGTCAATGACTTATTTCTATGGTGTGGACAACATATTTACCTGTCATTAAGCCCATGTCTGGTAATAAGCCCATCTATATATATTGCTGTCAATGACTTATTTCTATGGTGTAGACAACATATTTTCCTGTCAATAAGCCCATGCCTTGTAATAAGCCCATCTATATATATATTGCTGTCAATGACTTATTTCTATGATGTAGACAACATATTTACCTGTCAATAAGCCCATGTCTGGTAATAAGCCCATCTATATATATTGCTGTCAATGACTTATTTCTATGGTGTAGACAGCATATTTTCCTGCAATCCTTGTATAAATAAGACTTTTGGATAAGATTTTTTTTTAAATATCCAGATTGCAAAATTTTCATTTGTAGGAATACAATTTGATTGTTTTAAAAGTTATTTTGAAAATATTTGACCCATCAAAATGATTTCAGCTATGCTGTATCTATAAAAATAATCAGTCAACATTTGTTGCTGAAAAACTGATTTGGAGGTATTTCAAATTTCAGACGTAGTAGTGTCACATTGTGTTTTTGTTCAAGCCAGGATTGATGTTACTGTGATCACCGTTACTACTGTCTAGTGGGGTCTTATTTCTCTATGATAACAGATAATTGTTGGTCCTGCAGGGTCAGTGATAGGACAATCTGTATATCTCAGGGTCATAAATATATCCCTTACTCATAGAGTAGAGGGCTTGATAGACCAAATAAAATTTAAAGTTACTATATATATATTTATAAACTGTATTAAAAATTTGATCAAGGTTTTTCATGAAATTGTTTAAACCAAAGAAATTGCGATATGTAAGTCATGTGAATATATTGTCCTTCAGTTTCATCTCTACAGAGTTTATTTCGGGAGAGGGTTGTTTATTTCGGGAGAGGGTTGTTTATTTCGGGAGAGGGTAATTGAAAACATTATGCTCTCTTCTCTACCTGTAATATAAAACTTCATTAGACAGCTAGTTATTTTCTTTGTTGAAACTTTATTAAGTATATATATAATATATAATTATACAAGTACTGTATGAAATACTCGGTAATTTTATAATGAAAGCTGCAATCAACAGAGAGATTTTGAAAATTCAATTGAAGACTGTGAAAACACTAAACTGTAGTCTTTAGTTTTTTAATCTGGAATTTAAGGTTAAATTGCTTTGTTAGGTATATTTCCTTTAAATGAAACTTAAAAAATGCCTTTCAATCAGATAAAATATTGAATTTCATTTGTTAATTTTCTCTCCGATTTCGTTTGGGACTTATGCTTAATGCAAACATGACTCAAATCCTTATAATTTAATAAATGGTGGTTTTTGTCTCTCTGGGTGGTCATATTGAAATATGACACACTTTCCAATTGAAGGTGAGTCACCAATGAAGGTCATGTACCAGGCTGATTAGATCAAAGGTCAAAGGTCAAATAAGGTGTGGGAACTTTCTGGGTTTGTGTATAAAGAGATGACTGTTGTAAATTAATTCAGTTATCAAAAATCATGTAATATTGAAAAATTAATGCTGAATATTACTGTAATTGATAAAATATTTCATAAATCAAACATGTTTATCAAGTACCATCATATTAAATTCTATTAATACTTTTGGCATCAAGATATCAAACACATCTTGTGATGTCAATTTACCAAATTTTAGTTGATTTGATTATTTGATATACCAAGAAACATAAAGAAACAAAGAAGAAAAAACCAAAAAGGAAGAAGAGAGAACAAACATACTCACACTTATACACTCCACACTGTCTTAGAAATTCCAGGATTCAAACTGGTGAATGTGTTAATTGTGATACTGTCAGTTTTGAGGTCAGATTGTCAAGGAAGTTAAATTTTACTCGAGAACAGTTCCATAATGATGTTGAATTTTCTGTGTATAAAGGGAGGGAACTTAACCAATATCTGTTTGTCTTCTCTAAGTCTGTCCAAAATCATCTCTCAACAGATGTGATTCATGTTTATTTCTTAGTAACATCAGGTTCTACATCAGATGCTTGTTTACATATAAGAATAGGGGCATCCATATCTTTTGGACATTTTGTAGATATTTCAAACGACAACCTGTGTAATTTAAAAAGTAATGTATGCAAGAAAAAACGAATTCATTTCAACTGGCTTAATAATTATTTCCAAGCTTTTAAAAAAATTTTTTATATTTCTTGCATGCTTTTGAAAATTTTTGTTTTGTTTTTGCATAATTGGAATTTTTAATTTATCTGCATACTTTTGAAACTTTAGATGGGGAAAGGGGGAACCCAGTGAAACAATGTGTTTGAGAACAATTCAGGTCCTCAGCAACAGGGTTGATCCATTGCCACTACACATTAATTCTAGAAAGAACTTTTCTCCTTTTATTTTTTTAGCAAATCTTGAATTTTGATTCTATCTATGACTTCGTTTACATGAAGAAGGGTTCAAAGCATAAATTCATATTTCTTAAAAGAAAAAAAATTCTAGCACCATGCATTTCACATGCATTTTGTTGGTGGTCGCAGGTGCTCTGCCTAATTGTTTTAATGTTATTACTTTAAATGTTACATTAATTATGTCGACGTGCTTGGGAGGTTTATCACAACTTCATGTCTGAAGCTTGTCATTGCCAGCAGTTTTGCATAAATTTTTGTCCTTTTTTATGTAGTAAGTCACAGCTGGTAGGGCAAAGCAAATGTCATAAGAACAATTTATTGTGCAAGAAGTATATGTCAACATACAGTGATTTCTATTATTTTAAGCGTCCACAATTTCCAGTGTTATTACAGGTCAGAATATGGAATGTTCAAAATATGTGTGATGTTAATTGATAACGGAGAAATAGTGTCTGTTATGTATTAGTCTGATAGCAGTGATAAGTCCTCTTAATTAGGGGTTTAATGTCTCTAGAAGCATGGGATATTAATAGGAAATATATACCAACTCTGATTGATAGTCAACAGGTGGGCTTATTGTAGAACAATGATGTAACATTTGTTTATAATTCTTATGAACAGCAATATTGCCAGATGAATATGAGAACAGAATCTTGTTTTTCTCCTTCATGAAAAAAGAGTTCCAGCCAGAGAGAAAAACATGGCAACTTAAGAAGCTTGCCGTAAAGGGTTCCAATTACTGACAGTGGATTCCCATTATCTATACCTCACCTATAAAGAGTAGAACAGCTTTTGAAAGGCATAAAAATGGGATGTATATTAAGACAAATTTGTGATTCTTTCCTCTCCCGAAAGAAGTTGTAGTAAAAATTGAAGAGCGTATCATTTTCTGCTTCTCACTTGTACAAGAGCTCTTTAGAGGTTTTATTGCAGATGAAATATATTATCTTGCATTTCATATGATTATATAACTTTCGACTTTTTTGACCTTATAAGGATATGGGAATATGAAGTAGATGTTTCTTTAATGAAGTGTATGCGTTGTATAAGACAGGAAGATGAATTTTGATAGATGTTATATGTAACAAAAGCCTGTCGCTTATTATTTACGCCTGTATAAATTGTGGTATAATTTGACACTAATTTTACGACATTGACTTTTATATACACACGTCATGATAAGAGAATTAAGCCTATGTATATATATGTTTACCTGACTCTTTACTCATAAAACCTTCACTGGCACATTTTATTTTTAAATCTGGAATTTAAAAATAACATTCTTTAAATTGTCAACTGTGTTTAGCACATACTCTGATACAGAAACAAGGTATTCTACTGATTAGATTTCAGGTTATTTACTTTTTAGTGAAAACAGCTCAAAATATAACTAAGATCAATAAAATTGAAGTTTAGGAAAAATACCATAACAGTACTTGTTCTACACATCATGAAATATATTTTAATGGAAGAGTATCACAGACTGAGACCTTGATTATAAATGTTTAAAAAGCAGGAAAAAAAATCTTTTTATTTTTATTTCTGCCCTTAAACATTAAAGACTACAAAGAAAAAATATTTTTTCTCTGTATACATTGTTATGAACTCTCGTTGAGGAATTGTATTCCCCCTATCCCACACTCCAGGGAGTGAAAAATGGTGTTATCAGGTATGGCCATGTCTATTGCATCCTGTAACCCATCTTGAATAAATGTTATCACTTTACATTTTTGTGGATTTTGGATTTTATGCAAAAGGCAACTATTGAAATTCTTCAGATGCATTTTTCAGGGCCCAAAGGTCAAGGTCATCATTACTATTTATAGAAATTTGTGAAACATTAATACTTTCATACATGGGAGTCACAGTGTATATGTATTAACTAGGTATTGAAAATTTGGAGTATATTTATTTATATGCTTTTGTTTACTTCCTATTTTTCAGAGAAATACATAGACTTACTGACAACTGTTGGAGTTCCATCTGTAACAAATGGGGTAGGATACGACACAGGATTGAATGGATTTCCAGCATTTTCTTTTCATGAAAGAGCATTTATACGCAAAAGTGCTGAAGAAATATTTGGTGCAGCCTTAAAGTATCAGAATTTCGCATTAACTTTTAGTGTGAAACCAACCCGAAGGGATGGTGGTTTTATATTTTCAGTGAAAAACCCATATAACACTGTAGTCATTTTTGGTTTATTTTTAGAACCATCATCATTACCAAGAAAGGATAATATAATTTTATATTACACTGAAAATGCCCAATTTATAAGCAAGCAGCCGTCAAACGTTTTAGCTAATTTTACGGTGGATTCACTTTATAACAAGTGGACGGAATTGGGAATTAAAGTCGAAGAAAATACAGCAACACTTTATGTAAATTGTGAAAGAGTAGAAAGTAGGAGAATTGACAGAAATACAGCCCGCCTTTTAGCTATTGAGCCAGGCTCGTCATTATTCATGGCACAAGGAGGACCTAACTTTGAAGGAAATCAATTTGTTGTAAGTAGAAATATTCATCTTATTTATCTCTCTATTTTTTCATAATTGTTTGGCACTGTTTAGGTGTTGTCATGTGACCTTTTTAAGTGTCATATGACCTGTCATGTGACTTTTTAATGTGTCTTGTGATGCTGGTAAATCCTTTGTTACTGATCAAGGAACATACATGTGCACCACAACACTTTGACTACAGCAAACACCATTCATAAATAAGGAAAAATTCAGCTTTCCTGCATTTTGGAAATATCTGTATATTTGTCCATTGCTTTTGTAGCATTACATATTATAGTGTTGGTTACAAAAGACTCATAAACATTTTAAAAAAATCTGATTTAATTTGTATTTATTGATGATTAAGATAAAATCCTTAAATTAAAAACCAAGACCATCATTTTGCCTCATCCTAACATCTTTTAAATGTTTGCATTTGATGAAATTCTTGGTTTATGATGATGTAGTTACATGGATGAATGTAATTCATCATATCAACTTAACTTACGTAGGGTCACGTTATCAGAGTTCTTGTCATTATAAGTCATTATATACATGGATGATGAGTTATCAGGTTTGTTCAAATCAATGACCTTGACCCATTTGACAAACCAATGAAGCGTGGCTGACTTCTGGCCATTTAGCTTTTGTTTCCGTTTGTTTTGGTGTTTTTCTGTTACCACCATTTTACTGCTGGGGGCATGACCATCTTGTTATTGTAGTCTTGTTTCCATTCCTATATAAAACTTCTGTGTAGTTATATCACTGTTATTTGGTGTGTAGTTGTATGATGATAATATACAGGTCAAATTCAAATATAGTTATGGTTGACATTGAAAATATTTATCAAAGGTTTCTCAAAAATATTAAGACCAATATTGAATAGCCTAGTCTAACTCCAGTTGAAATTTTAAAAGACCATAGCACATGCAGCATATCTACTTAGTATTTATTTGGTCAAATATTGCTAAAAAAATATAGGTCATAATTTATGTTATTGTTTTTTTACCTGCTTTTGCAAACAAATTAAATGACACAGATATCAATCGGTAGAATCGTAACATGTTAAAGTGTCACAAGTGAGTTTCATGTTAGACTTGGATATTGTTTTGTTTTGCGTCTTTGAACAAACCTGCCGACCTTTGAACTAATGTTGCTAAATTTTCCTGTCAAATCAAATGATACATGATACACTTTGACACTTATCTCAGTTACATAACAATTTCTTGTTTAAAACATCATCTTCACAACAAATTTACTTATTCCATTTTTGTTTAGGGGAGTATAAATGAATTAAAAATACATGAAGATGTAGGAGAAGCAGAAAGAGATTGTTCAGAGGTAAGTAAAACAGAATTATCCCATCACGTCACCTGATAATGAAGGGGTGTTTTCATATTTTACATCTATTCTGCCTTGTCATGATTACTCTTATGACATCAATATTACTAGGTCAGCGTCTTAATATATATGCTGTTTTTTGGTAGTGGTGAAGGAAGACAAAAGTAGTAAGGCTAATTTGGTGAGCCACTTTTGTCTTTCTCTTCCTAGCCAAAATGTAGCTGGTGTTTTAAGACAATGACAATATATTCTAATTATCCTGCAACATTGATTGAAAATTCAAATGTTTGTTAGAGATATTCAATCTTTCTTTTCTTTCTTTTTGTGACAAACCACTTAATTACTCTGCATGGTTATATAGTTCTATATTTCAATAATTATATACAGCAATTTTATGAATTTTCATAAATAACATTGTTTGATGAAACATATAAAATCATTATTTAAAAGGTTGTTTATATTCTTAAGTGAGATATATAAGTATATTAGAAAGTAATTCTGTAGAACTAATACACATGTTAAAATACATTTTTCTGTAACTGCTGAATACAGCTGGTAGGTGTATTTTGAAAATGGCAGTGCCAAAGTTGCAGGATGAAAATAATACTAATCCTCCAGATCCTTCAGATACTGGGTACCTACAATTTGAATGAGGTAAATGTCATGTTGAAGTTAATAACAGCTAAATCTGTATAATCTCAGTCCACTTTCGGAAAATAATTGAACTTATGTAAAATGTAGCTGAATTTCAGACATCAGGTTTTATTGAAATCATTTAACAATGTTTTAGTCCATATCTGGATCTGGACAGACCTCAGGAGATGACGAGGACGATCTCAACACACCTTCACCATTACCACCTGTAAGTTTTCACATAGGTCTCCCATACTGTATAGTTTGCTCGTCAACTAATTGGGCAAAGGTTGAATGTGCACGGAAGTTTGATGGAAAAACCGATATATTTCATTTATCTTATGATGAGTTTAATTCTTGGTGAAAATCAACTGATCTACGGTGAAAAATGTCCTGGAAAAATATATCAGTATTTGTGTGTGATCATTGAAGTAATAACGACAGTACGGACAAATTAATTCTATTTTTAAATAGATAATACCACAATATTAATTTGAAAATATCTTCTGGCATGAACACTATATATATATATATATACACTGTAAGGAAACTAATTATCATCTCATTGCTATCAACAGAAAGCGTAGGAAATTTGAATTGTGATTAAAAGTGAGAATGAGCAGTCAGATAATCTAAGAAAATAAGTAAAACATTGAACTGCATTCAGTTGGCATTCATATGCTTGTGAATGACAACTAGAAAAAGGCAAATTTCTCATGAAGCAGTAACAAATTGTAAAATTCAAGTGAATGTTAGACAATTCATGAAGTATTATGATATAAATATTTATCAGTGATTTAAACAGTTCATTGGATGATAAATACTGCTCATTGGATGATAAATACTGCTCACTGGATAATAAATACTGCTCATTGGATGATAAATACTGCTCATTGGATGATAAATACTGTTCATTGGATAAAAAATACTGCTCATTGTATAAAAAATACTGCTCATTGGATGATAAATACTGCTCATTGGATGATAATTACTGCTCATTGGATGATAAATACTGCTCATTGGATGATAAATACTATTCATTCAGTGACTGAAACTGTTCATTGAGTGAGTGGAGCTGTTCATCGGATGATGCCATTCATTTTAAGAATGAATACAGTTCATTGGATAATTCATTCAATCGATTGAATGATTGATGATGTTTCTTAAAAGATCATAGATTTATTCAATGTTATTGTTCATTTGTGGAAATGCATTTTAGATTAATTAATAACTTCAAAAGATAAAGTTGGCTTTTTAAACATTTTCTCTTCACAAGATCTGTCTTTTTTCTGAACAGATTACAGATATTGATGAAATTCTACCCGGAAATGGAGAGAAGGGAGAAAAAGGTGACATAGGGCAAACTGGGCCACAGGGAATGAAAGGTCAAAAGGGAGAACAAGGAGCCCGAGGTCTACCTGGACCGATGCCAACTCTACCACCACCTCCTCCTCAACCACCATCTCTGAAGGGAGCTAAGGGTATGTTCTAAGGAATCGTTGTATTCCACAATCTTCTTCAGTTCTTGAAAAAGTTATATTTTCTGCTTTGTTTTCTTAGTCTTTATTGAAGTATATTCCTTGTATTTTAAGATATTCTTAAAAATTGCAAGGATGTTGAAGAAGTCAGGGTACAATGATGAATTAAGATCACATTTATGATGGAAAATATGTAATTTGTTTCTGAAGATATTTTTTTGGTTTCTCTGGTTACCAATTAAGGTAACCAGAGGAACATTTTGTTTCTTTTTTATACCTGTCCTTTTGGACGGTGGGGTAGTGCAGTGGTATAGCTCGTATTTCACCTTGATGTCTGCAGTTCCCCAAGTGGAAGTAAAAAGATGTGGGGTCAGCTGCCGGACCACGTGTGTTTGCCCACAGTACTCCAGTTTTCCCTACATTAAGACTCCTCATGTGCTTCTATCCAAGCTTACAAGACTGATTAATATTATCTGATATCTTGTTTCATATCCGTTTTTTAACAAATTAAATTTATATATCAAATTCCAATCATGTGGTAAAACTTTGGATATTGACGTGTTACAGGCGATATGGGAGAGAAAGGAGACAGTGGAGCAGTTGGTGTCCCTGGATTTCCAGGACAAAAAGGAGAGATGGGCAGTGAAGGACCCGCAGGTTTACCAGGCATGCCGGGTACACCTGGTGAAAAAGGAGAGATGGGAATGCAAGGCATGCCAGTAAGCTTAAACAATTTATAATATAACATTTTATTCTGTTCTCTTCAGATGAAAAATATATTATTTCCTATATTTCAAATTTGGAGAGGGAGTTATTGGTTTTTTAAACAACATAATTTGATAACACCTTTTATGGGGTCCTTCATTTGATAACCTTCAATTTCCAGGTTTGTATCTGTGTAGCACTTGGGAAGGTAGAATGTTACATACCTACACATATATACAGAGTAATGGACCTTGATTTATGTTTAGACACAAGTGATTTCTTAAGGAATTTTGTTTAATATTGAAACAGGATTAAGATAGGAGAAAACCACAGATGAGTATGTATGTTAATGTTATATGCTTCCAAGGTCAAGGTTAGTGTTATTTATAGAATACTAGCCGATATGCCTTAAAACCTTTTCTTTTATAGTCTAACTTAAATTGGGCTGTTGGCATGTGTAACAGACATTTTGTTCCATGATAAGGAGAGTAATGAGGATTGCGGTCAATGAATCTACTTTTCCATTGTTATTCAACCCTAAATGTCTTATAGATGATTTCTTAATGGACGTTTATCCATACAAAACTCAAATTCTGTGACTGTATACAACAGGGCAATCCAGGCATTGGGACAGCAGGACAGAAGGGAGAGCGAGGCGATGCAGCAATTGTGGACCACGACGAGATTGCAACCATCTTACTTGGCATGTCTGAATTCAACATCAAGGGTGAGGCTGGAGAGAAAGGAGCCATGGGAATGGATGGTCCTGCTGGTCCTGAGGGACTTGCTGGAAGAGATGGGCTCCCTGGTGCCCAAGGAGAGCCAGGAATGATTGGACAACCTGGGCAAATGGGACCAAAGGTGACAATCAAGTTTTACAGTTTTTATGGCAATTAAAACAAAATTGATACTTTTTTGACAAGTATAAGGTTTTACTATATGTTATTGAGATTTATCTTCTGTATGAAATAAAGTACAACATATAAATTGTTTACAAGTTTCATATCTTCTTGTTTCCTTGATATTGGAAGACTTCAGTATTACAAAAAAGTAAGAAGCATTCCATAGCTTTAATCAAAGTTGTTGTGAATCAAGATTTCAATGCCCCATTCCCCTTTGGCTTAATACTATTTCATTATCTAGGTCTCCTTACCTGAGGCATATTACTATTTCATTATCTAGGTCTCCTTACCCGAGGCATATTACTATTTCATTATCTAGGTCTCCTTACCCGAGGCATATTACTATTTCATTATCTAGGTCTCCTTACCCGAGGGCATATTACTATTTCATTATCTAGGTCTCCTTACCCGAGGCATATTACTATTTCATTATCTAGGTCTCCTTACCCGAGGCATATTACTATTTCATTATCTAGGTCTCCTTACCCGAGGCATATTACTATTTCATTATCTAGGTCTCCTTACCCGAGGCATATTACTATTTCATTATCTAGGTCTCCTTACCCGAGGCATATTACTATTTCATTATCTAGGTCTCCTTACCCGAGGCATATTACTATTTCATTATCTAGGTCTCCTTACCCGAGGCATATTACTATTTCATTATCTAGGTCTCCTTACCCGAGGCATATTACTATTTCATTATCTAGGTCTCCTTACCCGAGGCATATTACTATTTCATTATGTTGCATGACCTTCCCCTTCAGATTGTAGCTATTTCATTATCTTCAACTCCCTTTTTTTAGGCTAATTCCTATTTTATTATAATGCCCCCCCTCCTCTCTCTTCCTCTTTGACTTATTGCTAGTTCATTATTTTTCCTCTCCCTCCCTCTATCCCCAACATTTATTACAGGTTAATGCAGTTTCTGTCTTCATATTTATCCAAAAAAATTTACAATTGATTCCATATTATACAAACGATTGTGTTGCATAAGTGCCCAATTACAATGCCAATTCAGCTTGTTTTTATTCTTCTTCCTTTTTCTTCTACAAAAAAACAAGGCTCTCAAACCATTCACTCACACGCTTTACTGTCATCACACAACAATTGGAAAAAGAAAAAGTTTACTTTGTATATCAAAGTCAGTTAAGTAATTTAGACCTATTTGTTCCTACAGGGAGACAAGGGTGAAATGGGAATGGGAATTCCAGGATCTGATGGTTTACCTGGTCCTATTGGACCCCCTGGACCTACTGGTCTTACAGGTCCCCAGGGTAGGCCAGGACCACCAGGGCCCCCAGGACCAGCTATGGTAGTTGAGGGGTCAGGAGAAGATTCTGTCGGAGAGATGGGTCCTCAAGGACCCCAGGGAGAAGCCGGTGAACCTGGTCTTCCTGGACCAATGGGAATCCAAGGCCCTGTGGGACCTATGGGTTCCCCTGGAATCCCAGGATTACCTGGAATGAAAGGTAGGTCAAAGGTCAAGTATTACAGGTTTCCATGACTACTGGATTTTGTGGATTGGTTTGTTAGTGTTTTCCTGCTTGTATGTTGATGGCTTTAATTCCTGTAATTTAAACATGTAGTCATGGTAACCTGAATAAGAAGGGAAGTTGTGTAAGTGAAGTATGTGTTTGATTAACGTGATGAGCCATTCACAGTTAAACATTTTTTATTGGACTGCATTGACCTTCTGTCTACTTGAGAAAATATTTACTGCAATGTTGCAAGTCTAAAGACCCTTTTTTGAAACTGTTGAGATTTATAAAATTCTAGGTTATCTGAAAGATGTTTGTCTATATAATAGAACATGACTTACCATTTTAATCTTTTGTGATAATATTACCATTTAAGATTTTTAGCATTTGTCTTTCACCTTTTAGTTTTTTTGATGTTGCTTCCTTTTTGGGTCGCTGTGTGTTTCACCGATTGATAACCCTAATGACCTTTTATGTGTTGATGGGCTGTTGAGAATGTCATAATAATAATGATTGTTTTACAGGAGAGCCTGGAGTATTTGCCTACAACATGTCTGACTTAATGGGACCACCAGGAAAACCAGGTGTTCCTGGAACACCAGGCTTACCGGTAAGTATCTGTAAAACAAAGATTTGTTGTTGTTTACAGCTTTGAAATATCTTTCACTTCTGTATATTCTCTTTCTCTTGAATTGAAATTCATTTGTTAATGAAAATTTTTTTTTTTATTGACAGTTTTCTATTTGAAATAAATATAGAATATGAGTAAATGTACCTTAAAGTAATTGTCAGAGTTTTCTTAGAAATATTTTGATGAAAAAAAAACAAATATGAAATAAATGACGATGGACTGCATCAGTCCGTACTTTCTGTTGCATGCTGACGGAAGTATTGTGAAGGTAATGTATATTGGGTGCTGGCCTTTATTTTCTGTTTTTCTAAAGCCATTTGATGTTTGTCATTAAACTCCTGTATACTCTGCTCCTGTAAATTTAGTTTTTTGAAATTGAAATATTAATTCAATTTTCTTTTTAAGTCAGAAAGTGAAAGTGAAAAAGTAAAATACATAGAAAAATGTTCCAAATTTTCAAAAGTATATTTGTTATGAGCTTTTGATGTAACGTAGTATCTTTAAGTTTTTAGTTTGTACATGTAACTATAACTTTACGTACATGGTTTAATTATTTCAATGTCTAAAGCTAAGAAATTTTATTTAAATGATCGCAGATGATAAGGCTGAATAGATGAATTTGAAAATGTTGGTTGAATATATCAAAAATATAATTGGTGTTGTTTTGAGTTTACAAAACACATGCTATTTCCATTTTAAGTTTTGATTAATTTTTTATCCTTTTTTCTCGTTTTATTAAATCTAATTTTTTTCAATATTATCTGTTGTTGTCTAAGTTTTGTGTTGATGGAGATTTTTTGTAGACATTCCTCAAGTTTAAGACAAAGTTTTGACAAAGGATGGTTACTGATTGCAAGTGATATTTCTAGGAGACTTCTTGTTGATTATTATAAAATTGATACAAGTAGGATCTTACGTGATTGTCCGTTTGATACGTGAATTGATGAAACAAATTGAATTTTTCATGTAAGCAAGTCTTTCGCCAGCTAAAAAGAAAAATTTGTGATGAGTTTCTTAGATTAAAGAAATGGTGTGAAAATGGACAAATTTTCCAACAAAGCTTGGATGAAATCTTTCACAGAAAGTTCTAAAATTGGATATGTTTGTAAGCTGCTTTATAAAAAGGTTACAGGAAGTTTGAGTGTATGACAAAAATGTAATATGAAAATTGTTGATGCAAATTTAAAAAAAAAAATAAAAACTAGTGTGGTTCTGGTTTACCTGTGCACATTTTTATGTTGATTGTAGACAGTTATATTAGTGTCAAGATCTATATGCTGAAATAAAGTTTGTGAAATAATTTCTGTTAGGATAGAAAATCATCTTTACTTGCCAGTAATTTTCAGCTTTATTCTAATCCTGAATAATCTCTAAAAATTCTCTAAAATTAATTTAAGTGTTCATACAAATATTATGTATATTCAGGGCATGACTGGAGCATCTGGAAATGATGGACAAAGAGGCCCCTTGGGACCCAAGGGAGATAAGGTAGGTGGTTCACATCAATGAGTTAGTCAGATGTCAACTTTTTTGTTGTTCTTCTGCAAAAAGCATTTGCTGAAATGTCTAGCAATATTTCGGCACTATCTGAAATGAAATGCAGTGTTATCACACTGAAATAACACAGCTGCAATTATATGAAAATACAGCGACATTAATGTGGTGTGAATTCTTAGTTAATAATTTGTTATTGTAAGATGAACAGGTTTACTCAATATTCAACAGATGTGCCTTCATGTTGTGATATAGTAAACAAATGGTAATATATCACAATGGTACAATTGCTGTTATCATGCTTTAAATATACATCTGTAACAAAGGCAGTACATTAGAAAAAAATGTAGTACTGAATCCTGTATTGTATCTCAATCACCGAGAAATTGCGTGAAAAGTTTCAATAACAGGGCACCTGCTATGGGATCCTTTTTTATCAAGTATGTGATTGTGATAAACATATACATTTAAATATACTATGTAGAGGATTCATGTATGATAACACAACACACAAAGTGTAGGATGAAAAGGAACTCCACAAAAACCTAAAAAAAATTAAAGGATTTATTTTTATTAAAAAAAAAACAAAGTGATGAACATTCCCAAGACAATCTAAGTGCTTTATTTCAAAGACATACTGTTACAATATTTATTTTCCTGAAGGGAGAGAGGGGACTTCAAGGAATGGCTGGGATACCAGGTGCTGATGGTGCAAATGGAATTTTTTTTGTATTTTTAAAAAACAAAGTGATGAGTATTCCCCAGACAACCCAAGTGCTTTATTTCAAAGACATGCTATTATAATATTAATTTTCCTGTAGAGATGAGAGAGGGGACTTCAAGGAATAGCTGGTTGCCAGGTGTTGATGATGCAAATGATTTTTTTTTTTGTATTTTTAAAAAACAAAGTGATGAGTATTCCCCTGACAACACAAGTGCTTTATTTCAAAGACATGCTATTATAATATTAATTTTCCTGTAGAGACGAGAGAGGGGACTTCAAGGAATGGCTGGGATACCAGGTGTTGACAGTGAAGATGGATTTATTTTTTTTGTATTTTTAAAAGTGATGAACATCCCCAAGGCCTTCTGAGTGCTGTATTTCAAAGACAGAATATTATGATTATCGTTTTCCTGTAGGGAGAGAGGGGACTTCAAGGAATGGCTGGAATACCAGGTGTTGATGGTTCAGATGGACGTGACGGAAAGGCAGGTCCTATAGGTCTTCCAGGTCGTGATGGTACCAATGGAGTGATGGGCCCTATGGGACCCCCTGGCCCACCCGGTCCTCCGGGAACTGGCATAGGAGGGGATGATGATGATTTGGTTGTGGTAAGTAGAAAATATATAATCATTGGAAAGATTTAACAAATATTTGGTTTTTCAATGCTATTTTAACTACACTCTAATGCTTTCATATTTTATTCACTGCATATATTGATCAAACACACATCGAGTCAATGTGTTACTGTCAGGGTCTGGACTAATTACAGGGCTGTGATACTGTATATATTGATCAAACACACATTGAATCAATGTGTTACTGTCAGGGTCTGGACTTATTACAGGGCTGTGTTACTGTATATATTGATCAAACACACATCGAGTCAATGTGTTACTCTTAGGGACTCGACTTATTACAGGGCTGTGATACTGTAAACATATTTAAGTGATAATCATATTTTAGCTCTTTTCACCCTGTGAGTATTGTACTTAAATCTGATTGAGCTAATAAAGATTTTGTATGTTGTTTAAATAACAAATATTATGGATGTGCAAATTTTTATCCTTATCTTTTCCCTAATCGCCAAAAAGTAATAGTAAGCTAGACTTTGATAACACCAAGTTAGTATGTTAAACAGTATCATACAACTTGCTAATTCTGCTGAGCTGAACTAGACTTTGATTTATGATGTGTTAATTGGATATTTTTCTGAGCTTGGTGACAAAATAAAAAATGTTAAAATTTCATAATGGAGAATAATACATTGCAAGGAGATCTTAAAAATTACAATATACAATGTATTTCATTCTTTTCTCCTGAAGGGATCTGGAGGTGGCAGTTGTGATTGTGAAGGCGTTGTTGGCCCTATGGGACCTGCTGGACCAACTGGTCCTCGTGGAGTTCCAGGACTGCCCGGTGTTGATGGCCTTGAAGGACAAACTGGGCCGAGAGGAGTGGCTGGAATACCAGGAAGAGATGGAGAAAGTGGACCAAAAGGCGATCAGGTATGTGCCATTCTGTTGTGTATAAAATGTGACCGTTTCCATGACAATGTAGTCTTATGAGTGTATTACTTATTAAGTTGGCTAAAAAGATAAAATTAAGATCCAGGCTGTTACTATTATTTGATATAATGTATCAAGGGAGATAAATCTTATTCTTCTTCCCCCACGTCAGTTTTTGTTACTGGAAAAAATCAATGACATTCATAATTAAGAGTTATATATAGAAACTATATGGGTAATCTTACTTACAAGAACTCCTCATTCCAGAGGAAGAATACTGAATGATCATCTGAATTGTGTATAGATTCAAAACTCCAATTAATGTAGCTGCTTAAGATACCTTAGTGTAAGGTGTAAGGTATTCATTTGATTTTGAACATGCAAAAATATTCTTGTTGGAGTTTACAAAATGATTTGATTACATTCAAATCCTTTACAATGCTATTGCAAGGATTTATCTTAAAGAAAAAAAGGTATTTGTTCCTAGAAAAAAAATGGTAAAAATTGGTTTTGTCTGATAAAAATGTCCTTCAAAACAGTGTATTGAATACATTGATTACAGGGTGCTGCTGGTATGGATGGGGAGCCAGGTAATCCTGGACCCCAGGGTCGAGCAGGTGCTCCAGGGGTGCCTGGCACTCCTGGTACAGATGGAGCAGATGGAATGCCAGGAATGAAGGTAACCATTATTCAAACTCCATTTTAAATTTTAAAATTTAAATTCTCTATTAAATCGGAATGAAGATTCTATTCTGGTAATTGTCATTTGGTTGATACTGAACATTCTTTTTACATTCTTCATTATTTTATCATACTCTTCAGGGTGAGACTGGTGCTGATGGTGTTGGTATAGTTGGACCAGTTGGGCCTGCTGGAGATGATGGTAGAGACGGCGCCACAGGACCTCCTGGTCTCCCTGGACCCCCAGGTCCTCCAGGTCCCCCTGGATCTTCAGTTATGGTAGAAGGTGTTGGATCTGGAGAGGAGGGTGCCATTGAGTTCGAAAGCGGAGTATCTGGTGCAAAGGTAGATCTTCCTTACAGTACCTCTTTCCTGAAGTGTTATTTGTGAATACCCCATCTGCCAGTTTTGACATTTTCCCCCCTTTTTTAAAAGATTTAAAATATCTCTGAGTTAATAAATTCTTGATGATATTTAATTCAGCTTTTAAGAAGCTGATAATGATTCTGATATGAGGATTTGATGGATTAGAGTTTTTATTATTAGGTACAATGATAGGAGTTAATTGAATTTTATAAACTTGGTTCCTGTTTAAGATGACATTACATGTACTTCGTTGGATAAGGCAATATTTACACTGCTGGTATTGTCTATAAAGCAGATAAAACTTACTATTCTGAAACACCTGGTCTCATTCACCTTGTTCTGTTTCAATGGTCACAATGCAAATCTTTCTTTTGTTCATATTTTACCCTAGTTCCATTGGTTTTAAGTTTGAATCAAGATTTTGTTAATGTGTCAATAGATTTATTTTCCATTTTTTTTATATTTAATTTGACTGTACTGATATAAAATGTCAATCAATATTGACTAGAATTTTACCAGCAGAAAAAAAATCGCCTATCAATGATGACAATGCCTGTATTATGACTGTATAAAAACAACAGGAAAATACCAACATATCAACATAATCATAACTGAAAGTCAAAAGGGCAAAATATGCACAAAAGAAAGATTTACTGACAGACTCCTGGAAAACGACAAGAAGAATAAGACCAGGTGTTCTGGAAGAGTAAGTGTCTTCTGCTTAGAATGAATTTATCTGACCTACAGATGTTTACTGCTGTGTTGATTTCTCATTGATGTATTCTTTTTATCAGGGAGAGAAGGGAGATGCTGGTGTGGCTGGTCCAAGAGGTATTGATGGTTTCCAAGGCAAGAGGGGGCCTGCTGGACTCCCTGGACCTGCTGGTCAGGATGGGAAAATGGGACATCCTGGAGAGCCTGTGAGTGATCAAATAGTTGTGTTTGAATAACACAATTTCTTAACTTTTTTTTGTTTGTTAGAAGACTTCAGGACAGAGAGTTAACTTGACAACAAGATCAAAGTACTTGAAAATACCTCCTCAAGGCCTTCAGTTCTATCACTTCAAGCATGTGTTAAATGGACAACATTGCCATCAAGAAGTCTTTCTGAAATTGCCAAGGGCCACAACTTCTTGAAAATGTTGGTGGTATTAATGGCTTAAGGTCTAGCTATCGTTACCAAAGAAAATCTAAGCCCTCTTAAATAGTAACAACTCGTTGAAATTAAACAAGATACTGTTATCTTAAAGATGTTTCATACTAAAACAATGTGCAATGTATCAATGTTATGGCCCACAACCATTAATTACAAAGTTATTGCCCTTTGTTAAAATTTTGTGTCTGGAGCATAACTTAGCTTGCATTTAAACAAGAATAATGAAAGTTAGTGTATACATTGGTCATACTACGAGGATGTAACAGTGTACAAAATTCAGGACCACAACCCCTTAAGTACAGAACTATTGCCCATTGCTAAAATTTTTGTGTTCAAATTGAGTCTTAAAGGACTCGTTTACATAGAAATTCACCGTAATTTTTAAAACTTGAGGATGAAGTGATGGTTACTGTATATGTGCTTATGATGTAGATCATCTAATATAGGTCATCATGCATGCATTTTTTTTCCGTCAAATCTTTACCTTGAAATGTTGTTGATAAAGGGTCGCAAGGGAAATGCAGGAACACCAGGACGTGATGGAATGGATGGTGCACCAGGACCACAAGGGCTTCAAGGAATCCAAGGAGCCCCTGGAGAAGCTGGTCTGCCTGGACTTCCAGGTGACGAGGGACCTGCTGGTCCCGCAGGACCTGCTGGTGCCCCTGGTCTACCTGGACCACCAGGGCCACGGGGAGTAGGTGGAGATGGAGAAACAGTGATTGGCGATGGTGAAAAGGTGAGTGTGATAGATATGATTATTTCTGTATGTGCATTAACCATATTTATACTTAAAGTAGCCAAAAGGGCTAGCGCTTTACCACAATCACAAAGTGAGGAGCTTATTAGTGGGCACTGAAATTGTTCTTGTTGAAAATGATTTCATTGAACATCAGCAGATTTGATTGAACCTCTAGCTGAATTGTAAAATACAATGTACAAATTGCTGACATTCATATAACAATATTGTCTTTGTAGGGAAAAATTTCCAATTCAAAATTCTCTTTTTCATAAATACTACTTAAATTATGAAATGGATCTTTTTAATTGATGCCCATGAGCAGATTTATAATTTACTCAATGGGTTAGATAATTTGCCTTCTCACATGCATTGCTTTTCTGTGAATGACACTTCTCTACAACAGGAGCCCACTTCAACACGTTCTTCTAATCAGATTGTTATGTCATAGCGAAGGTATTTAAATTCAATAGAGGTATGAATTCCCTGTTGAGACATTTGTCTCAATGTTAAGGAAACAATTAAAAGCCATTTCAGTTCACGTTTGACTTTTGTTTCAGGGAGAGAGGGGAGAAGTTGGAACACCAGGACGTGACGGGCTTCCAGGAGAACCAGGACAGCCAGGACCCATTGGACCACGTGGATTCCGAGGATCTAAGGGTGCAATTGGCATGCCAGGCTTGATGGCAAGTGACTTTAATATCTCTAATAAATACTATTAGGTCATTTAAAATAACAGTATTTATTCAGGGTATAAGCCGCAGTGGTATATTAGCCTCAGAACCTGATTTTAGTGATTTTTGTTGATCTAATCCACATTTAAGCCACACTGGATTATATGTCACGCCCTTTCCTGTGATATGGTGACCACTATTAATTGTTGAAGTTTGATATACAGGTAACAGATAACGGCTTATAATCCAGAAAATACACTACAATATACTTAATGATAAACCGGTATACACTGGTTGAAAAAAACGTATAAGAAAATATAAGGAGCTAATTAATTAATCGTTGTAGGCATAAAATCTGTCATTGATGTATTTTATACCATTGCAGGGTCGTCGAGGATGGAGAGGAAGGAAAGGAGAACGTGGATATGGACAAAGAGGACCCAAAGGTGAACCAGGTGTACCAGGTGTAGTAGGAGCTGGTGGAGTAGTAGGGTCAGGATCAAAGGTAATGTCAACTGAGTCAGAGGTCAGATAGGACATTATTAGAGGTCATGAGGTCAAAGGCCATCAATGCCATCTTTTGAAAATATTTTGAATTAGTTTTGAATGAGATCAGTGAGTCCTTATTGTAGTTTTGAATATATTGTTGATTTCCAATTTTTTAGAGTCATATTAGGATGAGTCAGTATAATTTGGAGTCACCGATACAACTTTTAATGCCTGTTTGTAAATTAAAGCCTTAATATTATTGGGAATCAAATTTTGGAAGAAATGTATAGTCATTATGATAATTTTATAAAATGTGGGATGGTTGTGATGAATGATTGAACTTAGATTCATTTAGCTATTGAAAACATTTTTCAGTGCATGGGGCCAGATAATATAACAACTCTATATAACTATATAACTATATAACTAAATATACAATTCTATATTTAGACTCTTATATATAATACCAGGTGATACTTCAACTGTGGGAAGATTTCTGTTATTCACAAATTTGCAGTTCTGAAGAAAATTCAGTGGTTGAATGTTTTTAGCAGCCTTTCTTCCTCACTGAGTCCAAGATTATCCTCTGTTGATCCAACCAATTGCCCCGGTATGGTTCAAATATCAGTACTAATCCTCCAAGTAATGGGATTTGTATTGGAATGGGTGTGTATTACTTCAATTTCAAGGGTATGGCTTCTGTTTTTAGGATGAGTCAAGTACTAAATCATGTGACTTTTATTCTTAGGGTGAGTCAAGCATTAAATCATGTGACTTTTATTCTTAGGGTGAGTCAAGTACTAAATCATGTGACTTCTATTTTTAGGGTGAACAAAGTACTAAATCATGTGACTTCTATTTTTAGGGTGAGCCAGGTGAAATTGGTCTACCAGGGCTTCCAGGTAGGTGAATTTGGTTATAAAGAAGTGTATAACACATTTCTAGATCCAAATATTTATTGTCTAAAAATGATTCAGTTACAATAGGTGTCTTGATAGATTCTTTATTCCATGGTTCAGTCCTGTTAATACTTCCTACTGTCTTTTTATTATTAGTTCATCATATCTTGTCTTTAGTGATACTAAAAACTTATCCAGAATCGTGACTGTTGTGATATAACTTACACAGAATCGTGACTGTTGTTATATCACTTATTCAGAATCGTGACTGTTGTGATATAACTTATTCAGAATCGTGACTGTTGTTATATCACTTATTCAGAATCGTGACTGTTGTGATATAACTTACACAGAATCGTGACTGTTGTGATATAACTTACACAGAATCGTGACTGTTGTCATATAACTTATTCAGAATCGTGACTGTTGTGATATAACTTACACAGAATCGTGACTGTTGTGATATAACTTACACAGAATCGTGACTGTTGTGATATAACTTACACAGAATCGTGACTGTTGTGATATAACTTATTCAGAATCGTGACTGTTGTGATATAACTTACACAGAATCGTGACTGTTGTGATATCACTTATTCAGAATCGTGACTGTTGTGATATAACTTACACAGAATCGTGACTGTTGTGATATAACTTATTCAGAATCGTGACTGTTGTGATATAACTTACACAGAATCGTGACTGTTGTGATATAACTTATTCAGAATCGTGACTGTTGTGATATAACTTATTCAGAATCGTGACTGTTGTGATATAACTTATTCAGAATCATGACTGTTGTGATATAACTTACACAGAATCGTGACTGTTGTCATATAACTTATTCAGAATCGTGACTGTTGTGATATAACTTATTCAGAATCGTGACTGTTGTGATATAACTTATTCAGAATCGTGACTGTTGTGATATAACTTATTCAGAATCGTGACTGTTGTGATATAACTTATTCAGAATCGTGACTGTTGTGATATAACTTATTCAGAATCGTGACTGTTGTGATATAACTTATTCAGAATCGTGACTGTTGTCATATAACTTATTCAGAATCGTGACTGTTGTGATATAACTTATTCAGAATCGTGACTGTTGTCATATAACTTATTCAGAATCGTGACTGTTGTGATATAACTTATTCAGAATCGTGACTGTTGTGATATAACTTATTCAGAATCGTGACTGTTGTGATATAACTTATTCAGAATCGTGACTGTTGTCATATAACTTATTCAGAATCGTGACTGTTGTGATGTAACTTATTCAGAATCGTGACTGTTGTGATATAACTTATTCAGAATCATGACTACTCTGAAAAATGCAAATTTTTAATCTAATAATTGAAAAGAACACAGAATATAAACCATTGTAAAAATTAAGCTATACAAAATGGTAACACATATATGAACCAACAGAATTTTGATTGAGTGGAATAATGTTTGATTTGTATGTGATGGCTATAGGTAGTCCCGGACAAGATGGTACTAATGGCAGACCAGGAGTCACTGGCAGGTCTGGTGAAGCAGGAGAAAAAGTAATACATTAATTTATTTCATTTTTGTTCTTTATTAAAGAGAAAACCCGAAAACGAACCCAATGCTTTGTCCTGTTATTCATTATCATTTATATCTAGATCCCACGTAAGTTGTAGAAAGACAAGGTTTGCTCTCACTGATGCTTTTCATCGTTATGGAAACCAACAAAGAAAAGATAACTCTAACATTTTGATACTTTTGTTTGCAGGGATCAAAAGGAGATGTTGGAAGAGAAGGACCTAGGGGACCACCTGGACTCCCAGGTTCTAGTAATATATTTGGAGAATCAACATTGGAGGGACCAAGGGGACCTGCAGGGCCACCAGGACCACCTGGCCGGCCAGGACAGCCAGGTACCCCAGGAACCCCTGGAACCAATGGTGGACCAGTCAACCTGTCAGGAGCATCATCTGTATGTTTCAGTGAAACGTTTTCTTTTGTGCATACAGTTTGGTAAACAGTATCATGACCAGATGTGAAACAAAAAATTCTGAAACTCTTGGTTACATATATGACAATTTGTTGTTTTGACCAGAGAAAACTTGGATTAAAGATAATGTCAAGTATTGGAAATGTTAACAAGTAGATGTCTTTATTATATTTTTACCTGTAAAATATAGAGAAATATCACCTGTGAAAATTGCTTTAACATTAGATTCCCTTGTGAAATATACCAGTTATCACTTATGACACTGTTGAATATACTCTATCATTTCTTGTTACTTTGGTGAAAATTGTTTTGGTCAGTTGGTGAAAATCATTTTGGTCAGATTTTCATGATATCTGTTGTACTGGATTTTGCAATGGTATCTAGTTTTGTAATTATAATTTGATTACACATTGAAAGTTAATAATTTACCTGTCAGTGTCCCTTTATGATAGAATGTGGTATCAGTAGAATCATTACAATATATCTACATAATCAAAATAGGATGAAAATAATTAAATCTATTTACAGGGAGCTGTTGTGTTCAACACAGCCAATGAACTGATGTCTGTGGCCAACAACTTACCCCCAGGAACATTTGTCTACATTAACAACGAAGAGAAGGTTTACCTGCGTGTAAACAATGGTTTCAGATTGATACAGGTATGTTATTTCATCTGATCAGGTGTTATTTTGTATCACATGATACAAGTGTTGTTTCACCTGTTACAGGTGTGTTGTTTCACCTGTAACAAGTGTTTTCTCATCCGATACAGGTGTGTTTTCTTACCTGATGACGGTGTTTTGTTTTATCTTACCTGATACAGATGTGTTGTCTCACCTGATGTGTGTTGATGGTGAACAGCTTTGTGAAATAATTGACATTAAAGGGGATTAAAATCAGTAGCTCACCACACAATTATGCTAGAGACACACACTTTTGATAAGGAAACATGAAATTCTGTGTTGTTTCCATAATAGTATTTTTTTATTAAACTCTCATAAAGCATTCTTTACGGGAAACTCTACTAGAATAGGATGATATGAAATTAAGACCTTAGGATTTTAATCAATCAGTCCTTTTTTTCAAGCAACTCTGATTAATTTTTGTCTGACATTGTATACCAAGAGCAACTACTTGAGCCATTATAGCAAATACACTAAGCTTGAGTACTAGGCATGAAATGAGTGTGTACTGACACCTGTGTATATTTAATTGGAATTATGTATATTATATATACTGGCTTAATGATCACTGTATCTCGTACGCAAATGTAAATCTGTTGTGTTCAGAGTGGTGTCCAGATTTTCTGTATTTCCTCAATTTTTTTTTTTTTTTGAAAAATGGAAAATGAAGAGGAAAACAATAATGAAATATATTGCTGTTTTAATTAAAATAGTAAGACAGGCACTGTCCTGTTTAGACAGCATTATACTATCTATAGACATGTTCTTCTGTAGACAGATAAAGTGTAATCTAGTTCAGCTCAGACAATACTGGTGGTATTACTGTATTATCATCAAATGAATAAGTCTACCTCAGAAAATCCTGTGGTGTTGATGTGAAAACTGCTGTGTTTATGCTACTTTATCTTCTTCTTATAACACAACCAGTAGAAGATTGGAGTGTGACGTTTTGATGACTTAAATGTTGCCTTCATCAGACATAGCACTGATGTATGTAGTGTACAAGATGGTAAGGAATCGACCAACAATTTGGTTGTACTATAATTCTATGTTTGATAGGGTTGAAATTACTAGTAGTGCAACGAGATGGTAAACAGACTATAGTTTGAAATAAGCAGATTCAGCTATGCTTCATTTAACACTTGGTCATATATGTGTGATAGTCTGTGGGCCCCCTCATCTCTGTTGAGCTAAGGGAATATTTTCGACCTTAGTGTACATAGGATTATAGTACAGCCAAGAGAGATGGTAAATTCCTTACCATCTTGTACACTAAGTATGTCAGTGCTAGTATGCTCTACACTGGTCATTTGTCTGATGAAGGTGACTGTGTTGTCATTATAACATCAAACTCAAATCTAATGGTTGTGTTATACGAAGTTTTATTGTGTTGAAATTACCAACCTGAAGAAATGTTCCAAAATGATTCCATCTGGTTTCTATCAGTACACTTTGAATATTATCTTTATACTTGTATACCAGATATATCACATAATTTTCCACAATTTTTTTTTTTTAGTTCAAAATATATTAGTTCATCTATGTTTATCATAAGCGTTTAATGCTTCTTGAACTTTGAAGTCAAGTTTTTGTTTTTGAATTATTTATGTTGAAATATACCACCTTTATACCAAGATATGACATTTCAGTATTTAAACTGTTTCTGATTAATTTTTTTTCTTTGAAACTGATGGTTCTATTTTGTTGAGTGGAATTTTGAATTAAATCAATAAGGACAACATTTCCTTTTAAAAAATGTCTGATTATAACTAGTGGTTGAATTCTGTTGTCTGTAGTTACCTCCCTTTAGCCTTGCTTCCAGTTATGATGTTTATTTATTTTGAGACTTGGTAGAATTGCTGAATAATTCATTATTGTAAGATGTCTGATTATAGCTAGAAGTTGTATACTGTTATCAAGAGTTACCTCCCTTTAGCCATGCTACCAGTTAAAATGTTGGTTTATTTTGAAATTTGGCAGAATTTCTGAATAATTTATAATTCTAAAATGTCTTACTACAGCTAGAGGTTAAATAATATTGTCTAGAGTTATCTCCCTTCAGCCTTGCTGCCAGTTCCTAAATTGATTTGTTTTGGAAGTTAACAAATGATTACAATACATCTGATCATCTGCTTTATGTTTCAGTACTGTCACCATTGAACTAAATTTATCATTTTTCAGGACAGAATTAACAGAAAAAGTGATAGTAGTGAAACACTGTTTCCTTTTCACAAAAATTACTTATTGATATTCTGGTCTTTCTTTCTTTATTTTTTTTTTTTTTTTTTATTTTTTACTTATATCTGAAAATTTCTTTCTCTGGTTCTGATAGACCAAGGTGGTGGAGGTGAGTGGAGCAGTTCATTATAGACCCTGTTTCCCCCTAATTTGTCATCCATGGTCTAGACCATCCTTTGTTGAGGGTCATGCCATTGTGGCCAAGGGTTGAAAGGGTCATTTCTTTTTTTTTCATTATTCAAATTATCTGTTGGCAGGATGCTGCATACTTCTCACACCTTTTAGATCTGCTTGTATCGAATGCTTTCACCTGTATACATATTAATCCTTTACAAAATGAGTTCAGGGAAGTATATGCTAATGTTTCAATGGCATATCTATTTGGTTGTATTATTATTCAAATGTATTGACTTCCAAAAATCAGACACATTATTAAAAATTAAGAGAAAAATGACATCAAATGAGTGATCTGAAATACCATCAATGAGAAATAGAAAAGTCAACTGTCATTGAAATACTAGTATGTTAGCTGTGGTGGATTCAGAGAGTTTCTTGATTTCCTAAAACAATATAGTGTTGTACTTTTTCCCCTCATAATATTTACACATTTTTCTTTTCTAAGGGAAAAAAACTGATGCGATGAAAACTTTGTGAATCATATTTAGATATTAATTTCATTTAATTTTCTATTAAAGCCCTTAAAAACCTACAACCTTCAGCACTTTTGAAAAACCAAGCACTCCCTCGACCCCATCTATTTTGTTGGTTGGTTGACAGGTTTTCTGTTTCCCTGTTTCTCCCTGTCTCCACAGGTGTGCAGGTATCGTCTCACCGACGATCGTCAGTGTTCTGGGGATGTGCCCCATCCATTTCTCACCCTTCAGATTTTACCTCTGAATCTACCATTAGATATCATTGTGAATATGTAAATTACGTACATTTTTACAGAGAAATCTCATTATCTCATCTCTTTATCATACATCAGATCACAAAGTTTGTGAAAAGAATAAAGAATTGTAGTACCAAGATTGTGTGTGTATTGTATAGTGATGAGGGGGATATGGGTTTCCTTACCCCAAGATTGTGTATGTGTTGTATAGTGATGAGGGGGATATGGGTTTCCATACCAGTTCATTGGTAACACCTGGATTGCACTTGTTGTTGATATAACTGCACCAATGGTGAGGGAATATCCATACATATCATTAAACAAATAACATATTAACTAATTTTAACCAGTTACATTTCTGAAAAAAAAAATTATATGAAAGAAAGATTATAAAATTCAATCAGCATTCAGCTGCTCATTGATTGTGTGAGATAAGAGAATCAACGAAAAATGTTGTGTGTCATTGTGCAGTTACAGTCAACTTTTATAGCTATGAACAAATATAAAATTACTTTTCACATTTTGATTGATTAGAAGTTAAAAACAACCTTTTTTCATACGTTTCTGATACAGTTTTGATATATAATATTCCAAGTACTGAAGACTAAGTATCTATACTATGTACAACTGTATATAGATGTTATAATGTTGAGTTGACGGAAAAAACAAACAAAATGGAAAAGATAAAAGATATATGTTCCATTTATGTATATTTCAGTCAAACACTATAACCATTTAGCCTTTCAGCTAGTGGGATTTCAGGTCTTGTGTCTATATTTGGTATCAAGATAATTTGTTGATATTCCTACATTAACGGATATTTTCGAATATTTATTATTGATGGGAACTTCAACAATTATACAAATTATCTTGATACCAAATATGGACAAAGAGGATTGGAAAGCTATTAAAAATTGTTTTCAGAGCAATATTTACAAATGAATAACTTTCTTTTTCTTTTATTTATCTATACATGGAAGTTGACAATGTCTGTTAATTTTGCTGGCTGTCTTATAGATTAATTTAAGGCTTTGTTTCTTTATTTTTTTGAGCACATTTTGTTTTTCTCTGTTATCTTTACTGCTTTGCTATACAGATAGATCACACTGAGGTCATGTTGCACTTAGATGTTCAATGATGCTTGAGAGTTGTGCTTCTTCTTAATCTTTGTCGGAGTGAGAATATTTTAGGAGTCAACTGAATGTTTTATTTTGTTTTCAGATCAATAGAATAAATTCAGCATTTAAATGATTCAGAAGATTAAGTCATCTCAATATTTTCAAAAATATAATGTTTAAGGAACGAGGAAATTGGTGTCAGTAGGAGAAATAAATAGTGTTTGGAAAGATTAAGCAATGAGAATATTTGCTTAGTGTCAGAATGCTCTAGTTGCTGTGTTGCAAATCCGCTTAATCAATCAGGTCAGCCCTATATTGGCTATATCATAACCTGTGCTTTAAAAAAAAATTGTTCAATTGTTTGCTTTTGATCAGTGTTTACAAAAATATCCGACACAAAACTAAACGTATCATCCAATAATTGTTTGCTTTTGATCAGTGTTTACAAAAATATCCGACAAAAACTAAACGTATCATCCAATAATTGTTTGCTTTTGATCAGTGTTTCACAATTGACAATCAATTTTTGGACTCTCTATAGTCAAATTAGTATTCATAAATAATCTAGAACATCATACATACAGGTGTGATAATTGATTACAAGGTCTTTTTCCTTGATGAGCCGTTAAAACATCCTGTCACCCTTGATTTTGAAGTCCTGTTGCCAAATATTAGATGACTAGAGGTTGATGAAATGGAGTTGTGTTTAGCAGAATATGTTCAGAATTACAAAATAACAGTTTGTGTAGAATTTGCTCAACATTAAAATGGTTTTAGTCTGTATATGTTAAAAGAAATAGAACTAGGGGATTGAGTTAGTTGAATATGCTCAACATCATTACCAGGTATTTATGAGATTAATTCAATAGAATTTGCACAAGATTATAATTTTTAATAAAATTTAGATTTTTTATTTGAATAATGACTAAAGTTATATATGTGTAATAATTATAAGGTACATCTTCATTCTACACTAACATCGCCGACATACTGCATGACATGGTCATCTGACATGTAAGGGAGACAACCCACTTATACAATATTCACAAAGGATGATGCCATCCTTGGGGAAATTTTATCTACTTGCATGTTTGCACAACTACAAGGTTTTGATATCAAGCTGGTGTTACTTGGTGGATAATATGTTTGTTTAAATAGAATGTAGAGTGGGTGTTTCATAGATTCATGAAATACAGAGATTTATCATTTTGGCAGATAATTATAAAATTTGAAAATAAAATAAACAATTTATTTGATATGCTTAAGCCAATATGAAAAGAAAAGAGGCAACTGGATAGGTCATTTGGTAAACTGTAAAATATGTATGTGTACTGCTAAGTAAACAAACATAAAGATAAAATACCAGTGTTGACTGTATAACAATTAGTAGATATTTCATCAGTGAAATTATATTGACATCAGCACAATTGTGACAAGTCTCTGATTAATATACCTAGTGAGTTTTTGAAAAGCTTGGTACATGCAGTCTCACCAGAATGACCTGTTGTTTTGTACTCAAACTTTAACTTGAAACATTTAAGTGGGTTTTTCATTGTACTCCATTGTTCTTAATAAACAGGTTATTGTAGATGTACTTAATTTGGCACATTCAAATTTAAGTGCTTAATCTTTTAGGACAAGGATGAACTGGTGAATCCACAGAAATTTCTGTGTAATGAACATACCAAAACTGATATTATAGCAGACATTATTTAGCACAACACATTTAGCACAGAACATTTCAAGTTGACTGAATTGTGGTACACTACAGTCAACTTGATAAAATGATTGGTAAATGTGATACCTTTATTTACTTCCTATTGATCCAGCAGTTATTGATACAAAATTTGAAAGTGACAGGTTTTTCTGGTCCGACTATAGAAATCATTTGTTGATATGTTAATGATGGATATGTTTTCTGCCACAGTTGGGACATTTCCTGCCTTTGCCAACACCAACCACTGCTGTAAGTATACTATCATATCATGTCTATTCAGAAAAGGCTCAGATGATAATGCCTCTGAATCGCCAATTAATCTCTGATTAGTGTATTACCTATATATGTACATAGTTGAACCTCATTATCTCAAACTCTGCAGGACCATTGGAAAAAATTTGAGATATCAAATATGCAATTAAAGTATGTTAATATGTTTGGCGTAAAGTTTGTCTTGATCAACAAAATTTTTCATGTGATGTGAGTTTGAGATAACGAGGTTCAGTTGTATATATCTTGACAAGAAGATATCTTATAAATTACATTTATTTATAAATCATTAAAAATGATCGCTCTAAACATTGGACATTTTTTTTTTGTTATTTTTTAGAGTACCTTGTCAAAATCTTTGAAACCTTGCTCCTTCATAGTGAAATATTGTTAGTGATAGAGGTAGAACATATACGTGTCTTTAGTCAGCTATATGGATTGGGTATGCTTTTAACAGGAATGCTCTGTGTTAGAAAACTCTTTGACTGAGGCTGATCTTCATAGACACAAGTTGATTATGTCAATTAAAAAATTCATTTCTTCTGTTCAATAACATGTTAGTGATATTTTGAAATAACGAAAGTATGTCATAATTTTTTAAAACATTTTTTAAAAGTTTTTTTTAACAAAATAATATGCATTCTAAGAACTGACCTCTGCAAGGTATGTTCCGAGCAGATAACAATGCACTTTATTGTCATCAAATTCAGATTAAAAAAATCATCTAACACAAACCATGTGTCTGGCTACGAAATCCTCACTCTGAATTAACTTTATGTTTCACTGATTTCATCTAATTTTTCATGGTGTTGATATACTATACCTTAACTAAAAACAGTCTTTTTCATCAACATTTTTAAGATAATTTTTATCATTTTCCAAAGGATAGAATTAAAGATGTTTCAGATACTGCTTTTCTCTGCAATTTTTCAAAGGAATTTTTCAAAGGTTTTAATTAAGGATTTCTTGTATGTGTAATAGTTGTAACTAAAGATAAAACAGATTTATACAATTTTTAAAAGGTACAATAAATGTATTATTTTCTTAAAATATGGAAAAGAATAGTAAATACATTCATGTTAATTAAATTGTGGTATAATCAACTTGATCAAATGATCACTTTCATAGGACATATAGATAGTTTTATAGAAAATTTGAGTATGTTTTGAAAATCTTTATTCAAAATTGTATACATCTGGTTTTATCAGTAATTTTCAAATATAAGATGCACCATCTGAATTTTTTTTTACTTTTCTTTTTGATGTTAGAACCAATCACATAACCTTTAGGGGTCCTTAACATTGTCAAAATGTACACAAAGTTACATTTGTATGTGTTCAGAAATGGTGAACAGGGCCCGGAGCAACTCAGTTTATTGTTATTTAAGTCATGATGTCAGGATTAGCAGTGATAAGTTTTGAAGTTGTTAATGAGGATTGTTTGGCTAGTAAAGTCTTCTTTTTTCACTTAATATTGATAATATTTGAACGTCACCTGGTTGCACATATTCTACAAATTTTCTCTCTTACCCATCCATGTAGGCACCCACCAACGCTCCGGTAATTCATCTTTTCTTACCCTCATCAGCACAATCTTATCTGTTTTCACCTGTCTTTTCTGTTGGGAAATCAGCACAATGCCTGCTGTGCGATATTTCCCTGAATTTCATTACAGATCATCAGTTTTGATGTTGTCCTTCATTGTTGTAGTTTTAATCATATCACACAGTTATTTTATAGTTCATGATATATTCATTTGTTACATTTTAAACACTGTGATTTTCTAAAATTGATTTTAATTTATTCCATGTAATTACTTGTCATTAAAAGTAAAAATTATTTACCAAATTACCACTTGAATCAATTAGCATTGTTTTTCTCATATTATCATAAAAAAGGACGAAAAATTGCCCTGCTGAATTGTCAAGGCACAAATTAGTGTTGTTTATTCAATTTATGAATCATGTATTTTCATTAAATGTCAGAAAAGTTTTGTTAGTGTGAAAGTTTAGAAAAATAAGGAAATGAAAAAATGTTACATTAATTTACAAAATGAATTGCTAAAGTGTTGAATTAAAGCACACTGATACATAAATATGATACTTAAGTTTTGAAATATTAATGTTACCAGAAAGTAATATGTGCATACATATGATATTACTTACCCTGTGTCTTTCTAAAATTATCAAATATAAAATGTTATTCATTCACAGTCACTTATATATTTGCAAACATCTTTAAATTTCTATAAAATTTATTTTCTGACATTTATTGAAACCAATCAGCTTACTGTTCATGTTGAAATTTTGTCTGTCTATACTGTCAATAAGGATTGAGAAATAGAATCTTAAACCTGATATTTTGAGGTAGTGAATTGAAATGTTCCATTTCTCAACCTGTTCCTTCAGGCACCAATCAGAATTCGGGTAACACCTCTTTGTTCTACTATCTCTTCACAAAACTTGTAATTTGTGGCACCTGTCTATTATGTTATTGTTGCCTTGGATACTGGAGCTTAGACACGCAAATTTATTCTCCTGTGCATATGCAAATACATTTCAAACATTCATATTCTTGTTGCCTACACTATGTTGTTTTTCTACAGCAACTTGTGATGTCTTGTTTTCCTTAATAAGAAATATGAAAGTTCCAAACTGCCCTTTGAAGCATATTGCCTTATAAAAAGAACCATTCAGTTTACAGTAATTTGACTTCAATTTTCATATTTCAGTGTAACATTGACAATTTATCCATTGTTAATTTGCATCAAAAGCTTATTTCTGAAAATTAATGTCCACTAAACCAAGATTTCAACAATATATCGTGTTAACATTTTCAAATATAATTGCAGACATTCAGAGATTCAGTTAATTTTACTCTAAATACAAAGTACACAGTGCAAGAAAACGTAGAACTTGTAGTGAAAGTCATGCTGGAAATCTCTTACAAGTTAAATCTCAAATCTTCTTCTCTAGATAGAATGAACTAAACATTAACAAAATTGTCTTTTAGATTGGATATCTGAATCATGAATGTAATCTAAAGACAATAAAGATCAGTTTTGATGACAGGTCTGATTTAAAAATGAATGAAAGTTATAACTCTTGAATCCATTCTTAAAATATTCTCTATTTATAAAGTATTGTCTAATTCATCTTTGTAGTATTTTCATTGTGTATGTAGGTAAAGTACTTTGGAGGGGTGGGTGGGGGAAACAGTGTGAAATTTGGTTAATTCTCATTCTGTGTGGCCCAGGTCAAATATAATAGTCATTCCAATGTTTTATTGTTTGGAGGCAACACGCTGATATGCAGAATAAGATCACGAGACTCTAAATTCTGGAAAGAAAACCATAATTTTGAAAATAGGATTCATCATAGAATAATTTTAGTTGGAGATATACTTTAAGTGCAAATAGGTCAATGCCAAACAAATGAAAGAAATGATTTCGACCTGAAGCAGGTTGATCATTCAGTTGTACTTGTTTTGTTGTTTTGTTTTGTCGTCCTGCTGTTTTATGCCTTAAGTCAAGTGTATGCTCTGTTAGATGAGTAGTTGATATTGTCAATGTAACTTTCATTCTATTAATAAACATTTCTGTTTCAGAAATGATTGTATACTTTGCATTTTTTAATGATAACCATCCTTTAAATGTGGTGGATATTTTACCTCTATTTACTGTTTCATTTTTGTAATAAACCCAGAGAGCTTTTGACTTAGATTAGGGGGTAGTCTTTTTAAGGACAATAAGTCCAGGGAGCTAACTTATTATTTCTTGTACAAAGTAAAGGAATGACTTATTTAGGGACCTCAGGGATTCAACATATCTCTTCTTACTTAAAGTCTGGGGTGGGCTTATTACAGGGTAATAACAAATGTTTTGTGCCTTATTAGTCAACAGTCTAAAATGTTTAACTTACATTAACATAAAAATCATTTGTTTGTAATTTGTAATTCTTTCTGCCACTGATAGACACTGGTGGGTTTAGTACTTCTGAACACTGATAGACGTCAGTGGGTTTAGTACTTCTGAACACTGATAGACATCAGTGGGTTTAGTACTTCTGAACACTGATAGACGTCAGTGGGTTTAGTACTTCTGAACACTGATAGACATCAGTGGGTTTAGTACTTCTGAACACTGATAGACACTGGTGGGTTTAGTACTTCTGAACACTGATAGAGTACTTCTGAACACTGATAGACATCAGTGGGTTTAGTACTTCTGAACACTGATAGACATCAGTGGGTTTAGTACTTCTGAACACTGATAGACACTGGTGGGTTTAGTACTTCTGAACACTGATAGACACTGGTGGGTTTAGTACTTCTGAACACTGATAGACACTGGTGGGTTTAGTACTTCTGAACACTGATAGACACTGGTGGGTTTAGTACTTCTGTACACTGATAGACATCAGTGGGTTTAGTACTTCTGAACACGTATATACACTGGTGGGTTTAGTACTTCTGAACACTGATAGACACTGGTGGGTTTAGTACTTCTGAACACTGATAGACACTGGTGGGTTTAGTACTTCTGTACACTGATAGACACTGGTGGGTTTAGTACTTCTGTACACTGATAGACATCAGTGGGTTTAGTACTTCTGAACACGTATATACACTGGTGGGTTTAGTACTTCTGAACACTGATAGACACTGGTGGGTTTAGTACTTCTGAACACTGATAGACATCAGTGGGTTTAGTACTTCTGAACACTGATAGACATCAGTGGGTTTAGTACTTCTGAACACTGATAGACACTGGTGGGTTTAGTACTTCTGAACACTGATAGACGTCAGTGGGTTTAGTACTTCTGAACACTGATAGATGTCAGTGGGTTTAGTACTTCTGAACACTGATAGACATCAGTGGGTTTAATACTTCTGAACACTGATAGACATCGGTGGGTTTAGTACTTCTGAACACTGATAGACACTGGTGGGTTTAGTACTTCTGAACACTGATAGACATCAGTGGGTTTAGTACTTCTGAACACTGATAGACATCGGTGGGTTTAGTACTTCTGAACACTGATAGACATCGGTGGGTTTAGTACTTCTGAACACTGATAGACATCGGTGGGTTTAGTACTTCTGAACACTGATAGACATCAGTGGGTTTAGTACTTCTGAACACTGATAGACATCAGTGGGTTTAGTACTTCTGAACACTGATAGACACTGGTGGGTTTAGTACTTCTGAACACTGATAGACATCAGTGGGTTTAGTACTTCTGAACACTGATAGACATCAGTGGGTTTAGTACTTCTGAACACTGATAGACATCAGTGGGTTTAGTACTTCTGAACACGTATATACACTGGTGGGTTTAGTACTTCTGAACACTGATAGACATCAGTGGGTTTAGTACTTCTGAACACTGATAGACACTGGTGGGTTTAGTACTTCTGAACACTGATAGACATCAGTGGGTTTAGTACTTCTGAACACTGATAGACATCAGTGGGTTTAGTACTTCTGAACACTGATAGACATCAGTGGGTTTAGTACTTCTGAACACTGATAGACATCAGTGGGTTTAGTACTTCTGAACACTGATAGACATCAGTGGGTTTAGTACTTCTGAACACTGATAGACACTGGTGGGTTTAGTACTTCTGAACACTGATAGACATCAGTGGGTTTAGTACTTCTGAACACTGATAGACATCAGTGGGTTTAGTACTTCTGAACACGTATATACACTGGTGGGTTTAGTACTTCTGAACACTGATAGACATCAGTGGGTTTAATACTTCTGAACACTGATAGACGTCAGTGGGTTTAGTACTTCTGAACACTGATAGTGGTGGGTTTAGTACTTCTGAACACTTGATATTGACAATATGTTTTGACTCATGAGCTTTCTTTCTGAATAGATATAGAACAATGTTTGAAAGCCGAATAGGTTTAAGGGCCACAAATAAACATACATCTGCTCTCTACATCAATGCCTTGAGCTGCAAAGTATCAAATTCTATAAATAGCTTTGTAAGAATTAACCTATTTGTATAGAAGCACCAATATATACATAATAAAGCAAAATTGTTAAACCTGTCTTAAAGGTCACCTGTGTGTAAAGGCCACTTTTTCGGTTCCCTTTATAATGCAAAGTAATTGAACCTCTGTATAAAGGTCATTTTATCTGCTCTCTTAATTGACCTCCACAGACAGGTTTGACTACTATACAAGATTAATTAATGTCAGTATAAGGCAAACACATCTATATTCTATGATGATTTAGTTACAGGTAATCAGAAATTCCAAATTTGCTTATGGAATTTAAAGGGTTGCACCATACATAATATATCTTAATGTATCAGAAAGCACAGCTTTGTTTGTTCACACAAATATATACTTATAGTCATAGCTTGGTTACTTATTGACTGTGTTTATAAGGGTTTATATTTAAGAAACCTTGAATATCTCTACCCACCAGGTCCAGCTATTTTTGTCAACAATAGACAGGATTCAGCGTACATGTAGTAAAACAGTCAGTTTCAAATTAGTTAGCTTAGGATCTTTTTAAACTCAATTTGAAAATTGCCCCCCAGTCCTCTATGTGAAAAGTAAGTGTGGTACCATTGCCCTTCTTACTACTGAAGGTTTTGGAGTTTTTGACTACATAGCACAAAAGTGATTGATTATTTTCGAACAGCGGTTTGAATCATTAAATATGGTGAAGTGTTGTGCTTTACATAATACAAAACGCTTTCATTAATGCACATCAAAAAGATGGCAAAATTGTTAGTGATATTCTTCAATAGTGCGATTTGGCTACCCTTCTTCAAGTCATGGCACGACCTTATTGTGAGGAGTGATGTGTGTGGTGGGGGGACTGTAAAGTGTGGGAGAACACAGTGATCTTTGGTAGGGAGAGGATGGGAGGGGCTGTAAAGTGTGGGAGGATATAGTGATCTTTGGTAGGGTAGAGGGTGGGAGGGGCTGTAAAGTGTGGGAGAATATAATGATCTTTGGTAGGGAGAGGATGGGAGGGGCTGTAAAGTGTGGGAGGATATAGTGATCTTTGGTAGGGAGAGGATGGGAGGGGCTGTAAAGTGTGGGAGGATATAGTGATCTTTGGTAGGGTAGAGGGTGGGAGGGGCTGTAAAGTGTGGGAGAATATAATGATCTTTGGTAGGTAGAGGGTGGGAGGGGCTGTAAAGTGTGGGAGGATATAGTGATCTTTGGTAGGGAGAGGGTGGGAGGGGCTGTAAAGTGTGGGAGAATATAGTGATCTTTGGTAGGGAGAGGGTGGGAGGGGCTGTAAAGTGTGGGAGAATATAGTGATCTTTGGTAGGGAAAGGGTGGGAGGGGCTGTAAAGTGTGGGAGGATATAGTGATCTTTGGTAGGGAGAGGATGGGAGGGGCTGTAAAGTGTGGGAGGATATAGTGATCTTTGGTAGGTAGAGGGTGGGAGGGGCTGTAAAGTGTGGGAGGATATAGTGATCTTTGGTAGGGAGAGGGTGGGAGGGGCTGTAAAGTGTGGGAGGATATAGTGATCTTTGGTAGGGAGAGGATGGGGGGGGCTGTAAAGTGTGGGAGAATATAGTGATCTTTGGTAGGGTAGAGGGTGGAAGGGCTGTAAAGTGTGGGAGGATATAGATATCTTTGGTAGGGAGAGGGTGGGTGGGGCTGTAAAGTGTGGGAGTATATAATGATCTTTGGTAGGTAGAGGGTGGGAGGGGCTGTAAAGTGTGGGAGAATATAATGATCTTTGGTAGGTAGAGGGTGGGAGGGGCTGTAAAGTGTGGGAGGATATAGTGATCTTTGGTAGGGAGAGGATGGGAGGGGCTGTAAAGTGTGGGAGTATATAGTGATCTTTGGTAGGGAGAGGATGGGAGGGGCTGTAAAGTGTGGGAGGATATAGATATCTTTGGTAGGGAGAGGATGGGAGGGGCTGTAAAGTGTGGGAGTATATAATGATCTTTGGTAGGGAGAGGATGGGAGGGGCTGTAAAGTGTGGGAGGATATAGTGATCTTTGGTAGGGAGAGGATGGGAGGGGCTGTAAAGTGTGGGAGGATATAGATATCTTTGGTAGGGAGAGGGTGGGTGGGGCTGTAAAGTGTGAGAGGATATAGTGATCTTTGGTAGGGAGAGGATGGGAGGGGCTGTAAAGTGTGGGAGGATATAGATATCTTTGGTAGGGAGAGGGTGGGTGGGGCTGTAAAGTGTGAGAGGATATAGATATCTTTGGTAGGGAGAGGGTGGGAGAGCTGTAAAGTGTTGAACATTGGTTAGGCGATGCATATGAGACTGATGATGGTCATACTGAAACACTTTAAGAGTCTGATATTAACATTCCTCCCTGTCACATCTCTATATGTAATATTACACTACTACCTCTGACCCATTTAACTTTCTTAATTTTCGCTTTAACCACACAATTAAATCTATAATTGTACATGGTTTAGAGGGAATAGTACAACGCATGAACAATATTAATTCACTTGTATGTTCACTGTAATAAACTGCACATAAGTCAGTAGTTTGATTATTACTTGTATAATAGCACAGAGATTTACTTATGACTGTTCAGCACCGAGAGGTGGAGGTTAAAATGAAAACTCATCTCCCTGTTCTTATATCTCTTCTTCTTTACCAGAAAAAATAGTTCCATATACGAATCCTTCCTTCAGTTACAGAAAAGGGAAGGAAGTCATCTGATAATAGTTTTAACATGCAAAAACATCATTAAATATGTAAGATTATTAAATAATTTTTTTCTGAGCACCTGTAACAATATCCTATGAACAAGATGTGAATTAAAAATTTGTCTCTGGTTAAGGATTATTCCTATATCAGAATAAGATTAATGAATGTTTGTCTTACTGGGGCAAAAAGTATATTTAAAACAGAACAATGTAATTATAGATCAACTCTTGAAATTTCAAAACTAAAAAACAGGTACAGGGCAGTCACATATAGCTTTCACTTTGTGTTTAAAAAATTTTATCTTAAACATTGAAAATCATCATATAAATTATATCCACGTCTTTTATGAATATGAGGTAAGACTTTTGTGTCTATCGATGTTAACAAAATTAACGCATCAGGAGGAGTCAGTATCAGAGTTTCCATGGATGGGGAGCAAGTATTTTCATTTCTTTGCATTTTGACGCATTTGCCGACTTAAAAATACTGAAATTTCAAAAACATATCGCAAAAATCTGGGGGCCAAATTACTTAGTGTAGCTGTGTAGTGATCTAACTAGATGGGTCTCTCAGGTCAGTGAAGTATGTAAGGAAAAGAACAATCTGTAAACTTCTACAAATATTCACCCACTTAATAATTACCAGATTGAAGCCAACACTTGATCAAATATTCCTCGCGTTGTTGTTATGTATTATTCTTTGTTAATGAAAGAATTTCTCCATTTATAGAACATTTTTCTGCTTAATATGGATACAGACAATACTGCCATAACCTTGAGATTATTGAACAGCAACAACCAGTTAAAAAACAGTTACCCCTTTGACATGTCTAAAATTACCTTCATTTCAAAAGAGTTCTTGATTGCAATGACTATATTATTGATGAATGGAAATAGCGTTAAATGCCCATTAGAAATATAGAAGATAATTTACCCTTATCTTTATAGTGTAGAATGTGCTCTGTTTGAAAATTTTCAGATTCTTCAAGAACTGAATTAGAGTAGACAGGATGTTTTAGGAACATCATAGTAATTTATATAAAATTTATTACATAGGATTGTCAGTGAAAGTCTCCAACTTCTGTAGAATTTTTAGATGTAGTATTTAATATGTGTGAAATTGTCCTAGTTGTTGAATTCACCCTAGTTATTACTACACAAATTGCATGTTGTTTGTAATTTAAAAGTGATATCTTTACAACATTGTTCACATTTTAATCCTGATTTCTAGAATTAATAGCGAATTCTGTCATATTTTGTGTTTAGCATAATTTGTTTATATTATTTGTTAAAATCTAGATTTTGTTTTTTTAATTAACCTATTTCATTTGTTCTGTACTGACACTGTGAAGATATATATAAATGAAACCTACTTCTTTTGTTTTGAATCTTTTATTGAGTACGACAGTGTCTTGATTTCTAAATAAACTGTTTTCAGCCAAAGACCACTGCAGAACCCTACTTCCCACCTTCTGACTCTGGCAGACTAAGCAACGACCGGAGCACCAGGAGGGTAAACATATTACTTTGGATCTTCTAGACCCTCTGTGTTACTGGAAACAAGTTGCATTCCTAGAATTTTGACAAACTTTCTGCTATGAATTCCTTTAAAATTTTTTCCTTTTCATGTGAAGTTGATTTGAAATAATTGCTTGAGTTTTTATGTGGGAAAAAAAACATGTACCTTATTTATTCTAATAAACACCCTGGGTGCGTGCAATTTTCCAAGGAGGGGGCATTTAATAGAACATAGAATTTCAGACTCGGAAGGTTGTTGGGTATAATTATAGAGTTATATATAGAGTCTATAACCATCATTTCTGTGTAATGCTTCAAACATTGTTAAACAAATTAACAAATGTTTTGGCATTGATGTAAGAAATTGTACTAGTGTAAATATTGTTGTCATTTGTAATCAAGGTGACCTGTACTTGTGTATGGAATGACAATTAGACAGAGCGTGTCAACTTCTGTCAGGAGATGTAGTTATTCGGTCATGAACTTGTGTTCTCTCACCACTTGTATGTCATTATATAACATTAAAATAATATCAATCTAGAGCCATTCTGATCCCAACTCATCATTACACCATCACCGTGTCGGAAACCAAAAAAAAAAACGACATTTCCCTTAAACTAAAAGTTATCACATAGGTACAAGAAAAGAGAAAACATGCTGTGGCTAGTGTGTTCTGTGTAGACAGAAAACATGCTGTGGCTAATGTGTTCTGTGTAGACAGAAAACATGCTGTGGCTAATGTGTTCTGTGTAGACAGAAAACATGCTGTGGCTAGTGTGTTCTGTGTAGACAGAAAACATGCTGTGGCTAGTGTGTTCTGTGTAGACAGAAAACATGCTGTGGCTAATGTGTTCTGTGTAGACAGAAAACATGCTGTGGCTAATGTGTTCTGTGTAGACAGAAAACATGCTGTGGCTAATGTGTTCTGTGTAGACAGAAAACATGCTGTGGCTAGTGTGTTCTGTGTAGACAGAAAACATGCTGTGGCTAGTGTGTTCTGTGTAGACAGAAAACATGCTGTGGCTAGTGTGTTCTGTGTAGACAGAAAACATGCTGTGGCTAGTGTGTTCTGTGTAGACAGAAAACATGCTGTGGCTAATGTGTTCTGTGTAGACAGAAAACATGCTGTGGCTAATGTGTTCTGTGTAGACAGAAAACATGCTGTGGCTAGTGTGTTCTGTGTAGACAGAAAACATGCTGTGGCTAGTGTGTTCTGTGTAGACAGAAAACATGCTGTGGCTAATGTGTTCTGTGTAGACAGAAAACATGCTGTGGCTAATGTGTTCCGTGTAGACAGAAAACATGCTGTGGCTAATGTGTTCTGTGTAGACAGAAAACATGCTGTGGCTAGTGTGTTCTGTGTAGACAGAAAACATGCTGTGGCTAATGTGTTCTGTGTAGACAGAAAACATGCTGTGGCTAGTGTGTTCTGTGTAGACAGAAAACATGCTGTGGCTAATGTGTTCTGTGTAGACAGAAAACATGCTGTGGCTAATGTGTTCTGTGTAGACAGAAAACATGCTGTGGCTAATGTGTTCTGTGTAGACAGAAAACATGCTGTGGCTAATGTGTTCTGTGTAGGCAGAAAACGAGTGCGGAACTGGTGACAAAACAAAAATACATTCTTAAATCTTGCTAAAACATCTAAGCATTTTAAAGGAGGTGGAAGGCCTGTTTGATACGAAGATATCAATAAAAACTTGTTGAAATTGTTGACTGGCAGATGTCGAGCCGGTAGAGACTGGGAAAGGTTAACACTTTGAGGTCCTTGATGTGATTTACCCAGAAACATTAATAATGTAACACAAAAACCAATAGCCTGACACTAGGTATGGGTAAAACAAATGGAAGTCAGTCATTCAAAGCTTCCTTTGGGTGATTTACAAAGTTAAATGTTTTTCATGTTTGGGATTTATTTGTTCTTTGGGTTTTTTAATTTCCCTGTTTCATATTCATATGTATATGTGTGGATATTTGGCACAAGGTAAGTTTTGTGATCTTAGATCTTAGGGAAAATCACTGAGAAAAGGGAAGGGGTGTGTGTTTATTAGAATAAATATGGTATCTTGATTTGAAAAGAAAATTTAATATTTTGAAATTGCGTAACAAATATACAGAGATCGCATGTGACATCAGACTTTTTATTGAAAAAAAAAATATTCTAATTTTTTTGTCTTTTGGGGTTGTAGCTGTACATGTTTGCTCTGAACAAACCATATAGTGGAAACATTCGCGGAATCCGTGGGGCAGACTACGAGTGTTACAAAGAGTCTAGACGAGCAAATGTGGCCATAAGAAAGAAGACATTCCGAGCACTGCTTTCCAGCTCCACACAAGATCTTAGGTCTATTGTCCCATTAGGGAAGGACCAGACTATACCTATCGTCAATAAAAACGTAAGTGAAACAACTAAAGACAAATTCTACCTTACTTTTTTATGAAGTATTAAGGTTGTATAGTGCCTTACTGCAACTTATTTCCTGAGAAAAAAAGTTTCGCAATAGGACAGATGGAAAATATACAGAAGGAATGTTACTTAAGAAGGCAGAAAGTTATGTTATAGAACTGACATTTCACTGAAAAGAAATTCTGAAAAAAATACAGACATGAAATAAAACAATTATCAATATTACAGACAATAAAGGGGAGTAACTCTAAATAGATAAGCTGTATAAGGCAGATAATTATCAAACTCTCTAAGGATTAATGTTAGTTTTAATTTATTTCACCTTAAAATAACAAAAAATATTCAAATAAAGGTCGTTTTTTATCAAATTCAATTCTAAACTGTAAAATGTATGCCCCTTTCATTTTGATTTTTTTTTTTTTTGGCTATATTCTCCTTGGTACTTTTGGAGAATATACACATGACACATTTCTTTATTGTTTCTGATGTTTTTGTATAGGCTGTCAAATTTATCCAGCGATAGGCTTGTGACTGGTAATAAACTCACCCATAGCATTAGCACTGAAGTAGACTTTTCAACAAATGCAATTTAACAGCCCATACTGTGATCTGAGTCAAAGAATATATCTGGGATCCTTATTGTCTTGTAATAAGCTGATCCCTGGGCATAAGTTTGAAAAAATGTTGATTAGCCATGGGCTTATTATCCTGCAAGCAGAATTTGGTAAATTGTATATAGATGTTTATATCTATGATAATGTTCAATGATGTAAGCAAACAGATTGATTTTAAAGCTGTTTTACTTATTTTGTATTTTTCTTCAGAATGAAATTCTGTTCGATTCATGGAGAAAAATATTTGATGGCAATGGCGGAACCTTCAACACTTCCACCCCGATCTACTCATTTGATGAACAAAATGTTATGACAAGTCAACGATGGTATGATCTTAGAATACTCTTCTCATAAAATTTTGGAGTTGTTGCAGAAAAATCAAAACAAATTATTTTGTAATAAAGCCGTAACTAGGTTTTTTTTTTATTAATTGTTGATTTTTGATAAAAAATAATAGTTTTGTGCTACAATACTGTGATCCTGATCAGTTCATACAAAGGTAACTTTTTTGAAAATAATTTCCTTCTCAACATATTTTAACCAATAAAAAATTAATCATAGATAAAAGTAATTGAGATCTTCTAGTAAAGAAAATGTAATAGAAATAAACATTTTAAATGACATGATTTTAGTCTGTTATAACGTTGTTATTTGTTCAGTTTTAACTCAACTGGGCCAAAGGGCCAAGTGAATTTATGCTGTAGTTGCATCTGTCATCCATCTATTTAAACATCTTCTTAATAACCAGCAGCCCAAATGTCTTTGTATTTGGCTAGTGGGTTGCTTGAAAGAAGCCTGACAAAGTTCATAAAAAGAAATGACCATTACACATGTTCAAAGTCACAGGGGTCAAATTTGTTTAAGTGACTTCATCTTGAGTGACAAAGAGGCATAGAAGTGGTTCCTAGGTGAAGCCCAACAAAGTTTGCAAAAAGAATTGACCTTGACCCTTATTCAAGGTCACAGGGGTCAGGTTTGTTAAAACATTTAAATAACTTCTTCTGACTAACCATAAGGCGTTTAAAGTATGGCATTTGTCTGATAGGTTCCTTGAATGAAACCTGACAATGTTTGCAAAAAGAAATGACCTTAACCCTTATTCAAGGTCATAGTTGTCAAACTAGTTAAAATCTTAAAATAACTTCTTCTGTCTAACCAAAAGGCACAGATGCATGGTATTTGGCTGATTGATTCCTAGGATGATGCCTTTTGCAGAAAAGAAATGACCTTCGCCCATATTGAAGGTCAAAGAGATCAATTTTTTTGAAACCTGTAAAAGATTTCTTCTGGTAAACCAAATAATCTGAGAAGCATGATATATGGTGGAAAGGTGTTTCTAGGTCCATGCCTAACAAACTTTGAGAAAAAATGAAATGACATTCCCTTAAAACTCAGGTCATAACTGTCACTGTTTAGAGTTGAGTATTAGAAGCTCTTTGTTGTGGAAATGGGTTAAAATTGGTCTGATGTACCTACTTTAAATGCCAATTGTGTGTATATATCAATATATTTGTTATATTACACCAAATCTATCATTGATGAACATTGAATATCAGATGAGAGAAAAAAATCTGTCTTGTGCCTATTCATTATTGGTTTCAGAACTGCTTGTGTAATCATTTTTTATGTTATTTTTTTTTAAATAGGCCACAGAAATATGTATGGCATGGATCTGATCCTGAAGGTGCTATGAGGAAAGACTTTTCATGCCACGGCTGGCATTCAGGATTCAGGAGGTCGAAGGGATTAGCATCTAACTTGTATGATGGCAAGCTTGTTGATACCAACAAATTCACTTGTAACAACAAGTTTGTGGTACTGTGTATCCAGAACACAAGCGAAAGAATGAGGAAGTAAGAATGTTTCACAAATCGTCTGTTCTGCTTTTTATTCCTATCACACAAGAGGAAATAAGGAAACATGGCCTTTATATTGGACCAGAGTGATGGAGTTTTCTCACGGTTCAATTAAAGGTTTTCTTCATGTTCCTCTGTTGTTATTTCCAACTCATGAATTTGCAGAATTTTAACTCTGCATCAAAATGCAAATCTCTAATACCAATTATGTAAATATGCAAATTAGACAAAATGTTTGCAAAAGTTTTGCCAAAAATTTTGCATACATCTGTGAGAGATTGGCCTCGGAATAAATGAACACATGTATTTGGGAACAAGCAGGATGAAGTTTGGATGGTGGATCCTAACCATTAACATTGCTAATCGTGACATATTAAGCCTGTGACTGTGATATTTTTAAAGATGAATATATTTATTGTGCCTTGTTCTAGAATCCTTCTGCAATAACATCTTGTCAGATTGACAGTGGAGATGTTGTTGCTGAAGAGCATTTTGGTGATGCTTCCCCAATCCCTCATTTTAAGAGATGAATGTGGTCTACTGAGGTAATTTCCAAATCCCTATCAGTGTAGAGGGGAGTTACAATTTCTTTGTGGCCAATCTATGGGGTGATATCACATGGGAAAGTCAGATTAGTTGACGCAGCGCAGAAGGGTGAAATCCTAGTAACGACTTGTAAAAGAAACATCAACAATTTGTTTTCAGGATAGACTGTTAAATGAATATATCCTAAAGCAAATTATAATTAAACCATATATGGAAATACCAATTATTTAGACATTGTAGTAATTTTTTTATTTGTTTACAATGGTCGGTGACAAAAGTGGAAGCATTTTGTATTTATATAGCTTATTATTCGCTGAAGAGGAAAACTTATGCAACCAAAATTTGCCTTTTTTATTTAAAAAGAAAAAAAAAGCATTTTTGTTTGTTTACGCATTTTAAATTTTGCTCATTCAGATGAATATTTTTTTTCGATGTAAGCTGCATGCACTGTTAGTACCTATCAAAAAAAAAAACAAAAATATGTGTACATGATTTCAGATGTATTGTTAACTTGTATTTGTATTGTCTTTTCTCCAATTGCCATATATGTATCGCAAGTTAAATGACCTTATGCCATAGTCATCTACCTGTTGATCATTAATTTCGTAATTCTACATCAAAACTTTTAACTGTAAAAAATGCTTTTGTTTAACCTATATCCAACTAATCCTCGTCAATTCTGCTTACATGATACACCAGTAGATGTCTCTGATAAGTTGACAGATGGACTCCTGGGTGTAAAAACATGTCACTCAAACCATATATTTCCATGAAGGAAGGTTCTGCATAATGAATTTTTGTGTTTTTTTGTTGCTTAAAGAATATCAAGGTGTTGGTTGGAATGGTTCAAGAGATTTCATTGAAGATGGGGGTTATATAATTCTGTCCTTTAAAAGAACAAAAATTGATTTCATGGAAAGTTAATCAAAATTTGTTTCTAGTCATTGTGACAGCCTAAAGCTAGATAATTTGTCTTATCCATGAAAGTTTGTAAACAGATAGAAACTAATAATGTTATTTATGATGTTGTTTCTTTACAAAATATCTTATTGATAAACAATTTCAATTTCACTGAATAGAAATAAATGTAAATATTCTTCAATAATTATAACAAAATGCAAACTCTATTAGGTAACATGTCACTTATCTAAGTAACACAAATCAATTTAGAAAAGCAGATTTCTAAAGGGTGTAATATCAGTACTTACTGGGGTTTTTACACCATAAAAGTAAATGGTATATACGGTATCACGCCCACATGAATCATTTTATTAATATGATGTCTCTGTCTGTGACTTTCATTTTCTCATTTTCTATTGTAATATCACATTCTGCTTAATATCACATTCTGCTTAATATCATATTTTCTCTGACACATGGCAATGTGATATAAAGCAGAATGCTCTGTAGCACTATATGGTAAACTGTATCAGATTTTTATTCTTAATGTTTTGAGTATTTGCCTTTATATATATATATAATTCCATTAACAAATGAATGTATGAAACAGGCGATTGAAAATTTGATATCTGTGTTTGCTAATGGAAGACCTGGTTTATAGCAATGTGTTACTCTTTCATTCCTTTAGTAATTTTGCTTATGAAATTTATTTTGAATGAAATATTTTTGAAACAAATAAAATTGATGTGCACTGTTCTAGTCAGATGGACATCATTTAAATCAGGTGTTACAAATGTGTAAACTTAAAATCAATATAATTGGAATTTTGATCTGTTAGTTTTACTATAAACTTCAGTAACAAATAGAAAACATGAAAATTTGTAAGAATACATATATATTCAGAAAGTTTAAGTATAATTAAAATTAAAAATTTTTATGCAGACATTTTATATCTTGTTTTGGAGCTTTAAATTATGGGAAGAGTTTTCCTTCTGTAAAAACTGCCTTACAGTCACAATGTTACGTAGGGTACTGCAATGCACTCTGGGACAGATTGAAATCCTATGTGTATTGATACCAATCTGTATGTAAAATTCATGTGACACTTAACAAATCTATTATAACTAACCTGACCTTCAAGATCAGTAATTATTCTTTTAGATAAATAATATCTAGTTTTATTTACCAAGATACAGATAATGATGAGTATGATTCTGTCATTAAATCTTTGAATAAATCATTTTTATTGATCTCTTTTTTTTTTATTGATACAATGCCTTATAATACTTTTCAGATGTTTTTGGTTTTATTTTTATTGCTTTGTATGTGTTGGTGTAGCTTATGGATTTATCAATGGATATGGCCAGTTATGTGTCAAGTATTTACTAATATAGCGTGTAGTGAGAAAACTGCCTGAACTGACCACCAGCGATTCCAGCCCAATATAAAACGTCACAAAAAGTTCGGGACTTTAGAGGTTTCCAGTCCGATCTTAGTTCATCAATATTCTCAAATGTCAGATGATTGTAGTCTGTGCTACACAACAATGGTAATCAATTCAAAATCTGAACACTTACTCAGACACCTGGCCCATGATCATAAAACAGATTTTTGTCAAAACTTTAATTTTCTTTTTTCAAGTTAATATCTTTTCCTGAGAGAAAATTAAAAAAATATTGTGCAATAGTATATTTATAATAAATGTTGATGTACAGTATTTTGGTACATTTTGTATATTGTGGCTTGGCCGATGATGATTTTCAGTAGTGAATGATATACACTGGTTATAGAGATATGGATGAATGCTCTAAGTCCATTGGACAAGTCAATTTTACAACAGGAGCTATAACCAAAGGTCCTGCTGGGGACATTTTTGATATTTTTACCAAAAATTGATGACATTCGTGTTAACTGATCCTGGGCCAGGAATTAGGACTACAATCTGTAGTGCCAATATTTTATGTATACACTGGAGTAAAATTTACCATATTTATCCACTGATAAGTTTGTACCTAGTTATAACTCATGTGTAGGAATGGTTGTTACTGGATATCGTCAAACACTGCTACTACAAGGCCTTGTAATTAACTCCATAGAGGAAGAGCTATGTGTTAGGCCCCTTATTGTAGAATAAATATGGTACATTCTTTAATCACATGGTGTATTTCCTTTAACACTTTTCTAGAACCTTATGTCAGATTAGGCAGGTTTAATAGTATAAGTCACTTCCTTATAATAATTACATATTAAATGTTGTATGTTACTTAGAATTCATCATACTGTGCATGTTATACTTCATAATTCTGTCACTGTTCACTATCTCATTCTGTCCATAAAATGGAATAATCATGAAGTTGGGTTCTTTACAGCATTTAAATGTCAACATTTACTTTGAGACGCAAAAATTGTGATTAATGAAATAATTCATCAAGCGTATTGTACACATGAATTTTAATGAAAAATGTCCATATTGGTTTATTAGACAAAAAAATCAGAAGAAAAATGTATCATCGGGAAAAGTTGTCTTTATATACAGGTAAACTTTAACGTAATTACTACATCATGTTACATCTTAAAACAAAAGAGTGGCCCTTATAGACAGGTATTTGTTATATTATGTTGACATTTATAGACAGGTACTTGCTATATATGTTGACATTTATAGACAGGTATTTGCTATATAATGTTGACCTTAATAGGCAGTACTTGCTGTATAAGGTTGACCTTTATAGACAGGTACTTGTTATATATGTTGACATTTATAGACAGGTACTTGCTATATAAGGTTGACCTTAATAGGCAGGTACTTGCTGTGTAAGGCTGACCTTTATTGACAGGTATTTGTTATATGTCGACCTTTATAGACAAGTACTTGTTATATATGTTGACATTTATAGACAGATATTTGCGAGAAAAAAAATAATAATAAAAATGGCTTTTATGGCAGGATTTGAGTATATTTTTGTAAATTTCAGTAGAGGCTAATGTTTACAAAACATTGTTGATGAATTCATCTGTTATCATTTTTAAACACCTTGATGTAAAGGTTGGTTTATCTAATACACAGAAGAAAACTAAAACAAAAACATCATGTTTGGTCAATAAAGAAAATCATAGGTTTTCATATCCTCTTTTATTTGACAGTATTTTTTAAGAAGTAATAATCAACAGTCAGAACCCAGCTTTAAAATCATGTTACATATATATTATTAATAAGATCATTATTGATTACCCTGTAATTAAATTACTCACATTTTTAGTGGATTTTTTTTTTTTTTTTTTGAAGAGAAATGCTTTCTGAATATTGCATGTTATTACTATAAAACTATAATATGATTGTGTATTTCAATTTTCATCTTTAAAGATACCGGTCAGAGTTTTGTTACTACTGTATAAATACATGTATGTTTATCTGTATCGTGGATGGTTCGAAGTCTTAAACACATTTACTTACTATAAATTCAATACAAAAATTTATTTCATTCATACTGGTACTGCTTAAGCCTGCTTATAGCAAATTGTGTCCATTACCCAAAATATATTTTTTGTGGATTTGAAGTTTCAAAAAATTCAAATTGTGAATTTATTAGAATTGTGCTTTTCAAATTTTGAAAAAATATTTAACATAATGTATTCATCAAAAACATATACCGAAATTTATCAAGATTTTCAGAAATTATAATAAATGATTTTATTGTTATCTTTTTACTATATATGCTTACAAGCATATCAACAGATTGGTGACAGCTATAAATAGAGTTGGGGTCAGGTGTTACCTATATATTTAGATAACCAAGCTTCTAGTATACTTTGGGTATAATAGATTAGTATGAATGTATATGAACATCTAGAAGTACAAGTGTTGTTTTTGTTGATACAGCTTAAAAATGATTGAGCTCATGCCTCATCACAAGTATGTATATGTATGTGTAACATGTTACATAAAGATAATTATACCAACATCAAAATTATTGTATTGGTAAAGTTTTTTTTTAACTTTCCAAAATGATTCATCAGTTGTGTATAACAAATTTATCTCTGGCTTACTGATTAACAATAAGTATACAAAATTAATCTGATCTTGTTCGCCTCTTACTGAAACACATGTAATGGTTATTTTGGACAGTTCATGTGCCTTGTAGAAGACATTTTCAGAACAAGGTTAATATTTTGAAACAAGAATAGAGGACTGACATCTGCACCTATATGGTTTGCTTTAAAAAGAATACTTTTTTTTCAAATTTGGAGATTTTACATTCGTGCATTATTTATAAAAGAACATTTAACTTTGTGTTTTATAATTGACAAATTCAGTATCGTGAATTATGGATTTTAATGACTATACGTTTCAGTGCCACAAATGAATATTCATGACTATATGTTATTATAGCATGAATATGCGAGATACTAATATATAATGCTTTAATTTAGACACTTCAAATCCCTCTAATAGGAATGGAGTTGATCAGAGGTTTGAAAAGTCGACTGTTTGTGTGTTTGTGTTATAGTTGTATATTACTTTGATTATTTTTCTTAAAATCAGAATTCAGTATTGCTATAGTTTGTAATCAAGCATAATGCTATTTCATCCTCATTGTTTATCAGTATAAAACAAAACAGTTGTATCTTGTTTATCCAGTCTCCTTTTTGTGTACCTTAACTGAATAAGGTATAAACAGTATGACTAATAGTTAATACATGTCAAATCTGTCACATATACAAACTGGTGGCTGCATTTTCAAAATCTAACTGCCTTGTTTGATATTGTCTAATACATTACCTATATACATGTACTCATCTGCTCTGTAATGAATCACAGACACAAAATTGATTTGGGGATCTATTGTAAAGTTGGATATTAAATTGCTACAAATAGAATGCCTCGTTGATGTGCCTTGAACATGATAAGAATTGAGATGAAATCATCTGATATTTTTGCCCCAACTTTGGGCTGGTTCGACCACACCTGCACACAGTATTAGGTGACACTGGTGTGTACCTGTTGTAGTCGAGAAACTTGTGTTTCTGCACAAAATAAATCATCATCCTTCATAACTTTGTACATAAATTAAAGTTATTACAAAAAAAATATGGTCTTGTTTTGTATTTAAAAGGGAAAATTTAACAAGTTTTATAAAATCCTACTCCTGTAGGAATGAATGGATATTGTTGGAAGCATAACCAGGTGGTCTCAGACCTCTGAGGTAGGAGGGACAGGGCCTGATAGGGGAAAAAGAGTAAATTATCTAAAATCCTACTCCTCCTGTAAGAATGATTTGATTAAGTCCAAATTTGGTCTGATGAAGTTTTGGTGAGTAGGAAATAATTTGTACACACAATGGGTCTCAGTCCCCTTGGGCAGGGCCCAATACTAAACACATCTGGGATTTATTAATGAGAAGCAATATAGCAAATCTGGTTCAAATCTGAAAGTCAAAACTGAAGTAATTTGATAAAATAAAATCTATAAATAACTGGTAAATGACAAAATATGGCCAATATCACAGCCACGATATCTTAATGCTCTAAAGAAGCAATGGAAATTTGGTTCAAATCTGATGAAATCTCAAGTAGTTATTCAAATTAACACTACAATAAACAAATAAAAAAATATTTTCTCTATATTTTCAGCAAAAACTACCTTTGTAAACAAGAGATCCCAGAAGGATCTTTGTGCTGACCTTTTTTTGATTTTTATATGCTCTTTGAAAGTTGGATCTTTTCCCTTCTTTTTCTCTTCTCAATATTGCTTTTAATGATAAGAATTTTAAATTTTTTTTTTTGGAGAAGTAGCGATGATATTCTTTACCTGCCAAAACCAAGATGGTTGCCTGGAAGCCATTTTGTTTTTTTTTTCTGGTCATAAAACAGGCACAACTAGAGATCAAGAGGAATATACATAAAAAAATTTGAAAGAATTCCATTCAGTGCTTTCTTAAGAAACAGGATAACAATCTTTAATAGGTGAAATTCAAGATTGCTTTCTGTTGGCCATTTTGATTTTCTAATCAGTCCCCAACTCACACAGGCACAACTAGGAACAAAGAGGAACCTGTACATGCAATGTGAGAAAAATTGATGTTGTAGTTCTCAAGAAATAGCAATAACAAACATTCTATGTCAGAATCCAAGATGGCCACCTGTCAGCTATTTTGTTTCTCTGATCATACCCAAAATCAAACGGAAGCAACCAGGGATTAAGGGGCCCCTACACGTGAAATTTAAGAAAGATCTATGCAAAAATTCCTTCGAAATAGTGATAACAAACTTTCAAATTGAAAACAAAGATGGCGGCCTGTCAGCCATTTTGTTCCAGTGATCAGTCCCAAAATCAAATGGACACAACTAGGGACAAACGGAAACCTACATATGGAATCTGAGAGCGATCCATTGAGTACTTCTCAAGAAATAGCAATAACAAGCTTTACTTGGCAAAATCCAAGATGGCCGCCTGTTGGCCATTTTGTCTTTTCTGATTAGGCCCAAAATCAAATGGGCACAACTAGGGACATAGGGAAAACCTACGTATGAAATTTAAGAGAGATCCATTCAATACTTCTTCAGAAATAGGGATAACAAACTTTTCTTTGTGAAATCCAAGATGGCTACCTGTCGGCCTTTTTTTCAATCAGTCCCAAATCAAAGAGTCACAAGAGGGACTGAGATGAACCTATACATGAAATCTGAGATTAATAGAATCTTTCACCCCCTTTGGGGTGAGACAGGGGGATCTCAACCCGAGGGGGGATTATTAAGCTGTAAAACACTCGGTAAGCCTCGTGTTTTACAACTTAATAATCCCCCCCTCGGATTACACGAGGCTTACCAAGTGTTTGACAGCTTAATAATCCCCCCCCCCCCTGGGTTGAGATCCCCCTGCCGCATCCCAAAGGGTGTGAATGATTATTTTTCTCTTACCCTGTTTCCCCGCTGATTGTAAAATACGAAATAGAATGTTTGTAAACAAAAACTTGTAGACAACGTATGAATATAGTGATGAGGCTGTCTCAACCGCGTAACGCTTAATTGTGATATCCCGCACAAAATATAATTTCCATTAACGGTACAGTAAAACATAAAAAAAGCATAATATTAATGATAAAAAAACAATTTTGATGTGAAAGTATGGATGAGATGACCTCAATATACTTCAATAGACTTCAACACTTATTATTAAATCATTATTTTACAATGACGTCATTTACATGTCAAGTTCCACTTCCGGGTCAAGATAGTGACGTCGCATTATTGTTGAGAACGCGCAAGGAGCGGTGAAGCTTGTCTCAACCCTTGGGTGAGATAGAAAAATCTCACACCGGTAAAAACTGTGGATATCGCTGTCCGGGGTAAGAGAGAAATCTATGTGATATTTCTCAAGAAAAAGTGATAAACTTTCGAAGTCAAAATCTAAAATGGCTGCTTGAAGGCCATTTTCTTTTTCTGATAAGTCCCAAAATTAAAAGAGCACAACTAGGGATAAAGAGGGAACTCTATAGAGAGATTCATATAGTCCTCAAGAAATAGCGATAACCAAAATTGTTTACAGACAGACGGACCATGGACATAGGGCGATTTGAATAGCCCACCATCTAATAGAAATATCTACGTCCTTGAACACATATTCAAATTGTGCTAAAATATTCCATGCAGAAAACTCTAAACAGAGAAAAAGTTTCAGTCTAAAATCAAGTCACAAGGTGATCCTTCTCCCCCTGGGATCCTGTGATCAGCCCATCCCAGGACTTCGAGTTAAAGTTGAGTTGGCCCCCGAGATCCTGTGATCAGCCCATCCCAGGACTTCGAGTTAAAGTTGAGTTGGCCCCCGAGATCCTGTGATCAGCCCATCCCAGGACTTCGAGTTAAAGTTGAGTTGGCCCCCGAGATCCTGTGATCAGCCCATCCCAGGACTTTGAGTTAAAGTTGAGTACCCCCGAGGACTCCCAGGACTTGAGTTAAAGTTGAGTTGGCCCCCGAGATCCTGTGATAAGCCCATCCCAGGACTTCGAGTTAAAGTTGAGTTGGCCCCCGAGATCCTGTGATAAGCCTACCCCAGGACTTCGAGTTAAAGTTGAGTTGGCCCCCGAGATCCTGTGATAAGCCTACCCCAGGACTTTGAGTTAAAGTTGAGTTGGCCCCCGAGATCCTGTGATAAGCCTACCCCAGGACTTCGAGTTAAAGTTGAGTTGGCCCCCGAGATCCTGTGATAAGCCTACCCCAGGACTTCGAGTTAAAGTTGAGTTGGCCCCCGAGATCCTGTGATAAGCCTACCCCAGGACTTCGAGTTAAAGTTGAGTTGGCCCCCGAGATCCTGTGATAAGCCTACCCCAGGACTTCGAGTTAAAGTTGAGTTGGCCCCCGAGATCCTGTGATAAGCCTACCCCAGGACTTCGAGTTAAAGTTGAGTTGGCCCCCGAGATCCTGTGATAAGCCTACCCCAGGACTTCGAGTTAAAGTTGAGTTGGCCCCCCGAGATCCTGTGATAAGCCTACCCCAGGACTTCGAGTTAAGGTTGTGTTGGCCCCCCGAGATCCTTTGATAAGCCTACCCCAGGACTTTGAGTTAAGGTTGTGTTGGCCCCCCGAGATCCTTTGATAAGCCTACCCCAGGACTTTGAGTTAAGGTTGTGTTGGCCCCCCAAGATCCTTTGATAAGCCTACCCCAGGACTTTGAGTTAAGGTTGTGTTGGCTCCCAAGATCCTGTGATAAGCCTACCCCAGGACTTTGAGTTAAGGTTGTGTTGGCTCCCAAGATCCTGTGATAAGCCCATCCCATGACTTTTAGTTCAGGTTGTGTTGGCCCCCCGAGATCCTTTGATCAGCCCATCCCAGGACTTCGAGTTAAAGTTGAGTTGGCCCCCGAGATCCTGTGATAAGCCTACCCCAGGACTTTGAGTTAAGGTTGTGTTGGCCCCCCAAGATCCTTTGATAAGCCTACCCCAGGACTTTGAGTTAAGGTTGTGTTGGCTCCCAAGATCCTGTGATAAGCCTACCCCAGGACTTTGAGTTAAGGTTGTGTTGGCCCCCCAAGATCCTTTGATAAGCCTACCCCAGGACTTTGAGTTAAGGTTGTGTTGGCCCCCCGAGATCCTTTGATAAGCCTACCCCAGGACTTTGAGTTAAGGTTGTGTTGGCCCCCCAAGATCCTTTGATAAGCCTACCCCAGGACTTTGAGTTAAGGTTGTGTTGGCCCCCCGAGATCCTTTGATAAGCCTACCCCAGGACTTTGAGTTAAGGTTGTGTTGGCCCCCCAAGATCCTTTGATAAGCCTACCCCAGGACTTTGAGTTAAGGTTGTGTTGGCTCCCAAGATCCTGTGATAAGCCTACCCCAGGACTTTGAGTTAAGGTTGTGTTGGCTCCCAAGATCCTGTGATAAGCCCATCCCATGACTTTTAGTTCAGGTTGTGTTGGCCCCCCGAGATCCTTTGATCAGCCCATCCCAGGACTTCGAGTTAAAGTTGAGTTGGCCCCCGAGATCCTTTGATAAGCCTACCCCAGGACTTTGAGTTAAGGTTGTGTTGGCCCCCCAAGATCCTTTGATAAGCCTACCCCAGGACTTTGAGTTAAGGTTGTGTTGGCTCCCAAGATCCTGTGATAAGCCTACCCCAGGACTTTGAGTTAAGGTTGTGTTGGCTCCCAAGATCCTGTGATAAGCCCATCCCATGACTTTTAGTTCAGGTTGTGTTGGCCCCCCGAGATCCTTTGATCAGCCCATCCCAGGACTTCGAGTTAAAGTTGAGTTGGCCCCCGAGATCCTGTGATAAGCCTACCCCAGGACTTCGAGTTAAAGTTGAGTTGGCCCCCGAGATCCTGTGATAAGCCTACCCCAGGACTTCGAGTTAAAGTTGTGTTGGCCCCCCAAGATCCTTTGATAAGCCTACCCCAGGACTTTGAGTTAAGGTTGTGTTGGCCCCCCGAGATCCTTTGATAAGCCTACCCCAGGACTTTGAGTTAAGGTTGTGTTGGTCCCCCGAGATCCTTTGATCAGCCCATCCCAGGACTTCGAGTTAAAGTTGAGTTGGCCCCCGAGATCCTGTGATAAGCCTACCCCAGGACTTTGAGTTAAAGTTGAGTTGGCCCCCTGAGATCCTGTGATAAGCCCATCCCAGGACTTCGAGTTAAAGTTGAGTTGGCCCCCGAGATCCTGTGATAAGCCTACCCCAGGACTTCGAGTTAAAGTTGAGTTGGCCCCCTGAGATCCTGTGATAAGCCCATCCCAGGACTTCGAGTTAAGGTTGTGTTGGCCCCCTGAGATCCTGTGATAAGCCTACCCCAGGACTTTGAGTTAAGGTTGTGTTGGCCCCCAAGATCCTTTGATAAGCCTACCCCAGGACTTCGAGTTAAGGTTGTGTTGGCCCCCTGAGATCCTGTGATAAGCCTACCCAAGGACTTTGAGTTAAGGTTGTGTTGGCCCCCCAAGATCCTTTGATAAGCCTACCCCAGGACTTTGAGTTAAGGTTGTGTTGGCCCCCCGAGATCCTTTGATAAGCCTACCCCAGGACTTTGAGTTAAGGTTGTGTTGGCCCCCCAAGATCCTTTGATAAGCCTACCCCAGGACTTTGAGTTAAGGTTGTGTTGGCCCCCCGAGATCCTTTGATAAGCCTACCCCAGGACTTTGAGTTAAGGTTGTGTTGGCCCCCCAAGATCCTTTGATAAGCCTACCCCAGGACTTTGAGTTAAGGTTGTGTTGGCTCCCAAGATCCTGTGATAAGCCTACCCCAGGACTTTGAGTTAAGGTTGTGTTGGCTCCCAAGATCCTGTGATAAGCCCATCCCATGACTTTTAGTTCAGGTTGTGTTGGCCCCCTGAGATCCTGTGATAAGCCTACCCCAGGACTTTGAGTTAAGGTTGTGTTGGCTCCCAAGATCCTGTGATAAGCCCATCCCATGACTTTTAGTTCAGGTTGAGTTGGCCCCCGAGATCCTGTGATAAGTCTACCCCAGGACTTTGAGTTAAGGTTGTGTTGGCCCCCCAAGATCCTTTGATAAGCCTACCCCAGGACTTTGAGTTAAGGTTGTGTTGGCCCCCCGAGATCCTTTGATAAGCCTACCCCAGGACTTTGAGTTAAGGTTGTGTTGGCTCCCAAGATCCTGTGATAAGCCTACCCCAGGACTTTGAGTTAAGGTTGTGTTGGCTCCCAAGATCCTGTGATAAGCCCATCCCATGACTTTTAGTTCAGGTTGTGTTGGCCCCCTGAGATCCTGTGATAAGCCCATCCCATGACTTTGAGTTAAGGTTGTGTTGACCCCTGAGATCTTGTGATAAGCCCACCCCAGGACATAGAGTTAAGGTTGTGTTTGCTACCTTGGGTTATTGAAAAATGGATAGTACATGTATACCAAACTATGAAGTTTTTGATGGAAATTTTAATAACAGTATTGTTTTAAATTACTTAACATGTAATCAAGAGATTTGGTCATTCTAGGACTGCTTCCCTATGTATGTGAGAAGAGTTTGTTTTCTAGGGGTGTAATATCACACAAAAGTCTACTGACGAAGGTACCTAGTAGGGTACCTCACACATTTTACTGATGGAAAATATTGGTGGGTTTATTACCAGACATGGGCTTATTTTCAGATAGATATGGTGACCTATCATCCAATAAAAGATGCTAAGGAACTTTAATGACAGAAAATCAGGATTTTACTTCACAAAATTTTTATTTTCATCATGGTGGTTTGTCTTTTAGCAGTACTTTCCTCTCAATTCTTGAGATGAGACGATGTCCATAGAATCTTCTATAATCTTCTGGTAATTCTTCTAGAGTCTTTAATGCTCTGTCCAAAATCTGTTGAGCTCTTGAGAAAGGAACATGATCCTTATTACCGTAGATATCACGCTGATCATAAAATGAATCACCCAAATGTTTCCAGAATACGTTAACAGCCACACCATACTCTTTATAGATAACATTGTGAAACCACAGAGCTGAAAGGAAAGTGCAGAAGTCACAAATTGGTTAATATTTCTCATCAAAGTATACAAGTGGTGTAGACTGGAACACAAAGAATACAGTTAAACCACTGGTTTTTTACCCCTTTCCACCATCTAAATTTGGATATTCTCAGTTGTCATCTAGGATTAAAAATTTAGATCCTAATAACGTTTGAGTCCTAGAAGGACGAAACAGATGTATGATGCATTTTAATTCATACCTTATATGCTGAAACATGTAAATCATTAACACCTGCTAAGACTTTCTGAGAATGTTGTCCAGTTCTCTATTTGTCTACACTGTTAGTCTCTGGGCTGGACCCTGTATTCCCCAAGGAATCCATTCTACAGAAGAATTGCTTTCTATACTGATCTGCCTGTATTGGGATGTTGGATCATTTTACTGTTGTATTTGAAATAATAACTGAGAACCTACAAGTTATTTCTAATAATCTAACCATTCAAGTTTCTATTGATCTGTGTGTTAGTATGGATAATTTTCATTTATCAGAAACAGTTGGTTACTCTCACCGGGTATGAAGAGGATATCTCCGGGTTCAAGAATTCCTTCATGTCTATGTGCCTCCAGAAACTTTGGAAACTTGGCTGGATCTGGATTATCTATATCTAAAACTTCAGACTTATCCCCTGCAATAGATAAAAGACAAAAATGTAATTATGAAAGGACTTCAAGACAGCTTTGTTTGATACAGTGACATGTCTGTAGTAGCATCTGACTAACTTTATCACTAGCTCTCTATCTCTAGGTTGCGGATTCAAGGCCCACATGTGGCAGTTTCTGGGTACTGGCCACAGATCGGTGTTTTCTCTCCAGTCACGTCACCCAAACCTCACATGTCCTTAAATGACCCTGGCTTCTAATAGGACGTAGAGCAATAATTCACAAAATCTAAACTGTAGTGTTCATATCTAATGTAGGAGCCACTGATGATAATCTCGGAGATCTCCAAAGATCTTGGTGGTCGGGTGGTGCAGTGGTAACGCACTAGCCTTTCACCTAGTCGTACGGGGTTCGATTCCCACAATGGACGTGAAAAGGTTTGGGATCACTTGCCCGACCTCAAAATGATGCAGCCTCCAAAGGGCAGTATATACAGAAAACAAGCAAACAAACAAAGATGTCTGCTGCAAACTTTCATCTCCCAGACTTCATAACTTATATTTAGATAAAATCTTTATCATACAACAATATTAACAAATAATCTTTGGATGGTGGAGCTGGCTTAATTCACTACAATATTTTGATACATTCAGAAAAAAAAATACCAGAAATAAATTAACAATGGATTTAATTAATACTACTTCATATAAGACAAGATATGGAAATACCCACATAAAATAAATCTCATGTAGAGTATGGGTTTTTTTTACTTACAAAAGTTGAAAATGAACCTTCATATGAAACATCTGCAGTGTAAAAAAACTCTTCTAATTTTGTCAGGTAATCCTGTTATTGGCCCTATCAGAAATGTATAATCTGCTCAAATTTTGAAAAGTGCTAAAACCACCTGATATTTCTTTACATTTGAACACTATTAAAAATTTTTTGAGAATGTTTTGGACTTAATAGAGTGAAAATAATGTTCAAACATAACATAAATCATCATCTAACTTGATACAGATATGGTTACTACACAACATAATTAATTATATGGTCTTTTTCCTTAATGGCTATTTAAAAGATCCCTGATTTTGAAAGGCTATTACCTAACTGATTACTAGAGGATACAGACACTGCTTTTGTGACTTGTAATTGAGAATCTGGTTACCTTTTAAAAAACAATTCCATTTCGCCTTATTTCTGGATCTCAATTACCATTCACAAAGGCAATGTCGCCGTCCTCTAGCAATCAAATATTCGTAACCACACAAATAAGCGGGACCTTCTTGAAATTTATTACCATTTAGATACATTTTGTCAACATCTGCTGGACTGTAAAGTATCACACGCTTCCGACCTACAATCTGTATCAGCAAATTGTCCATCACCTATAACAAACAAATCAGCCAATCAAATCATTCTTTATATATTGGATCAGCCAATGAAATCATAACAAAACTTTTCATTAATCTATTCATTACTTCTCAAATTAAAGAACCGACCCAATAACAATAGCAAATACAAAGGATACATTTGTAAACCGTACGGTTCAGTAGCCGATCAAACATTTCCAACTGACAAATCCGAAATCAAATGGTTTATTGCATCCATCAAAATAAAATCTTGTCCTCCAGTACTTAGAAGACAAAAACATGCCTTTTTTTAAATAATAAAGGAGATCTATAGTTACATCATAATGGGTCCATAGCTGAGTGCCTTTGGATGCTATCCGAAACACACTGGAAAAGAACTTCTCTTGAGGGAAAAAGTTTGGGAATTTGATATCGTCTGCAAGGAGAGGGAATTGTTGATGTATGTCAGCTTTGTCCTTCCTTGGATCATCTCCTAGGGCTCGTAAGTAATAGCTCTCAGTCTATAACAGAATGCAACTTTACAAGATGTTCAATAGGCCTAAATCGCTCACCTGCTCTGCAACTTACAATAGAGACAACATTGGTTTGTAAAGTAAATTTCTGAAAAAACTTGGAAAGCCCAAACACCAATACCATGATCCAGGTGCTATGTGTTATTGAAAAGGAAAAGTTCTCATCACATTTGACCCTTGTGACATTGAAACAAGTTGAACTTGAAAACACTTTGTGGTATTTACCCTTGCATGTTACACATATCACAGGAAATATTTCAAATATCTTAACATATTTGACCCTGTGACCTTGAAAGTAGGCTGAAGTCATTCATTTTAAAAACAATCTTGATAGTTGTCATCTAAGCATGCTACAGACCCAATATCAGTACCCTGAGCTTTTTGGCTATTAAGAAGAAGTTGTTTAATGGAAAGAATATGATAATGATAGACTATTGATATAGGATGATGGACACTCCTGCCACGGCGTAAACTTTCTTCCTTTGGGTAGGTGAGCCAACATGGAAAATTGCATTTCTTTCATATATATAAAAATCCATTTCTTTCTTGTTCAAAAGCATAATCACGTAATTGACATCATAATTCTGGAAAAAATTCCAGTGTACACGAATTCTGTAAAAGAAGCACTTTTTTACCATATTTTTTTCTTATTTGGGAAAATCCAACGATGATCATTTAAGTAAATAGACAAGTAAAATGATAATTTAATATTGTTATTAAATTATAGTTTATATACAATAAGTTCTCCTTGCTAGCTGACATAGCAATTTTCAATTAAGATTTTCATTATGTATTAGTGTTAGTGATTTTCCTTGCCCTGCAGGCATTATAATTTTGTTTATTTATGTATGCTGATGAGTTCTGGTTGATGCTAATTAATTGACCAATCAAGGATGCCCTGTTAGGGATCTGAAGGCCCCGCAGCATATAGTTTGAGTTTTTGGTGGAGGCATTTTTTGTGAAATTTGAAATCACACCATTGGTTTTAAATTATACTCATGTATTTTTTGTTTTTGTTTCATGTGCAACAGTTATAAGATAACCATATTTTTATGTATAATGGGCTACTCACAAATTTGTAACTTAAGGATCTTCTGCAATTGAAAAATTTGTTTTTAAATAAACAATTCCTTTTGGCACTAAATTTGTAAAGTTATAGAATGTATCATCCATTGGGTGTTATCTCTGTTATGCGTTCATGCTTAAGTCAAATTGTAATCAAATTTCCACATCCATTCATCCATCCCTCGCCCGCTACATGCCAGCATAGATGTAAAGATTTTGTCAAGAGTGCTTAAACTTTCACAGCTCTCCAAAAGCTTGATCCAAAATATTTTACGGAGGTTACAAAACGGAATATTTTCAATATCATTGTTATTTTCAAGGCAATTTTTTCGAGGTCTTATTCCATCCTTAAAAATAGCGCAAAATAGAGCCCCTCTGCCAGCACAACCATTATACTAATACAGGAATCAATTTACAAAACGGTGTAACAAAATAGGGTTTAGATATATTGTTACATAATGAAATTTCGATATAGGTGTATATCAGATACACAAGTCAGTAACCTTTGACTGACTCGCAGGATTAATTTTATCTATACGTAACATCTGGTAGACTGGATGTGAATTATGAATGCACACAGATATTTCTTATATTTTGTAACTGTATTTACAGTGGACAGCACTGACATCTACTGGTCCTATTAGTCCATTTTATTGACAAATACAGCTATCTTTCGGATGGCAGTCTGCCATTGAAAATGCCCACTGTGTCAAAGATTATACAACAAGGTGATCTCCAGACAAAATTAAGATTATGAACAAAAATGAAAAGCTGTAACAAAAAATAGTCACATTCTATTCCTTCTGAAAATAGTTAAATCAAATTCTGTTCCTAAATAATCAAATCAAGCTTTGTTCATAAATACGAAAAATGTACTGGGTAGTCAAATCAAATTCTGTTCCTAATTAGTCAAATCAAATACTGTTCCTGTTAACAACAGCTCCCAGAGGGATCCTGGTGCCATCGTTTGGTCTTTATTCAAATGTTGGATCTCTTTTCTAGAATCTAGGATCTAAACTAGGGAAAGTCATGTCTGAAATTTTAGACTGATTTACCCAGCATTTCTTCAAAAACAATTGATGACTGTAGAAAACAAAGATCAATCTGATATTATCCATTTTTTCTCCAGAAATAGCAACAAAAACGTTCACTATCACTGTTGAAAACCAAGATGGCTGCATGTTGGCTATCTTTCCAATCAATCCCAAAAAGGAATATGCAAAACTAGGTACCAAAGAAAATCTACATGTAAAATTTGATCTATCACACACTTCCCCAGAAATAATGATAACAAATTATGACTGTCGAAATCCAAGATTGCCACCTGTTGACCATCATGCCTTTCCAATGTGTCAAATCAAAACTGTTCCTGTTACAACAGCTCCCAGAGGGAAACCTACATATGTGAGAATCGTTTGGTCTTTATTCAAATGTTTCTTTCAGAAGTAGCGATAACAAGGAAAGTTTTGTCTGAAATTTTAGCGATTTACAAGCAATTTTTTTCAATTGATGACTGTAGAAAACAAAGATCAATCTGTTTTTTTTCTCCAGAAATAGCAACAAAAACGTTCAATCACTGTTTTTTCAGAAGAAGATGGCTGCAAGATGTTTTTCCAAGTAGCGATAACAAGGAAATGTTTTTTCTAGAAGTAGCGATAACAAGAAATGTTTTTTCAGAAGTAGCGATAACAAGAAATGTTTTTTCAGAAGTAGCGATAACAAGAAATGTTTTTTCAGAAGTAGCGATAACAAGAAATGTTTTTTCAGAAGAAGCGATAACAAGAAATGTTTTTTCAGAAGTAGCGATAACAAGAAATGTTTTTTCAGAAGTAGCGATAACAAGAAATGTTTTTTCAGAAGAAGCGATAACAAGAAATGTTTACGGACGGACAGAAAGATAGACGGATGGCAGAGGAAGACCGATGATTTCCAAATTTGAATATAGCTACTATCTGATGACGGTAGTAGTTAAATCCAGTTTTATTTTAGATAACAACAATTAAAAAGCCACTTGACAATTCACAGAGAGTGGTTAAAATTGTGGGAGGTTTCATGACAGGCGGGCAATGCCATCTAGTAATATTGTACTGTCAAACATTTTGATAAACTTTTAAAAACTGAAATATTTCACTTCTACTGAAAGTTCATGATAACTTTATCTAATTGACAATAATAATGATAAAATAAATAATAATGATAAAGACATTACTGAAAGTACACAACAGACTCAGACACTGCAAACGGAATTTCTTCATCTTTTCAACTTGTCAGAATATTATTTCTGAATGTTTTCTTGTCATTACTTGTAAGAAAAGTTTTTATTGATGAAATCCATCTGTGGTGTAGCAGACACGTGGATCTTCACTGGCATCTCACCTCCCTGAGTGGTTAGATAATTTACTGACCGCCATTTGTCCACACACTGACCAATATTCACACCTCGTAAAATCACTGGTTGTCTCTAGATAAAAAAATAAAAAAATAAAATCAAAAACAGAGGCCAATACCTAGTTAAGAGGTCTCTTAATGTTTTATCTGTCTAATGAGAGTTTTATGAACAAGATTAGCCAAGTATTGATCAAGTTATGAGCTCAGGAAATTCAGAAATATATGTAGAAATGGCTAGGTGGACCTGTCTGGTTGAAACAAACTCTCGTCTGTAATTGGTATCTAAATAACTATGCTGAAATCACAAAATCTACACTTGTGGAAGTAAACAGTACCAATGACCGTGTCCACACATAATGTCCTTTGATGTTGCAATTGTCGTAACTCGTACATTTTCCCCATTGGGTTTTCCTCCAACCAGCAAAACAACATTGTTCCCTTTGCAGTCTCATAGTAAAAGCTCTTCCGAGGTTATGTTGATTGTGAATTTTTTATGTGATGTAATTTAAAAAGATAAAGGTTTGGTTTCACCCACATCAAAACTGGATCAATTTACTGGACAACAATATACAATCTTTGTGTAGAATACTTGATATTACATATAATTCAAAAGCATGCATGTAACCCTGATAAAATACTAGCTGCAATATACCACTTGGCTAGAGACAACATCTCTTTAGCTCAACTGATTGAGCATCAGCCTTGTAAGCTAGGGGTCTGGGTTCAATTCCTAGCAGGGGCACTGAAATAAATAATGACCTCTGTTACATTGGCGCCCATGTAGGGACCTTGGAATAGGACTTAGTCATGTCCTACCAGCATCACTCTAACCCCTGCAAACTCGAGGACAAGTTATATCCTGGAGGGGGAGTATATAACTAATAATACTAGCCCCAATATACAACTCAGTTAGAGAGAACTTCTCTTTAGCTTGATTGGTTGAGCGTCAGACTAGTAAGCCAGGGATCCCAGGTTCGATTCCTAGCGGAGTCATTGAAATAAATAATGTCCTCTGTTACATGTGGGAAAATAAACTCAAATTAGAATGTCATTAGGTAATACCATATTAATAAACAGGTATTTATTTACATCATTTTAAAAATGATTCTTGCAAAATGCTTCAGGTTCACAGGCTAGAGCTCTCTAATGTTGTAAATAAATAACTGTTTCAGAAGATCCCATTTTTGTTACATATAATCTTGTCTGTAAGAGTGTGCTTCTTTTTCATTTTTTCCTCTTTCAAATAAAAGCAGACAGTAGATCTAAGATCTAGACTAAAGTATCAGTGTTAAATTTACACATGAATGATATGTTATAAATGATTCGTGTGTAATTAATGACACAGTACATACAATGTTCAATGATGTACATTAATAGTAATATTAGATACAATTGGTTAAACAGCGAGTCATATGAGTGTAGAAGTTGAGAGAAAAGGTTGCCTCACTAGCCTCGGCTAATGGAAATTTCCCTTTGGACGAGCGGTTGAGTGTCTGGCTAGAGACAGAAGAATCTCTAGTTCGAATCCCGTAGTGGCAGGATGCTTTTCATTACTCCGCCCTCTTACACGTGTATGATACTGCTGAAATATGTTCATTCTGTCATGTATCTCAATGGTTCCGTTACTGAATTTTTTGTGTCTCTGTACACAACACATTCTTCTGTCGATACATAATTATCTTGCAATGACATTTTTCAAACAAAATTAAGCAATCACATATTCACATATTGTAACTTCGAAATTTTAAGGAGTCTGTCAAAATGAAGAGGTGGTGTTGTGTACTAAAACGTGCACCACGTGTGTATTCGCACTCAAACACACATTTAGAATCAGGTTCTTGAATGTCTATTTGGTCAAAACACAGTACAATAGCATCATACCTTTGGATATATCTGTTCGGCGAACGTAGAGGAATTTACATCACCTACAACATTCAGCAAAGAAATCATGTTGTCATTTTGTCCTTAACACAAGCAAAATTTACGGCTTTGACGACTCATGGCTCAGGCAGTACATTAGCTATTTAGAATGTGGGGATTCCCCGTAATTTCTAATTCGTCTAAGTCAACTTGACGCTTCACTTACTCCCTCGCGATGCGACTTGCGACGAAGAGTTGGTCAGACTTGGCGTTTGGGAATTTTCATTGGGACGAATGATGACGGAGAAGATAAATCCATGAAGCAGAATTTACAAGAGCTAAAATTAGAAATATTTTCAAAAGTGCAATATTTAACAGCGTTTCGTTGAAGAAAATCTTAATCTCGAGAGAAGAACTAGACAGAAACACTGAAATTACAGGTAATCTTGATACTCGTGTCATCACGTTCTTCCCCAAATGTTTATTCTTGTGGAGTCTCATGTTTTTCATATCAGTAGTCTGATAAATAATCACTTCACCGTATCGTGTACACACAATTTATAACATGTATCTTGTTGGTCGATAACCAGAAATACTCATGAATCATTTACCCTCACTATTGAGGTGTGTATGCAAAAGAGATTTTTTTTATTTATGTCTGATCAAAGAATTGTCAATTTATTAATGTTATGGTCCGGTTTAAAGAATAATTTGAACCATATAAGTGACCAGTGTATGTATGTTTTCTATGTATTTCAACTTTCATTTGAATGGAGTTTGTGTGGTCTGTACATACATGAATGGTCCAAACTATTTTGACAGTTCCCACAGTCACAATAGCTTGTGGGGATTTCCCTTTAGTTTCTAATACGTCCAACTTAAACAGACGCTTCACTTCCAAAGTTCAGCGAGTTCATTGACTCCAGCCAGACAACTGATATAATTAACTCCAGACCATAATAAAAAAAAGTCAATAGAATGTCGCAGTAATTTGGACTAATACATGAAGTGTTAAATATGGTTTCTGTCAGATAATAGGTAGGTGTCTCATACACTGTATCATCTCGAAATCGGTTCTGGACGGTTATGTATTTCAGAATGGCCATTTTGTCAAGTGGTATCACATGTCAGCTTCCAGAAAGGCCACACCTTCTTACAATTTTTTTGCTACTAAAGTCTGAACATGTACGTCTTAGATTAGAAAAGTGGGGTTTTTTTTAATTATCGGTTATTATTATGACTCATCAAAAATGATCACTTCAACGTTCCTTTTAATAATGCTAATCATTAATCGACATGCCAGATCAAACTAGCATTTTATGTTTAAATTAAGTCCCATTATAAACATATATCAAAGTCACATGTAGTATCAGGTAACACCAGAACTACCCACCCACATACCTCACAGATCAGACAACTTTTTATATAGGGATGAAGTGATTCCAGCCATGCTATATTGTTTGTCTTCTCTGACATTCAACTTATTATACTCTGTCTGTATGTAAATATCTAACTATAGTATATAACACATGCCTGCCTCTCCTCATCAGTCTTTCAGATAACAACATGAAGATCGAAAGGTGGTGATTTAAGAAGTTAAACCTGGATGAATATGACTTAGTTTTTGAAAAAAGTACAGCTTTTATTATGAAAATGGCTGACATGGAAACCGATGCGTCAGAGGACCCAGCAGGGGACGTTAGACAGTTTTCTCAACACAAACTTCTCCTTGAAGTCGACAGTGAGCTGGACTCCGAAGATATAGAGAATATGAAATTTTTGTGCCAGGATGTTATCCCATTAAGTAAACTTCAGAAGATTGATAGAGGAATTGATTTATTTGTGCAGCTTGAAAATGCAAACAAGATTTCACCAAAGAAAGGAGATTTGGAATTGCTATTTGAAATTTTGTTCAGAGTTCGAAGACTTGATTTGGTAAAAAAATTAGGAAAAAATTCAAAAGAAGTGAAGAGAAAGTATGGTAGTGCTGACAGAGCTTTGTCCACAAACTTATCACCATTCAGGTAATTACATATTTACTGCAAACTAGTGAAGGGGGTTTGATCAGATAAAAAGAATTATAACTAATCTGTTAAAATGATCGCAAAGAACACATTAAATTTCTGTGAATTTTAATACAGAGTCAGCAGATTATGTAATTGTGTTAACAACATTGGAAAGCCTTTTTGATTTTAACTGAAAAGTGATAATGAATTTTAACTGATTTCTCACCTATTTCATTTCAGTAATAATTACCATAACTTCAGTATGCATATCTTCCACTAATTTCCACACTCATACTTCAACTTGCTCACACAAGTGGAAACAAGGGACATAACTCTTACTAGTCTTACATTGCCAATTTCATGTTGTTATACAAGATGGTCACAAATTACATTAAACTTACATATAACGCTACTAATAAATAATGTTATATTACTATTAGATACACTTGTAGCACATTTCAACAATATCATACCTGTGTGTGGTGCAGAGCTGATCGTAAGAACAGCTTGTTAAAAAGTTAGGCTCATACACATAAACGGCTCACTTCTAGGAATAAACAATACACTCTTACACTCAAGTTTAACATCAGACATATGGACAACAAAATATTACTTTAAAACAAAGATATGATTCTAAAATCGTTGGCATTCACAATGGTTTTTCTCACATAAAAAGAAGTGATTTGGTAAACATTTAGTGATAAGTACATATAAGATACAAACAATTATCAAAAATACTGCTTTTATAATAGAAAAGAAGAAATAGTGAATTTAGTAAATAGAATGTTAAAGCAACTTACATTTATGTCCAGTCTTTCGAAATTTCTCGTACCAACTATTTATTTCATTTCACAAACACAATGATGACAACATCCAAACCAATCAGAACACAGGACAACTACAGTGACAAATATGACGTCATGAGACACTAATGCCATAAAGCAACTACACTAAGGAATACACAGGCGCATAAACACGAGTGCAACAGCAACACAAACATGGGACGGAATATAAAAATAAATCAAATTTAAAATAAAACAGAAAATCCATCCCATCTACATTTGAATGGATTGCAACCAAATTGAGACTAAACATCACTGGGAGTGAGAAATCATTTCTTAAGTTGATTCTACCCCTAGTGAATAGGAATGACCTTGATCTGCTTGAAAGGTCACAGGGATCAAGTATGTTAAAATCTTTAAATGACTTCTTCTCAATAACCAATAAACAAAAGGCTAAGGATGATGATATTAGACCTGTAGCATGCTAGGATGAAGGGTTACCAACGTTGGTAATATTAATGACATTTACCCATTTTCAAGGTCACGGGTATCCGATGTGTTATGATGTCTGGATTAATGGTAATTAGGTAGTGCATGTATAATGAGTATGATTTCAAGTTCGCAGAAAATGTCTTGATGAACCAACAGTGTCTTCTTATGTAGCTGTAGAGTACTTGAGCAATTTATCTTAGGCCTATTTTGCATCTTTCATAAAAAGTTCTTTATAGTCAGACGACTGTCAAGGCCCATGGGTCTCTTATATGTTGTGGGTATTTAGTGTCCAATGAGAAAGTAAAAACAAACCCATTAATTTGCATGTAAATCTGGTTCAAATATACATATATATATATATATATATATATAATATATATATATATACATGTAGGTTTTTGTATTATAATTGTGATATATTTCTCTAATTCATTTCAGAAATATGCTTTATGAGCTTGTTGAAGAATTAACTCAAGAGGATTTTGCAACAACAAAGTTTGTGTTACAAAGTGAGTTTGGAAAAGGAACTATGGCAAAGATTAAGACAATGATGGACTTTTTTACTTTTCTTCAACGAGAGCAAGAACTGGAACTGGATGATGTTGATATTCTGTACAGGATAATGGACATTTTGAAAAGGTCTGACCTGAAACAGAAAATCCAAGAATATGAAAGTAAGTATGTTATTAAGAGATTTTATATTTAGGAAGTCATGAATGTTCATTTAAGTAAGTATGTTATTAAGAGATTTTATATTTAGGAAGTCATGAATGTTCATTTAAGTATGTTATTAAGAGATTTTATATTTAGGAAGTCATGAATGTTCATTTAAGTATGTTATTAAGAGATTTTATATTTAGGAAGTCATGAATGTTCATTTAAGTAAGTATGTTATTAAGAGATTTTATATTTAGGAAGTCATGAATGTTCATTTAAGTAAGTATGTTATTAAGAGATTTTATATTTAGGAAGTCATGAATGTTCATTTAAGTAAGTATGTTATTAAGAGATTTTATATTTAGAAAGTAATGAATGTTCATTTAAGTAAGTATGTTATTAAGAGATTTTATATTTAGAAAGTAATGAATGTTCATTTAAGTAAGTATGTTATTAAGAGATTTTATATTTAGAAAGTAATGAATGTTCATTTAAGTAAGTATGTTATTAAGAGATTTTATATTTAGGAAGTCATGAATGTTCATTTAAGTATGTTATTAAGAGATTTTATATTTAGGAAGTCATGAATGTTCATTTAAGTAAGTATGTTATTAAGAGATTTTATATTTAGGAAGTCATGAATGTTCATTTAAGTAAGTATGTTATTAAGAGATTTTATATTTAGGAAGTCATGAATGTTCATTTAAGTATGTTATTAAGAGATTTTATATTTAGGAAGTCATGAATGTTCATTTAAGTATGTTATTAAGAGATTTTATATTTAGGAAGTCATGAATGTTCATTTAAGTAAGTATGTTATTAAGAGATTTTATATTTAGAAAGTCATGAATGTTCATTTAAGTAAGTATGTTATTAAGAGATTTTATATTTAGGAAGTCATGAATGTTCATTTAAGTATGTTATTAAGAGATTTTATATTTAGAAAGTAATGAATGTTCATTTAAGAATGGACATTCCTTGTTCATTATTTTTATCTTTTTCTGTTGTCCTGATTCTTTGATAACCTATCTGACCTATCTGAAGCCTTTTTATTGCCACTGTTGTCAAACAGCCAAGCCTGAAATAGATTGTGTAAACATATGGTATTCAGTAGGCCTGGGATTTGTGTCTCTGACTTGCTTTTAATAGAAGTTTCTTTCATCCAAATTTTTCTTTAAAAAAGTTTTAAAAATGAAGTACCAGTTAATGTTTCCCAGTGGATCTTCAAGCTGGCACTAAATGCTAATTAATTAGTGTCGTTACACCTTTTAAATATTAATAACATTATTATCTCCCCTTATATATTATTGATTGTATTGCATCATAATGTTATTACCAAGACAGTTAAGTATTCGCCTGAAGATAGCTGAGACATGGCTTGAAAACGTTAGCGATAATCAAGTTTATTTGCCTTGTTGGCCTTTTATGTTTACATATTTAAACAATACACAATGTTCTCATCTAATTGAACTATATACATATAGCCTATATATAAACCATGTAAATCAGTATTATGTTCCAACATTAAATATTGAGACAAGGGTAATACTAACAAATATAGCCTTCCAGACTTGCAGAATATTTGTAAACAGTTCTCCAATGAAATTGTATGCAACACATGTATACATACTCTTTATTGAATTTTTTTGGACATATTTTGAACTGAACTGTCATCAAGCGGTATTTCCTGAGTGTAAGAAATTTTGACCTTATGATTTGATTTAAATGTTTTGAATTATATGTTATGCCCTTATGGATATGGGACTTTATATTTTTAATATTTTGAGGTTTTTTATATTCATTGTGATTGGCAATGTAATCAAACTTCAGTAAATAAAAGATTTTCTTTCTGTTGTGTTATATGTTAATTTGTAAGATAATGAAAAAAATATCTATAATCATACTCTTTTGAAATTTTACAGATTATCCGTACAAAAAGGGTAGACCAGGTCCACCCCTGCCTCCAGTGGCTGGACTTGGACCCAAACCAACAACACAGACACCTAACATCATAGATCTTATGCAAGTACAAACTGCATCAAATCCAGCCAGTGGGGTCATGGTTTCTGCAAGTGATCACGAAATGATGGATACTAGTCAAAATGTACTGCCACCAGCTCCTGCAGGAAGTAGTAGGTTCATTTGCATAGCATGATTATATTTACAGGTCATGCTTTTGCTAAAGGCAGATCATCAGAACGTTTTTGATTACTTACTAAAGGAAAGAAAAGAGAAAAAATCTTGCTGCATCTGTGCCCTAAATATAGGAATTAATAGGGTATAGCATACCAACTCAGTTTCAGCAGGAAACACTCATGTAGGGATTTAGGGGTTTTTACCCATGTTTTAACCATGGCTGAAAAATTTCACTCAGGATGAGCTATGTTATATAGGAAAATCTCATCAAACCCTTACATTTTTTCCATAACGTTTATAATCAACGATTATCTCTGTTTCAGATATGATGTTTTCAGAAAAATGAGACCCACAAAATTCTTAAAGAAAATAAGGAGAAAAAAAAAGAAAGAAATGAAAAACATGTTTTTTCTTAAAAATATTTTGTCAGGATTAGATTTCTTTTGTTAATTACAGAGATCCCAGACAATTATTTAATGAGTATCAGCATAGAACTGGCAAAGGAACTAAGATGGAGGATGTTATGTGCAGAACTTGATATAAGTATTGATGATTTGGACGAAATAACAGCAACAGGAAGGTCTACAGCAGGAAAAATCTACCTTATGTTATCGTACTGGAGGGATACGATGGTGAATGACAATCCGAATGCTGGTCAAATGCTGTACCTTGCTATGTATAAGGCAAACTTTCAGGTTCTGGCTTTAAATCTGGCCCTGAAAAACTTATTTCCAGGAGTGGTTATGGAACCTATTCCAAGTACTACTGAAGGTAAAGATTTTCATAAAAATCTTCACATCTAGAATTATTTGTCTTTAGAAATGGATCATTCCTCTTTATAAACTAGTGTTTTATCTTTTGAAATTAATATTTCTCTTTAAGAATTAATATTCTTATTTTTAGAAATTATTTGTATTTTGAAATTAGTAATAACAGTTGAAAACGAGGCTGAGCAAGTGAACACCTTCAAGGTATGCTCTAATTAATTTTGTGTAACATCGTCAAATTATTGACTTATTTAACTCGCAATTTTGTCAGTAGTTACAGAGATCAATCGTCATTACAGCTTGAGCATGCCATTTATCTTAATATGATGTGTTTATCCTCCAAATCGAGAACAGTCTATGAGTACATCTTACATGTATGTTTACATGTCCGTCGTACGCGTACATAGTATTTAAACTGACCACTCATGAACATCATACAGTGCATGTACTCTATCTTCTAGTCGTACATTGAAAGTAAAAGCAATCAGCACATGAATTTGATGCTACAATGTGTATGACACTGTGAAATTAACTTTTATATAATCACAAATTACCTTTGAAGTGACCAATCCAAATTACAATCACTCTAGAGGATACGATACGTACGGTTTATCATCATGGAGAGTGACTCTATAAGCATTGATGATCACACTATGACATCGACGCAGATAGACAAGAGTATGTTCAATCATAAAAGAGAAACTGTTGGATCGTGTGACAAAGTCAAATTCAAGAAAAGATTGCGATCGATTTACAAAAGCAGTGTTGATGAACTAGCGAACGTCCGGCAATCACTCTATGATCTGGCAATAGAGACAAGGTCGGATACGCCCCGTGGGTCACTTATTAAGCGTACTAACGGTGGACATACGTCTGCGATTGAGAAATACCTGGATGATATATTTTCATTATACCACTATATCGACGGTGGCAATGGAAGCAATGACATTAAATATATGGTGACGAAAACGAAAGACAAACTCGATATGGAAAACAACTCGCAGTGTGAAAATCCCGACGTATCAGTACTATCCTGTGACACTTCACCAAAACAAGTGTATAGAACGGAATCAATCGTGCGTGAAGACAACGGTACTGGTCAGCCACATACTACTCATGGGCCCATTTCTGATAGTAACAACAAGTTTAACGACCAAACAGTTGCTGATTTGTTTATATTAATTGTCAACATGAGAAATGAAATGATTTCGGGGATAGAATATATCACTAAGGATCTTCGTGAAGATATTCGGGATCTGAAATCTGAAATACGTGATGTCCGCGCTATAAATGAGCGAAAAGACAAAGAAATAAAATCATTAGAAAATATCATACAGGATTTGCGAGTACAAATAGAACACAAGGGGTTGTCCATGGATTCGACGAAACAAAGTACGCTACAATGCCCAGATCAGTCTGAATCTAGAATCAAAGTACCGCAAGTACTGAATGAGAAATCATCAAATATTATGTCACAAGGACCTGCTGTTCTCCAGTCTGTTACATCGCATCACGCTAGCTACGCAGAGATTGCGCAAGGTGCTAGCGATTCTAGCGTGCTCTCTGTCACAGTAGGTGACGACGTGAAACCTGGTACAAATCAACGAGGACGGAACGTAACTTTCCACGGTTACAATACTAAACAGCAACTCGGCGAGCGCGAGAACAGTGATGACTCACGGACGTCCTCATATCAGTTTCGTGGCGTAAAACGCAAACAGCGCAACAGGCAACTCGTTATGTCTAGAATCACAGCCAATGCTGAAGAGGAGGAGGTGATCAGCTCCATAGTTAGCTTTGCCGCTGAAAGAGGTGTCAAGGTGACCTACATGAAAATAATTAAATACTGGGGAGGTGATGAGCCCACATATACAGCCAGACTTAATGTTCGTGAATGTGACTTCGGGAAAGCTACAGATCCAACATTCTGGCCGGAAAATATTCTGGTACGCGAATGGGAGTACCGGAAACGATTCGATGGTGTACCGCGCTCTAATACGACATCATGGAGTTAAAGCATTCCACAAAGATATACTCGTTCTCTATATGTATAATTTTCACAGTTCTCTGTTGGAACATTCGCGGTGTAATGTATGGTACACCGTTATTAACCGAACTTCTGGCAGATACCGACATTGCCGTTATAACAGAACATTGGCTATTGCCAGAGCAGATGAACTTCTTAAATAGCATCGATGCAAATTTTAAAGCTTACGGGGTTAGCGACAAAAGAATTCCAGTTGAACCTGAGAATAGAATATGCAATCGTGGATATGGTGGTTTAGCTATATTATGGCGCAACCAATTAAATGTATGTCCAGTTCTGTCTGACGGAAGTGACAGAGTACTTTGCTGTTCTGTACAGCTTCACAACAAGTCTTGTGTCTTTGTCATCGGTGTCTTACTTCCATCTACGAACGTTCCATTGCGTGAGTATAGAGAAACATTGGAATATATCTCCGACCTCTACGATAAATTTTCAGACCAAGGACATGTAATTGTTGTAGGCGATTTCAATGCTCAAATCGGAAAACGTTTCGGAGAAAAGAATCGCGTGAATCCAAATGAAAGAGGTCGCTTATTGGAAAGCTTTATAGACGAGAAAAGTCTAATATCGGTCAATTCTCAAGCTTGGGCTAAAGGTGGTCTATCAACATTTGTTTCGAAGGATGGACATGAATCTCTCATCGATCACGCTATGGTCAAATCTACAAAAGTAGACTGCGTAAGTGAATGTATTATACTTGATGACAATTATCTTAACGCTTCTGATCATCTTCCCATAATCCTACGTTACAAGGTACCAGCTCTCTTGAATAATAGACGGAAACGCAGTGCACATGCCGTAAACTGGAATAAATGTACCGCTCAACAAAAAGCAAACTATGCTTTGCAGGTCTCTGAAATTCTATCTACATATACAGACAATGTAGCTAGGATAAGTAATGTCGACTTGTTACAACGTACAGTAAATGACGTTGTTTTTGCTGTACATGAAGCGGCAAGGAAAACTTTGCCCTTCAAAAGATATCGACCATACCTTAAGCCTTATTGGAAAAATGGACAAGTTAAACAACTCCACAAGGTCATGCGTGAAAAGCGGTTAATATGGCTGGGGGAAGGTAAACCACGAGGATCTCAGTCTCAATCGTATTGCGAATATAAGCGCTGTAAGCGTAATTTTCGGAACGAGCTTAGCAGAGCGCGGGAAGAGTATGAGCAAAGGCAATTTCAAGAACTGCAAGCCGCAGCGGAGATGGATTCCGGAACATTCTACAGGACCATTCGCGCAAGGAAGTTGAATAGGCATGAATCGTCCGAGATCAGAATTAATGGCGAAATATCTCGTGATCCTGATATAAATCGTAATGCATGGACGTCACACTACAGCAAACTAGCTCAGGTTACATCCAAGCCTCATTTTGACAATGAGCATAAACGTCTAATCGACAATGACATCAATCGGCTGCGCGAGGAATCCTTTTTCAATGACGATATAATCTGTCGCAACGAAATTACAGCGACAGAAGTTTCTATTGCATTAAAGGATATGAATAACGGTAAAGCAGGCGGTCACGATTACGTAGTTGTGGAACACATTCGATTTGCTGGTAACTGTTTGTTAGATCTCGTTACCATAATATTCAATTCTATTCTTGAAATCGAAGACTATCCACCTTCATTTAAGCATGGAATAGTGATATCCTTATTCAAAGGAGGGAAAAAGGATAGACTCGATATGAATAATTATAGAGATATAACTCTGACTCCCGTTCTTCAGAAGCTTTTTGAAAAGGTCATGTACAAGAGAATTGCGAAGGTTTCCGAACACAATAACTTCCCACACGGACTGCAACAAGGATTCCGACCACTTTGTGGTAGCATCACAGCAGCATTTATAGTGAGAGAAGCGGCACTTCATTATTTAGAAATGCACACGAATGTGTACGCCGCGTTCTTGGACAATGCGAAGGCCTTCAATAGTGTATGGGTAAATGGACTACTGTATAAATTGTACCATAATGGATTCAATGGTAAAATTTGGCGTATTCTACAAAATTCCTTTAAAGATGTGACATCTTGTGTATTGTACGAAGGAATAAAGGGGAATGCGTACGAGGTCAAGCAAGGTGTCGGTCAAGGTCGGACTTTGTCATCCTGGATGTTTCTTGTAATGATCAACGACCTGATTTCAAAACTTGACTCTACTAGTCTTGGTCTACAAATTCATGGGCTCCACATACCAGCGGTGTTCCTGGCGGATGATACGTTGCTTCTCTCGTCTTCTGTCGGCAATATTCAAAACCTCCTTGACACGGTATATGAATTTTCCTGCAAGTGGAGATTGGCCTATAATCCAGCGAAAAGCTCGCTGCTACGATTCCATCAAGGTAGGAAAAAGAGTGTTCCACAAATTGAATGTAAGTTGGGTGAACAAGCTATACAGTGGACCACAGAGAAGGAATATGCCGGGATTATACTCACTCAGTCCCTACAATGTAACGAGGACATTAAACGATCATGCGCAAAAGGGCGCCAGTCGCTAAATGCCCTAATAAGCGCAGGAATTCATGACGGGGGTATGAACCCTCTCATCAGTTGCAAGTTGGTTGAATCAATTGTCCAGCCAGGAATTCTCTATGGCTCGGAGTTATGGGGAGCTCCTACCAATCGCTCACAAGAAGATCTTCGACTGACGCAAAGGTATTTGGCTCGTAGGTGTCAGGGTTTCGAGAAAAGATCTCCAACTCTGGTGACCATACAGGCAATTGGCCTGCTCGATATTTGTGGCGAGGTTGAAAAAAGAAAGCTTATGTTTTGGAACAAACTGTGTCTTGCTAGTAATACATTTGTCTGGAAAATGCTGTTCATCATTAGATTATGTACCTTTTTATTCGGTAGAAACAACATTAGTCCAAAAAGTTTCATATACGATATATTCATAACTGCTTCAAAACTAGGTATATCGTCTAGCATATTCGATTATGTCTTTGAGGGCTTCTGTCCCTTACGTTCATCATGGAGACAGTTCTGTAACCGAGTAGTCCATGACTTTTACTATTCAAAGTGGAGTCAGCGAATCGTGATGGAACCTTCCCTTAAGACGTTTTGCTCAATTCAGGATAGTTGTGGGCCCCATCCTTTGTGGATCCTCGGCAAAGAATATCCAAGTTTCACGTGGAAACTTGGAGAACTGATTAAATTGTCGTATCGTTATATGACAGAACCCGTTAATTGTAAATTGTGTAAAAGACATGTCGACGACATAGCAGTACATTTCCTTATTCAATGTCCATGTTTGTTCACAAGCCGAGACAGATTACTTGAGTATTATGTCAATTTCCTAGACGTCCACGAATACGTGGCTTTCGATAACTTGGAAGACCAGCAAAAGACTAGCTTCATTCTCGGAAGTAAGCAGGATTTAGCACTTGATTACGAAAGATGGTCGGTTTTGATGCTGAACACTGCGAAATTTGTATATATTATGCTCTGCGAAATGAACACTTTAATTGAAATTTAACTCTGCAAAATGAACATTTTTTTTTCTGTAGAATTAACTCTAATATGTAATTATATCGACAAACATATGTACTGATGAAATCTCTGCAAAGAGGAAATAAAGAAAGTCAGTCAGTCAGTCAGTCAGTCACTAGAAATTCATTATTTCTTTTGAGAATGTATTATTTATCTTTAGAAGTCAGTGGTTTATCTTTAGAAAGGACCTCTTTCATGAACAATGGAAATTTGCCCATGACCCAATTTAATCCAAACCATGTGGCATTTATGCACGGATGCATGTAACTGCCCACAACTCCTTATTGGCACTTACTTGCATCCGGACACCGAGGTAACTTTGAGTAATCGAGAACCTCTACAAGCCAAACTAGGAGATATTACTGGCCAGGTCATTAATGATTTGTTTGAAATAATACACAAGATAGGCAAAGATGGAATTGCACCAAAGCTACAGTTCGCAAATCTATCAGATACCGACTGTATTGCATGGACTGGCTGGACCTTAGAACAGTTGAAGAACTGTGCCGATCTGATCTTTCAGTTTTGACTTTGTCTGCCAGTTCACTGGATGTTCTTCTGTTTTTTCTGGGTTAAATTAAAAACTAACCCTTCATGGAAGCAGATGACAGCATTGACAAAACTGTCAGAATCTACACTGTCCAGATATTTTCACAACATAGTTGATGTTTTGAACACAACACTTGTGCCAAAATATCTTGGAACAGGACATCTTTCTCGTGAGGAAGCCATATCCCACAATACAGTTTTTACAAAGACATTCTATGGTGACAACGTAAATCTCATCTTGGATGGAACATATATCTATCTAAACAAAAGCAGCCATCATGAGTTTCGAAGGGCATCTTATGGGGGGCAAAAGAAAACCAATTATCTAAAATTCATGTCATTTGTGTTACCTGATGGATACGTGTTAGACACAATAGGACCATACTATGGCAGCATCAATGATGCAAGCATTACAAAAAAGATCATAGGTAATTTTGATCTTCTACACCATCACTTACATCTGACAAATGTACGAGATCTACACCATCACTTACATCAGACAAATGACCAGTGTAGAGCATACTAGCACTGACGTACGTAGTGTACGAGATCTACACCATCACTTACATCAGACAAATGACCAGTGTAGAGCATACTAGCACTGACGTACGTAGTGTACGAGATCTACACCATCACTTACATCAGACAAATGACCAGTGTAGAGCATACTAGCACTGACGTACGCAGTGTACGAGATCTACACGGTCACCTTCATCAGACAAATGACCAGTGGGGAGCGTACTAGCACTGACGTACGTAGTGTACGAGATCTACAAGGTCACCTTCATCAGACAAATGACCAGTGTGGAGCGTACTAGCACTGACGTACTTAGTGTACGAGATCTACAAGGTCACCTTCATCAGACAAATGACCAGTGTGGAGCGTACTAGCACTGACGTACTTAGTGTACGAGATCTACACGGTCACCTTCATCAGACAAATGACCAGTGTGGAGCGTACTAGCACTGATGTACTTAGTGTACGAGATCTACACAGTCACCTTCATCAGACAAATGGCCAGTGTGGAGCGTACTAGCACTGATGTACTTAGTATACGAGATGGTAGGGAATTAACCAGCTTTCCCTGCCGTACTATAAACCAATGTACACTTAGGTCGAAATAGTGTGACAAACTGTTAAACAGATTATATACCAAAAAAGTACACCAGATGGTCACAATGTACCGAAGTCAATTTGTCATAGAAACATCACACTCTAATATTCTATTGGTTGTGTTTTAAGATGAAGGTTACCGTGTAGTCATCGTCACACTCTAATATTCTACTAGTTGTGTTATAAGATGAAGGTGACCGTGTAGTCATAGAAACATCACACTCTAATATTCTACTAGTTGTGTTATAAGATGAAGGTGACCATGTAGTCATTGAAACATCACACTCTAGTATTCTACTGGTTGTGTTATTAGATGAAGGTGACTGTGTAGTCATTGAAACGTCACACTCTAATATTCTAATGGTTGTATTATAAAACTTCTGTTCTGTTGACATTACCAACCTGAAGAATATCTTTCAAAAATATGAAATCATTTAAGTTTGGCTGTTAAAACATTTGATTACCTATAATATATTGATTTCAAAACACTCCTATGAATTATTCAGTTAAGGTTTTAGTGATTTTGGAATGACCTGTGTTCTATTATATTGAAATGTGATATGTTTTGTAATGTAATCCTGTTGTCCTTTTCAATAGAAAACAAGGAGACTGGCATGGAAGAACAGGTAAATCCTCCGACACAGCCCATTCCCACACCAACTCCACCCAATGACTCCAGCCATGAAATATCACCTGCTGTGGCTCGTGTATCACCATGCCCTCAGGACCCATCATCAAGCAGACAGGAGAACATGACAGAAAATATTGCCATTCACGGAGGTTGTTTTCATGCAGTGTTTCTTGTATAGATATTTCAAATTGCTTGATTGCCATAACATCTGTTTGAATTACCTTCCTTCATTCTACTTGTTTTATTTGTTCAAGATCATTTTCAAGAACTTTGATTTGTTTTTCTTCAGAATATATAAACAAGGTCAAATAACTATCAATTATAGTTGTTTTTTTATAACATGGAACTCTTTTATGAAGAAGGGGTATATATACCCATAATAAAACATTTTTTTTTTCAATTTCAGAAGAAGCGCAGTTGTCCATCTTAAATCCCAGTCAATCAACTGCCAATCAACCTGAAGGTGTCCAGCACAATCTTCAGCCAGGTAGGTATTAACAGTCTATGGTCAGTCAGTGTTAAAGTCCAGATAAACACTGACCAGACTGAGGCAGTGCGGTGGTCAAACAAAGAAGATAAGTTACTATTCTCACATCTTTATCAGATTGTAAAACTATGTCAGTTTATATAATTTCCATAACTAGTTCGGTATACCTAACAATCAGTAAATGATATATGTTTCTCCAGTTATAAGCATATCCACTGAATTTTAAGTCAGAATAATATTTTGTCCCAGGGGAGTCAACTATTCATATTTCTTATACTTTTTTTAAAGAGAAGGTAAAAAAAAAATCATAAAGGCTGCACCATTGGTAAGTTCAAGTTAAAGCTGTACTTAATGTCATGGTTTAATATGTTACATGTTGTTTTTATGATACCATCACCTTTCAAACAACTACATATTTATCTGCTTTTGTAGGTCTTCCAGCTGATGGCAGAATGTCAGGTGGCCAGGAGTTGCCCAGAGAGCCGATAAATGAGACTGAGCAACAAAGACAAGATAATGAACTTATTCGCCAAATGCAGCGGGCTCATGTTGACAACGAAATAGATCTACCTAGCTACAAAATGGATGCCAAACCAAGAGGTACACATACATATGAGATAAAGTAAAATTTTGTGTTTCAAAAAACAATATGGTGAAAGAATTGTAAATTAAATGTCAGTTAAACTACGATACAGTGTTTGAAGACATTTTAGAGACTTTTGGACTGACGTCATGCCTGATGAAGCTAACAAACAGATCTGTTCTTGCTGAAATGGTTATGTCCTTAGACAAGAAACTTCACCCTGACTGCTTAAGATAGAATATGATGGGCCTCCTGTATGTTGTTCAGTGAAGTAGCCAACAGCTACTACAAGAGCCCGCCTCTAAATGACCCTGCCTGTTCTCAGGGCACTAAACCAAGCAAACAAAAACCATGCCTGTAACTTGTAATGTGTTTGACTCGTGGATAGGAAGACAAGTATGTGTTGTCTGTCTGGGTTAAGTGTTACATCAAAGAACACAACATTGGGTAACAGGACGTTTCTTGACATGACATTATTTCTGGTATATGTAGGTTATATATCTAGTAACATGACATGGCTTGTGGTATATAAAAGTTACATTTCTAGTAACATGACATTACTTGTGGTATATGTAGGTTATATTTCTAGTAACATGACATTACTTGTGGTATATAAAGGTTATATATTTCTAGTAACATGACATTACTTGTGGTATATGTATGTTATATTTCTAGTAACATGACATTACCTGTGGTATATAAAGGTTACATGTCTAGTAACATGACATTATGTGTAGTATATGTAGGTTATATTTCTAGTAACATGACATTACTTGTGGTATATGCATGTTATATATTTCTAGTAACATGACATTACTTGTGGTATATGCATGTTATATTTCTAGTAACATGACATTACTTGTGGTATATAAAGGTTACATTTCTAGTAACATGACATTACTTGTGGTATAAGTAGGTTATATATTTCTAGTAACATGACATTACTTGTTGTATATAAAGGTTATATTTCTAGTAACATGACATTACTTGTGGTATATGTAGGTTATATTTCTAGTAACATGACATTACTTGTGGTATATAAAAATTATATTTAGTAACATGACATTACTTGTTGTATTTAAAGGTTACATTTCTAGTAACATGACATTACTTGTGGTATAAGTAGGTTATATATTTCTAGTAACATGACATTACTTGTGGTATAAGTAGGTTATATATTTCTAGTAACATGACATTACTTGTGGTAAATAAAGGTTACATTTCTAGTAACATGACATTACTTGTGGTATATGTAGGTTGTATTTTTAGTAACATGACATTACTTGTGGTAAATAAAGGTTACATTTCTAGTAACATGACATTACTTGTGGTATAAGTAGGTTATATATTTCTAGTAACATGACATTACTTGTGGTATATAAAGGTTATATTTCTAGTAACATGACATTACTTGTGGTATATAAAGGTAATGATTCTAGTCACATGACATTACTTGTGGTATATGTAGGTTATATTTCTAGTAACATGACATTACTTGTGGCATATGCATATGATATATTTCTAGTAACATGACATTACTTGTGGTAAATAAAGGTTACATTTCTAGTAACATGACATTACTTGTGGTATATGTAGGTTATATTTCTAGTAACATGACATTACTTGTGATATATGCATGTTATATATTTCTAGTAACATCACATTACTTGTGGTATATAAAAATTATATTTAGTAACATGACATTACTTGTTGTATTTAAAGGTGTTTGTGTAATCATCAACAATGAGAAATTCTATAAAGTGCCAGGAGATGATAACAGTAAAGAAATGCCGAACCGTGTTGGGACACAAAAAGATGCAGGTGAGATTGATAGCATGATATGGTTACACCTAGAAAAATATTCATCCGTTTGTTATTTTTAAAAAGGTAAAGGAATTTTTTTCTGTTTTAGTTAGAAACTTTCAAAATGAAATTTTGCCGGAAAGACTCACAAGTGAATATCACCTTTCAATACAAATTTAGAATAATATATGATAGGGTCAAACATTTGAATAGCTACATCATACAGTTGTTTCGTCCTTCTAGGGCCCATCAGTAATACTACATCATACAGTTGTTTCATTCTTCTAGGGCCCATCAGTGATACTACATCATACAGTTGTTTTGTCCTTCTAGGGCCCATCAGTGATACTACATCATACAGTTGTTTCGTCCTTCTAGGGCCCATCAGTGATACTACATCATACAGTTGTTTCATCCTTCTAGTGCCCATCAGTGATACTAAAGGCTTATAGTGTTGACATTTAAGAGATGACTGGATGATCAAAATTGATATTAATGAATTGTAAACTGTGCTCATTGTTACAGAAGTGATGTGTATGATTAGATAACACAAACTAGGAAAAGGATTGTCTTGTCCTAAGTTGCCAAATTTTCATTAAATCATTTATATAGTTTATAAAGGAATCAATTTTAAAAATGGAAAAGATGAAAAACTGAACCAATTGCTGACATTTCTTTGAACTATGAGCAATAAGATATATATTATCAGATAAGTACTATTGGTGTTGAGAGTAGCTACAAATTTCATCCGCCATTTGATTCATTGGAAAGTTGGAGTTTGATATTTAAATACAGGTATAATGATTTTGGACCAATTCAGTATTTGTAACATGATTGGTATTTCAATTCAACAAGTTTTGTACTAATAATAAAAGGATAAGAAAATGTACAGTTCATAAAATATCTTTGACAGCAATTTCACAAAAAATTGCAAAAAAACTTCAATAAAGAGAATATCTAATTTTCTTGTAAAACAAAACAAAGAGTAAATCTCTGATACCACTGTCTTATTGTTCTGATGTCAATGAAACATCTACTGTAACAGATTCCTCAGAGTGGAGGATTCTTCATATATCATACTGAATGTACAAGAAGATATGTTTTTTTCCTTTACAGAGAGATTGAGATATATATTTCAGAAGCTTGACTTCATAGTAGAAACATTCAATGACCAGACTGATTTCGAGATTGCTCAGGTGCTGAGCAGCATTGGCTATCGCAACCATGAACGTTTTGATTGTTTTGTGTGCTGCATTTTGACCCATGGAGCCGCTGGTCACATATTTGGTAGTAATGGAAAGATGCTGAGAATTGACATCCTCACAGGATTTTTCCGGGCACAGTTGTGCCCCACTCTTGCTGGCAAACCAAAGCTGTTTTTTATCCAGGCCTGCCAGGGAAGAGAAAAACAGGGAGGTGAGATACATGTCTTATTTAGCTTTCTTTTAATAATTTTTACATGTGGGATTTAACAGTAAAATATCTACTCAACCCAGAGGCGTGAAATACACGAACAGGAAACGGCCCAATGGTCTCTTCTCTGGTCTTAGCTTTTGTGTTTGATCACTGAGTCTTGAAACCATAGTTTTAGTTTAAACATATCTTTTTGTTATCAAATTGGAACGTCAGATTAATTTGTCAGTAAGTTTCACCCTTTCCTACCACCAGGTTTACAATATTTAAATAACAATAGTCACATGAATAAACATTAAATTGTGAAATATGAAGATTAGACAGTTTATCATGTTTAGTACTACATATAAGTTAATTAAGTACAGATTATAAATTTACAAGAGAGACAGAGAGCCAGAGGGAGAGAGAGAGGAGGAGAGAGAAAAAGAGACCGAGGGAGAGATGGAGAGAGAGAGAGAGAGAGAGGGAGGGATGGAGTGAGAGAGAGAGAGAGAGATGGATGGAGAGAGAAGAGGGAAAGATAGTGATCATTCAAGTTTAAAGACGTCCTCTTCCCTCACTGTTGTTATACAATTTTATCTACCTATGCCCCATTTATTTCTATGCTGTAGTTAGTTTGGACTTTGGACTGGACTGTCTTGAGCCATTTTTAAAATATCAAAAGTTAACAGAAATTATTCAGCACAAAAGTTAGCACATTTAATTTGAAAATTATTACACTTTCTACTACTTTTCATTTTGAAAATATAGTAATGTACTTTTGGAGAAGAATTAACACAGCAAATTAACATGACTTCCTTTACTGTAGACTGAGATGTAAAAGTAGACAGTCTCCTATCCATGTGAAACTGAGAACTACATGTTTGGTTTGTCAAGTAAACAGTGAAACAATTAAGTTCAAACAGCATCTTTGATAAGCCATACATTTTCTTTAGTAATCATCAGGCAATCCTCTCACAGCTCCAAAAATAGTTTTGGATGAAAGTTGTAATATTTAATTTCCAAACATGACACACCAGTTCTTATCTATAGCTGTGACTTTTTTTGGGGGGGATGGGGGTGAGGCATTAATGGTTAATCATGTCTGCATTATCTCTGAGCATCTTGTCCTGTTTCTAATCTATATCACAATATCAATATCAATGCCTTGACAACCTCTCAGCATATTAAGTTCCTATATACCCCATAGTATCACAACATCAAGTTCTGTACACCTGATCAGCTTCTGGTTTTTACAGGAGCAGGGACATTATATACAATTTTTAGTTTCAATGGAGAGTTGATAATGATTTAAAGGGCACTGTTACTTGCAACAATCGCTGAATCAGTAAAAATGGACGAGATGCTTGACCAACTGATAAAAGATAAACCTTTATTTTACAAGGCTATGACATTGAAGCAGACGCTGCAGTAATGCGACAACACCCAAGTAGACAGGACATTATGGTTGACATTAACGGTCGGGAGATGATTCCAGATGAAGCCGATTACATTTTGGGGTATGCCACTGTGCCAGGTTATGTGTCTTACCGAAGTCGAAGCCAGGGAAGTTGGTTCATCAACAAACTTGTGGATATGCTGGACAAATATGCCTACAGGTTGGTAACTGTATATAGAATGTGTTTGGATATGCTTGACAAATATGCCTACAGGTTGGTAACTGTATATAAAGTAGAATGTGTTTGGATATGCTGGACAAATATGCCTACAGGTTGGTAATTGTATATAGAATGTGTTTGGATATGCTGGACAAATATGCCTACAGGTTGGTAACTGTATATAGAGTAGTTTGTAGAATGTGTTTGGATATGCTGGACAAATATGCCTACAGGTTGGTAATTGTATATAGAATGTGTTTGGATATGCTGGACAAATATGCCTACAGGTTGGTAACTGTATATAGAATGTGTTTGGATATGCTTGACAAATATGCCTACAGGTTGGCAACTGTATATAAAGTAAAATGTGTTTGGATATGCTAGACAAATATGCCTACAGGTTGGTAATTGTATATAGAATGTATTTGGATATGTTGTACAAATATGCCAACAGGTTGGTAACTGTATATAAAGTAGACTGTGTTTGGATATGCTGGACAAATATGCCTACAGGTTGGTAATTGTATATAGAATGTGTTTGGATATGCTGGACAAATATGCCTACAGGTTGGTAACTGTATATAAAGTAGAATGTGTTTGGATATGCTGGACAAATATGCCTACAGGTTGGTAATTGTATATAGAATGTGTTTGGATATGCTAGACAAATATGCCTACAGGTTGGAAACTGTATATAAAGTAGAATGTGTGTGGATGTGCTGGACAAATATGCCTACAGGTTGGTAATTGTATATAAAGTAGAATGTGTTTGGATATGCTGGACATATATGCCTACGGGTTGGTAATTGTACATAGAATGTGTTTGGATATGCTGGACAAATATGCCTACAGGTTGTTAATTGTATATAAAGTAGAATGTGTTTGGATATGCTGGACAAATATGCCTACAGGTTGGTAACTATATATAAAGTAGAATGTGTTTGGATATGCTGGACAAATATGCCTACAGGTTGGTAACTGTATATAAAGTAGAATGTGTTTGGATATGCTGGACAAATATGCCTACAGGTTGGTAACTGTATATAAAGTAGAATGTGTTTGGATATGCTGGACAAATATGCCTACAGGTTGGTAATTGTATATAAAGTAGAATGTGTTTGGATATGCTGGACAAATATGCCAACAGGTTTGTAACTGTATATAAAGTAGAATGTGTTTGGATATGCTGGACAAATATGCCTACAGGTTGGTAATTGTATATAGAATGTGTTTGGATATGCTGGACAAATATGCCTACAGGTTGGTAATTGTATATAAAGTAGAATGTGTTTGGTATATGCTGGACAAGTATGCCTACAGGTTGGTAACTGTATATAAAGTAGAATGTGTTTGGATATGCTAGACAAATATGCCTACAGGTTGGTAACTGTATATAAAGTAGAATGTTTGGATATGCTGAACGAATATGCCTACAGGTTGGTAACTGTATATAGAATGTGTTTGGATATGCTGGACAAATATGCCTACAGGTTGGTAACTGTATATAAAGTAGAATGTGTTTGGATATGCTGGACAAATATGCCTACAGGTTGGTAACTGTATATAAAGTAGAATGTGTTTGGATATGCTGGACAAATATGCCTACAGGTTGGTAACTGTATATAAAGTAGAATGTGTTTGGATATGCTGGACAAATATGCCTACAGGTTGGTAACTATATATAAAGTAGAATGTGTTTGGATATGCTGGACAAATATGCCTACAGGTTGGTAACTGTATATAAAGTAGAATGTGTTTGGATATGCTGGACAAATATGCCTACAGGTTGGTAACTGTATATAAAGTAGAATGTGTTTGGATATGCTGGACAAATATGCCTACAGGTTGGTAACTGTATATAAAGTAGAATGTGTTTGGATATGCTGGACAAATATGCCTACAGGTTGGTAACTGTATATAAAGTAGAATGTGTTTCTTGTTTTTAAATTAACACCATCAGAGGGTTGGCTGTTTTGATTACATGCTGTCAATAGTTTGACAGTCCTTATTAATATCATTCTTGTAATTTCTTCAAAGTATTAACTTCTTGTGTATTTTCCTAGTTGGTTCTCATTTACCCCTTTTTTTGTCCTCAAAGTGGTATGGTGTTGTCTGTCTGTTTATCTGTAGATCTCTCTCAGTCTTCAACAGATTTCCTTGAAGCTTTGTAGCTAAATGTGACATGAGTTTGTGTTTTTCTGAAGGACAGTTACTTTCTCCTGTATTGTGAAGAGTTACATCCCCTTGTTGTTTTCCTGATGTTAGATTTGTGCGAAGATCCTCTCTGTCAATTGAGCTTAAATCACCATGACAGGATCCATGGGCTTAAATCACCATGACAGGAAGTGATGTTTTCCTAAAAGCAGTTTGATTTTTAACCTTTTCATTCTCTTATGGGGGTCTTCCTCATTATTTCATCAGTTTCTCTGAAACTTTGTAGACTTTATAACCATTACATGAAATGATGTTTTATTTACTGGCATTGTGATCTAACAATTTTTGAAAAAGTGTTATTGCCCTTTGTGTATCTTTATCATTTTTGTCATATCCAAATATATACTTCCTCACTTCTTGACCAATTTCTCAAAGACTTTGTAGGCTTGGGAACCATAGCATGAGATTGTGTTCTTGGGAATAACCTTTTGTTTCCACAACATTTCAAAAAGTCATTGTCCTTTGTTCTCTACTGCATTTCAGAAATGGGAAACCCTATTGGCCAAAGGGCAAAATGTGCAATGTAAAAATGTAGAGAAAATTTGACTGTTAATGTGATTTTTTTCCCTTTGGTGTAGATACGACTTACTCAGTGTGCTTGTAAAGGTGAATGAGGAAGTAGGAAATGCTATCGCCAACATTGATGGAGGACGATACAAACAGATCCCAGCTCCTCTAGTTACGCTGAGGAAGAGACTCTGCTTCCGCTGACCCTACCAATGATTCACAGCTTAAATGATTGAAACTGGAATCTATAATTCTTGCTTGAATGTGTGATCACTGTGATAATGTTTGAGTGTACAATATATCAGAACTCACCATGTGTATGCTGGGCAGACTGATCTGTCTGATCATAAACCACACCTGCTGTTTACATGTTTAAGCTATATACCATATATTCTCATCATGAATGATCAAAATAGTATGATTACCCGTTATAATCTGCACTGGTAAAATAAGCTGCAGAGCCAATTTTTACCAATTCTTTTTATTTGATCCCCACATAAGCCTCACTGGAATATAAGCCTCACCCTTTCTTATGATATGGTGACCACTAATGTTGACATTTGATATACCAGATAATAGAAGACAGTTCTTACAAAGTGGTAAACGTTACATAGACCAAAGTTTGTGTATATAACAGACAATCGAGGGCAATTAAGCAAGGTCGTCAGTGAAACATTTAATAAAAGTTTGCAAATGAATTATGCACAGATAATCTTTTATATAATTGATGTAGTTCAAATAACATAAAATAGCAAATATCAGACTTGTTTGGCTTGGGTGCCTTCACAGATTGTCTACGCACAGATATAGGGCCTGACGTTATATACGGTTTACGAAACAATCTCTCCATCAGTGTCTGTACTGTTGAATATTAATGAAGGCTCTTGCATGCTGACCAAATTCTTTTGGCTCCATATTATTTCTTCTTGTCAGTTTCATGAAGCCATTCATATTATAAATAAGCATGGTGGTTGTTGACCTATAACCAATGACCTATTGATCCCAGGATGCAAAAGATGATTGTAAACTTCTACCATGGCTTCAAAGTAACAGTGAAAGTCCAGAAGATATCATTGTAATTCATATCAAAAGGCATGCCTTATTAAATCCACAAGAATCGTCTTCTTACCTCAATCTTTAAATCATCCTGTATACAGTTGTAAATGATGATTCCAGAGGATCTGTTTCAGTCACAAACACAAGACGGGCAGGTACTCATAAAAAAAACTTGGTACGGTCTCTACTCCAACAATGTGAGAGGTTTTACACAACAAGAAATTCATGAAATACAACCAAGCTTACTCTCTTATAACAAATATTCTACATACTTAACGAATGAAACAATGTTAACTGTCTTATAAATACCATATAACAGTGCACTCATCCCCATTTTTTTGAAAAATAAATTCAATCATATTCTATTGAAATTGTATGCAAAGCAAACATGTTGTAATGATTGTAAATAGTGTAAATTCCTACCAATGAATTGTTTACATGCTTCTATATGTAGACTTTGTGTTGAGATGGCGTGTAGACTTTGTGTTGAGATGGCGTGTAGACTTTGTGTTGAGATGGCGTGAAGACTTTGTGTTGAGATGGGGTGTAGACTTTGTGTTGAGATGATCTGAGACTTTGTGTTGAGATGGCGTGTAGACTTTGTGTTGAGATGGCGTGTAGACTTTGTGTTGAGATGGCGTGAAGACTTTGTGTTGAGATGGGGTGTAGACTTTGTGTTGAGATGATCTGAGACTTTGTGTTGAGATGGCGTGTAGACTTTGTGTTGAGATGGCGTGTAGACTTTGTGTTGAGATGGCGTGAAGACTTTGTGTTGAGATGGGGTGTAGACTTTGTGTTGAGATGATCTGAGACTTTGTGTTGAGATGGCGTGAAGACTTTGTGTTGAGATGGTGTGTTTATACTTTGTGTTGAGGTGGCGTGTAGACTTTGTGTTGAGATGGTGTGTGTAGACTTTGTGTTGAGATGGTGTGTGTAGACTTTGTGTTAAGATGGCCTGAAGACTTTGTGTTGAGATGGCGTGTGTAGACTTTGTATTGAGATGGTGTGTGTATACTTTGTGTTGAGATGGTATGTGTAGACTTTGTGTTGAGATGGTGTGTGTATACTTTGAGTTGAGATGGTCTGAGACTTTGTGTTGAGATGGTCTGAGACATTGTGTTGAGATGGCGTGTAGACTTTGTGTTGAGATGGTCTGAGACTTTGTGTTGAGATGGCGTGTGTAGACTTTGTGTTGAGACGGTGTGTGTAGACTTTGTGTTGAGATGGCATGAAGACTTTGTGTTGAGACGTGGTGTGTGTAGACTTTGTGTTGAGATGGTGTGTGTAGACTTTGTGTTAAGATGGTCTGAGACTTTGTGTTGAGATGGTGTGTGTAGACTTTGTGTTGGGATGGCGTGAAGACTTTGTGTTGAGACGTGGTGTGTGTAGACTTTGTGTTGAGACATGGTGTGTGTAGACTTTGTGTTGAGATGGTGTGTGTAGACTTTGTGTTGAGATGGCGTGTGTAAACTTGTGTTGAGATGGCGTGTAGACTTTGTGTTGAGATGGTCTGAGACTTTGTGTTGAGATGGCATGTAGACTTTGTGTTGAGATGGTGTGTGAAGACTTTGTGTTGAGATGTTGTGTGTAGACTTTGTGTTGAGATGGCGTGAAGACTTTGTGTTGAGATGGTGTGTGTAGACTTTGTGTTGAGATGGTGTGTGTAGACTTGTGTTGAGATGGTGTGTGTATACTTTGTGTTGAGATGTGGTGTGTAAACTTTGTGTTGAGGTGGCGTGTAGACTTTGTGTTGAGATGGTGTGTGTAGACTTTGTGTTGAGATGGGGTGTGTAGACTTTGTGTTGAGATGGCGTGTAGACTTTGTGTTGAGATGGTGTGTAGACTTTGTGTTGAGATGGTGTGTGTATACTTTGTGTTGAGGTGGCGTGTAGTCTTTGTGTTGAGATGGTGTATGTATACTTTGTGTTGAGATGGCATGTAGACTTTGTGTTGAGATGATGTGTATGTGACTAGTAGTGATACAGAATATCAATACTAGATGTTTTATTTCTTGTTCTCTTGCTGGGATGAGAGAAGATTCTTACTGCTATGATCTTACGTTGAGTGCATTCATATCGACAATAATCACCATTTGATAAATATATTCACATTTCAGATATTATCTTCGGATATCAAACGATTAAGGTGTTATCTGTACATTTATTAATGAAAAGTCATAATCATCACAATGCTTTACATAAAGCAATAATGCATGTTACGTGAAGCGATGCACGTTAGGCGCTGGCTTAACCTACAATACAGGTCAACATGATACCAAAATGATGTGGTGTTTTTGTCATGTGAACTAAAATTTATTTTCACTCCTGTAAAGAAAACCCAAATAGATGCTGAGATGATGGGAAATCGTACTAAATAATAATAATGTATTTATCAAATGATTTATGAAATTCAATAATACAATAATTTGAAGAAGATGCAGGAACATTAGTATCATTTACCAAAAGAAAAAATTAAATGAATGATCAACAGAGAATGCCTGACATTAAAGTAAATGTACTTTTGTGTCTATTGTAGCTCATAGTGTTTTGCTTTCATAAGATAAACGTTGTAATTAAGCATTTTTTCCTCCATCATTTAACATTCAATCTTTATATAACAAAATTTATATGTAGATTTACTTATCGGTACTTTATTTGATATAAAGATGATAAAGAAATGATTACAAGTAGAAGATACCAACAGGAAATTCCATACCTTGGTATAGGAATTTATACCAGAAAATTCAACTACAATTACCAGTAAACAGTAATTCAGAAATAGAAGATTTACTGTATACATAGTCAGAGAGTTTGAATATTTAACATTTTTGTTACACTCTTTGTTTTTTTGTTATGTAGCGTAATGATAGTGAGAAATATTTAATAAAGTGGTTTCTTGAAATACAGAATTTGTGCTTAGTGCTTTTGCATGTTTACTATATGTGTTTGCTCAGTTACTTTGCCCTTACCAGTTAATGTATTCCAGCTAGCAACCATGATATGTATAGAACTTTATGTTCTTGACTATTAAAAAGACACTGACAAAAAGAGGTGTTCTCTCAAAACTGTCGTGCAAAGAAAAACAATAAGAAAATACCAGCATGTCGATGCAATCATAATCCAAACTCAAATTCATTAAAACTAGGACTAAGATTAAGACCAAGTGTTCCAGAAAGTAAGCGTCTTATGCTTTATCGACTACATCCACCATGTAAACTCTGGTCAATCCACGTAAGTTATATCGCTCTCCCCTAATATGAACAAGGTATACAACAACGGAACAAGCAGGCAAACTACCAAGTATCAAACACGTCCAGCTTTATATCGTACAACGGAAACAGCAGGCAAACTACCAAGTATCAAACACGTCCAGCTTTATATCGTACAACGGAACAAGCAGGCAAACTACCAAGTATCAAACACGTCCAGCTTTATATCGTACAACGGAAACAGCAGGCAAACTACCAAGTATCAAACACGTCCAGCTTTATATCTTACAACGGAACCAGGAGGCAAACTAACAAGTATCAAACACGTCCAGCTTTATATCTTACAACGGAACCAGCGGGCAAACTAACAAGCATCAAACACGTCCAGCTTTATATCTTACAACGGAACCAGCGGGCAAACTAACAAGCATCAAACACGTCCAGCTTCATATCTTACAACGGAACCAACAGGCAAACTACCAAGTATCAAACACGTCCAGCTTTATATCGTACAACAGAACCAACAGGCAAACTACCAAGTATCAAACACGTCCAGCTTTATATCTTACAACGGAACCAGCAGACAAACTACCAAGTATCAAACACGTCCAGCTTTATATCTTACAACGGAACCAGCAGACAAATTAACAAGCATCAAACACGTCCTGCTTTATATCTTACAACGGAACCAACAGGCAAACTACCAAGTATCAAACACGTCCAGCTTTATATCTTACAACGGAACCAGGAGGCAAACTACCAAGTATCAAACACGTCCAGTTTTATATCTTACAATGGAACCAGCGGGCAAACTAACAAGCATCAAACACGTCCAGCTTTATATCTTACAACGGAACCAGGAGGCAAACTAACAAGTATCAAACACGTCCAGCTTTATATCTTACAAGGCAAACTACCAAGGAACCAGCAGGCAAACTATATCTTACAACGGAACCAACAGGCAAATTAAAAAGAATCAAACTATTCCAGCTTTATATCTTACAACGGAACCAGCAGGCAAACTACCAAGTATCAAACACGTCCAGCTTTATATCTTACAACGGAACCAGCAGGCAAACTACCAAGTATCAAACACGTCCAGCTTTATATCTTACAACGGAACCAGCAAACTACCAAGCATCAACTACAAGTATCAAACACGTCCAGCTTTATATCTTACAACGGAACCAGCAGGCAAACTACCAAGTATCAAACACGTCCAGCTTTATATCTTACAACGGAACCAGCAGGCAAACTACCAAGTATCAAACACGTCCAGCTTTATATCTTACAACGGAACCAACAGGCAAATTAACAAGCATCAAACACATCCAGCTTAATATCTTACAACGGAACCAACAGGCAAACTACCAAGTATCAAACACGTCCTGCTTAATATCTTACAACGGAACCAGCAGGCAAACTACCAAGTATCAAACACGTCCAGCTTTATATCTTACAACGGAACCAGCAGGCAAACTACCAAGTATCAAACACGTCCAGCTTTATATCTTACAACGGAACCAACAGGCAAATTAACAAGCATCAAACACATCCAGCTTTATATCTTACAACGGAACCAGCAGGCAAACTACCAAGTATCAAACACGTCCTGCTTAATATCTTACAACGGAACCAGCAGGCAAACTACCAAGTATCAAACACGTCCAGCTTTATATCTTACAACGGAACCAGCAGACAAACTACCAAGTATCAAACATGTCCAGCTTTATATCTTACAACGGAACCAGCAGGCAAACTACCAAGTATCAAACACGTCCAGCTTTATATCTTACAACGGAACCAGCAGACAAACTACCAAGTATCAAACATGTCCAGCTTTATATCTTACAACGGAACCAGCAGGCAAACTACCAAGTATCAAACACGTCCAGCTTAATATTGCAACAAACAATGTAGTATTTCTCTATGAGATGAGTATTAATGGGACTGTTCTCATGATCATATGTATGTGAGGCAAATCAGAGTTGGTTTCTTGCTAAAACAGTTAATAAGTCAATGTAATAATGCTACTTTGTATCTTGCAATTGCAAGACATATACTGGACATTTGATAGGTGAATTGTATAGGGTAGTTTGAGTCGAACCCTCCATCGTCAGTTAATCTATGGGTCCGTGTTGAAGATGATATTAAAATTGTGTGGTATATACATGGTATACTATAGGTTGTCCAAAGTCCAAAGATACATTAGAATGACCATAAACAATCAAAGTTCAAGGGCAATAACTATGGAAAAAAACTTTAAACTGGCATAACGTTGTACAAAACAGGTGTACAAAAATGGAGCGATTTATTTGTGTCATTTTGTTTACTATTTCCACAAAGCCAAAGTGTTGCTGATGACCTAAATATGTAAGATTTCCATAAAAGGGAAGAATCTGATAGGATATGTTAAAATTCAAATGTTTTTTTTCCTTGAATGGAGTTCTGTCTGAAGAATGTTGGCAAGGATCTGAAACAGAACTGGAGTTCTGTCTGAAGATTGTTTGGCAAGGATCTTAAACAGAAATGGAGCTCTGTCTGAAGAATCTTTGGCAAGGATCTGAAACAGAAATGGAGTTCTGTCTGAAGAATGTTTGGCAAGGATCTGAAACAGAAATGGAGTTCTGTCGGAAGAATGTTTGGCAAGGACCTGAAACAGAAATGGAGATCTGTCTGGAGATTGTTTGGTAAGTATCTGAAACAGAACTGGAGCCCTGTCTGGAGATTGTTTGGTAAGTATCTGAAACAGAACTGGAGCCCTGTCTGGAGATTGTTTGGTAAGTATCTGAAACAGAACTGGAGCCCTGTCTGGAGATTGTTTGGCAAGGATCTGAAACAGAAATGGAGCTCTGTCTGAAGAATGTTTGGCAAGGATCTGAAACAGAACTGGAGCCCTGTCTGGAGATTGTTTGGCAAGGATCTGAAACAGAAATGGAGCTCTGTCTGAAGAATGTTTGGCAAGGATCTGAAACAGAAATGGAGTTCTGTCTGAAGAATGTTTGGCAAGGATCTGAAACAGAACTGGAGCCCTGTCTGGAGATTGTTTGGCAAGGATCTGAAACAGAAATGGAGTTCTGTCTGAAGAATGTTTGGCAAGGATCTGAAACAGAACTGGAAGTCTGTGTGGAGAATGTTTGGCAAGGATCTGAAACAGAAATGGAGTTCTGTCTGAAGAATGTTTGGCAAGGATCTGAAACAGAAATGGAGTTCTGTCTGAAGAATGTTTGGCAAGGATCTGAAACAGAACTGGAAGTCTGTGTGGAGAATGTTTGGCAAGGATCTGAAACAGAAATGGAGTTCTGTCTGAAGAATGTTTGGCAAGGATCTGAAACAGAAATGGAGTTCTGTCTGAAGAATGTTTGGCAAGGATCTGAAACAGAACTGGAAGTCTGTGTGGAGAATGTTTGGCAAGGATCTGAAACAGAAATGGAGTTCTGTCTGAAGAATGTTTGGCAAGGATCTGAAACAGAAATGGAGTTCTGTCGGAAGAATGTTTGGCAAGGATCTGAAACAGAAATGGAGTTCTGTCGGAAGAATGTTTGGCAAGGATCTGAAACAGAAATGGAGCCCTGTCTGAAGAATGTTTGGCAAGGATCTGAAACAGAACTGGAAGTCTGTGTGGAGAATGTTTGGCAAGGATCTGAAACAGAAATGGAGTTCTGTCTGAAGAATGTTTGGCAAGGATCTGAATCAGAAATGGAGTTCTGTCTGAAGAATGTTTGGCAAGGATCTGAAACAGAAATGGAGTTCTGTCTGAAGAATGTTTGGCAAGGATCTGAAACAGAAATGGAGTTCTGTCTGAAGAATGTTTGGCAAGGATCTGAAACAGAAATGGAGCCCTGTCTGAAGAATGTTTGGCAAGGATCTGAAACAGAACTGGAGCCCTGTCTGGAGATTGTTTGGTAAGGATCTAAAACAGAAATGGAGCCCTGTCTGAAGAATGTTTGGCAAGGATCTGAAACAGAACTGGAGCCCTGTCTGGAGATTGTTTGGTAAGTATCTGAAACAGAACTGGAGCCCTGTCTGGAGATTGTTTGGCAAGGATCTGAAACAGAAATGGAGCTCTGTCTGAAGAATGTTTGGCAAGGATCTGAAACAGAACTGGAGCCCTGTCTGGAGATTGTTTGGTAAGGATCTAAAACAGAACTGGAGCCCTGTCTGGAGATTGTTTGGCAAGGATCTAAAACAGAACTGGAGATCTGTCCGAAGAATCTTTGGCAAATTATAATCTATGAATCTGTGACAGAGATGTGCCTGATACACAGATGGAACAGAAAAAGGATTGAATCATTCCTTGTCAAAAAAGTATCTTAGATTTCACTGGTCACTTTTCATCTGATTTAATTGCAGGTCAAGGTTCACCACATCTGATTGGTATTTTTTAATACCTTAAAAAAGATCAATATCAATGTATTATATAACAAAATCAATTACGGATCCAGGATTTTGATAATAGGAACAGGCTGTCCAGCGTCCCTAAAATTCCTAAAAAATCCTAATTTTTTTCAGTTTTGCTAAAATTCCTAAAACAATGAAAAATTCGAAGGGAATTCCTAAAAAAATCCCTTATTTTTCACTTCAGTTCCTACATTTTTATATTTCTTACAATTTACTGAAAACGTTCTCATTAAATCCATACTGAAAATGTGTTTTAATGTAGTTTGTAGTTCTAATTCAGGGTAGACAATGAAAGGCAGTTGACCAGTGGATCTATGTACCCAGATTGTTATTGGTTGTGACTGAGTGACAGAGGTGTGATTCTTAAGGTATGTAAAAAGCAATACCTCCAAGCCATTTTTCCCAGTGAAGATTATCTGAGCTCAAGCTCCTTTCAAAGAAAGTGCAGCATGAAAGATAGATTTTTCTAAGTATTTTAAGAAGAGTTAGTAGAATACACATCTTATTTGCCCCATTACACTAAATCTGAGATGTGTATTGCAAGTAAATAGGCTATACTTCCGTGATATGTGTGTATGTGTTTGTTGCTCTTAGATATATTTCATTTTAATGAGACTAACGCCAGGTACAATAGGATCTGTCGTATGCTAAAGTCTCCCACAACTCTGGTTCAGATCAACTTCTTGCTTAGCCTTTCTACTCTGTATGATAGGTTTCTTAGGTTGTTTCAGAGAGAGGATCCTTTAGTTTATATCCTTCACTCAGAAATGATTGATCTTCTGAGATCTTTCATGCTCCGATTTTTGAAGGGAATAGTGGTTGATGAATTGAAGACTGGGGTGAAGTTGGAGGAATTTACCATTGAGTCTTCTGAATGTCGGAGAAGTGATTAAGAAACTGGACAATCAACACCGAAATTGCTGGATAAGAAACCAGACCTGGAATAAGAAGAGGTATTGAACATGAGAAAGTTTTACCAGACAGTCACCAAGTACCTACAGAAGAGACTGTCTCTTGACAATGAGATGCTGAAAGATCTTAAATGCCTGCATCCCCTAATTTTAGCCCTAAATTTGCCCTAAAATTAGCCCTAATTTTTTGTCAAGAAGTGCTAGACAGCCTGTAGGAAGTGAGAGAGACAGAAAACGATTTGGGAAGTGGTGGGAGGGAATAGGTATAAACAGGATTGTGGGAGAACAAGAGCGAAGGAGGGGATAGAGGAGGGACAGATTTTTAGAAAGGTGGAAAGGTAAATAATGATTTGGGGATGGGGAAAAACAATTTTTTAGAACGGGACGAGTACAGGATACGAAAAGGAGGTAAGGAATACAGGATTTGGGGATAAGGTAAAACAAGATTTGGGGATGAGGTAAAACAAGATTTGGGGATGAGGTAAAACAAGATTTGGGGATGAGGTAAAACAGGTTTTTGGGAAGTGGAGGGCCGAAGGTGGATATTTGATGTGGGGATCAAAAACAGGATTTCGGAAAGAAAGAGCATAGACAGAATGTTTGAGTAATTGGGGAGGGGAAAAGATAGGATTCGGGGAAAAGGGAGTGACAAAAACAGACTCAATGAAAAATAAAAACCACCCCTCCCCCCTCCTCGGATGCGCAACTGAAAATAGAACAAAAAGTACAGAATATGTTTTAAATTTTGCTACGGGGGCATACGCCAACCTTGTCTTACTCCAACTGTTTATAAGTATATCGTCTCTGTCTATACAACCTTATCAAACTTCTTATCTAGTAGCTATACAGCGACATGGACAGACGTTTTCCATTTCTTATTGTTGTCTGGGTGGTGATAGGTAAGTCTTTTCCATTTGATCTTGGTTCTTATTGTCATTTGGGGTTAAGGGTAGCCATTCCCTTCTAGTTCGCACTGTCGTCTTGTTTGTTTGGTCGGGGTGGGGGTTGGGGGGAGAGGTAGATCTTTTCCTTTGGTTCGGAGGGGGTATGTAACTCGCTCACGTTCACCTTGTCACCGTTGATGGGAGTAGGAGGGGGTGTAAATCTTTTCTTTTGATTCGGGGATGGGGGTGGAGGGAGAAAGATAAATCTTTGCCTTTGGTTCGGGGGTGGGGTTGGGGGGGAGGTAAATCTTTTCCTTTGGTTCACGTTCTCATTGTCGTTTAAGGATGGGTGGGTTGGGTAGGAGTTTAGAGCTTTTTTCAGTTCATTTTGGTTCTCTTGTCGTGTGGGCGGGTGACATTTAAAGGTAAATATTCTCCTTTGTTCCACATTGCAGTCAATGGCAGATGAAAGTATTGTACAGTGTATTTTTACTTTTGGTTCTCAATGTAAAGGAGGTGGGGGAGGAGTATTTTATTTTTAATTTCCAATTTCATAAGTTTCAAATTCTTCAATTTGTAGACTTACATAAACAAATAATAATTCAAAGAGTTAACCTGATTACAAAACTTCCCCATGTCAAAGATGAGGTGAAATCACCGTTATTAACAGGTGCCCGTTTATGAGTGGGATTATTTAGCTATGAAACATTACTTTAAGTCTCTACAGTGCACGCCTGACAGCTGGCCATCTTAAATTCCAATTGAAATATAGATTGTACAATAATTTGGGTAAGTTTCGGTGAATCATATTTACTGGTTGTATATACTTGCGAACAATTAATTGATTGTGATGATTAATAAAACGATTCTATTATAATCCATACATAAACAAATTGCTTGTTTTGTAAGCGAATGACTTAGATGTTTGAAAGTTAAGATAGTGATTTCAGTCAACTATCTTGTGCAGATAAGAATGTATCCCGTATTTGATAATATCTATCTCACTAACATTACCTACCACGGACACTAACTGTGACCGACTTACAGATGTCGAGATTACTATGTCCAGTCATGTTTGTGTAAACAATTAATAATTGAATTTCTAGATGTTTTGAAATAATGTAAAATTTAAACTATATGAGACACGTGATCGGAAATACCACGTCTGATTCCGACAGATCCCGTTAGTATTACCAGAGATGAATAAAAATACGTCAAGCTACACAGAAAGACAGTTGTTATTTCATCACAATCAGAATTATAGTGTAAGTTAGCCGCCCAAACTTGCTCGTACCAAAGATCCGGGACACTCATATTAGTATTTCTGAATGAAAAATTACTGAAGAGGATAAGTTGATTGTTACACCATATTTGTCTTGTACATTTACACACTGGGTTTCAGTCTTATTGTCTTCCCCAATAGATTTAGATATATGACAACTAATTAAAGTCTACCGTATTTCTCTAATAAAATGGTCTCGTCATTATTGATACCATTTAATTAGTATGTTGTGTTACAGACCTAGATATATCTAAGTCCGTGGTATACACACTGTCGGCATAACTGAACCAACTGACACTCTATCAAGTATCATAATACAATATTGAGCGACCAAAGGCTGATACTGTATATTCCTTAATCAAATGTTGTAAAGTATGATAGATTGTTCACTGCCTGCAGATCATATCTTTGGCGTTCGATTTACTTTCTTTTCTCTATTCGCTATCGAAACATAATTGCTAAGAATGAATAAGTTGTTATCAAATAATTGTCATATATAGCATATCACACACTTTGTCGCTAAATTGGATTGTTAATGTATTAAAGCAGGTAGCAAGAAGCATATAGCCGTGGAGCAAGTAAACGCGAAAGCCAATCAACCTGAAAAAGATAAGTCGCGAAAGCAAGTATTACCGAAAGTAGAAGACGCGAAAGCAAGTGAACGCGAATGTCGGTTGACCCGAAAGTAACAGCCGCGAAAGCCAGTAGACCCGAAAGTAACAGCCGCGAAAGCCAGTAGACCCGAAAGTAACAGCCGCGAAAGCAAGTAAACACGAAAGCCAGTAGACCCGAAAATAACAGCCGCGAAAGCAAGTAAACACGAAAGTAACAGCCGCGAAAGCAAGTATTAGCGAAAGTAACAGCCGCGAAAGAATGTCGGTTTACAATGACTATGTACAATAGATAGGTTGCTGTTTGAATATTAAGGCAGATATTCTACATATATATGTAGAATATGTTTACGTAATCAACGTGTTGCGGTAGAGTGAATGAACATAAATAAAATTTTAATATTTTTCCAGGATCTGTCACCGGTGATTGTCCTAGTGGGTGGGTTAGTCACCGGGATTCCTGCTACTTTTTAAGTAACCATAACGCTAACTGGTACGACGCAGGGGTAAGTATATATATATACCTATATTTACTGATGTATTACCACATCACATGACCCATCTGTTATCCAGTTAATATGTCACGAGTGAAGTATACCCTAAAGCGTTTTTCATTGGCTATATCAGTCAGAAATTGATTGTGCGATCAAAATATGAACAGTGAAGTTACGTTACAAATGGAAATAGCGCAACAAGATGGCGGTCTCTGTTTGATTTTGTGCTTCAAAATTTGAAAAGTATCTTTAACTTGTTTTCATTTTATGTGATATTTTAAGAAGCTCGTCTCGAATTGTTGATTTAAAATAAAAACTTGTAAAAGTCTTAAAGATACTTCAACCATATTATGTTGATCAGTGAGTTAGACACCACGTGACGCGCAAAAAATGGCCCTGGCTGTTGTCGGGACGATAAACAAAGCAAACAAACACACAACAATAAAAACAAACCATAGTTACTCTCTGTGTACTCTATATAATATCATCTATTTGTTTCTACCTTCCCCATTTTATTCCAGAAAAATATTACATCAACAAACTTATATAATGTGCTCAAATAATAACATTCGTGATAGCTTTCTTCTCACTTAATATCCCGCTGAAACTGAACACATATGTATACTTGTGTACTTACTGTGGGTGGAATGGCTGTTATCAGTCGGGTTCAAAAATACCGAGCTTTCACCTACATCCACGCACGCATCCACGCACTCACACACACATAAACGAAAAACAAAAAGCAAATGTATATTATGAAATATATTTAATATCATGCAGTTCACATGTGAGGCCATTCATAGCAGGAGAGTAACCATCGACTCAGATGACGAGAATGATTTTTTGGCTGGGACTTTAAAGCATTTTAGAGGTGAGTATGACGTTAACAGACACATTTCAAACAATCTTATTGAAATATTATAACTGTGCATATCGGACTGGATTTGGAAATAATCTACAATACTAGTAGAACAATCAAGACCATTAACTATAAATACGGTCAAACCTGTCTATAGAGGCCACACTCGGGAGCAGAGAAAAGTGACCTTTATACACAGGTGGCTTCATATACAGTGACCTTTATACACAGGTGACTTTTATATACAGTGGCATTTATACACAGTGGCCTTTATATACAGGTGGCTTCATACACAGTAGCTTCATACACAGTGGCCTTTATACACAGGTGACCTTTATGCACAGGTGATATCTATAGATGTTATATTACTATAAATTACGTTACACTGGGAACCGTACAAGTATCTTTTATAAACATGTCGTCTTCTAAAGATGGCATTTACACATATTTGACAGCAGCTCTCCATGGATATAAGTGTTTTATCATGTACAGTATATGCTTCAGCAATAAGACTGCTATTACAACATTACACAGATAACCATAGAAATGGCCTCTATAAACAGGTGACTTTTTTTTTATAAAGATGACCGTTAAGACAGGTTGACTGTAGTTATCTATGGATTTAACAACTTCCTATAAGGTTTTCTTGGAAATATCTACCGAGAGATTTAAGTGCTGTGAATAACATTACATAGGGGACCAAATAAGTGGCCATTATAGACAAGTTTTCTTTGTATAAACATACCCTATACGTTTGACTGTACATTAATCGCAATTTGCAATCATATATATTGGGGGGAAAACCGCATTTAACTTATATATCTTTTCTTTTTTATGATCAGTATCGTCTGTTTATACATCAAATTACCGTTGTTTTCCCAGCCATGACAGCTGTTCTACACCACATTGATATTATTGGTTTATTAAGGTTTATCCTGTCAGTCTATTTATTCTCAGGTCTTGGAATGTTCATTCCAATACTTGCCTTTTTGCAAATGTATTCTAATTGAAGAGTCGATGAATAACTGACAAAAGAGAGATGAAACAAGCCGTGGATTCGTGATGGGAGATCGGGGATTTGAATAACAAATTAGCTGTTAGCAGTGGATTGGAGATTCAAGATGCTTAACTCAATAAAGGGGGCAAACTATAGATTTTCCCCTTTTCTTGATTACTGGTGTGTAAACTGTATTGTTTTTTAAATGACACGCGCTAGTGCGTACTTGCGCGTACATAGTACTTCGTCGCTGTATAAACCTTACTGGGACGTTATTATATACATAAACACCTGTCTTCAACTGTATCCACCTGTAAATTAGAATGTGTGAAATACGCAACGAAAACAGTGAATACGCTTATTCACCTTTTCAACAGTTTCTATATACATTCAAAAATGTTTCAAATTTGTCACGTAAGCCCGAAACTTCAGTAAACGCTTTCGACACCACAAGCAGTTGTCAATAGCTAAAATGGCGATGATACATAAAGATAGATGGATTGGTCTCATACCATCACATATGGCTGTACCTATCGTAACCGAGACATCTTACAACGAATTCTGTTTGTTTCTATAATGTGTTCATGCTTTTCCAATATCTAGCAAAAAGGCCAGTGATACAACTGAAATTTTCAAAAAGGGTGGTAAATATAATTATGTGCCAATAATTCACCACTGTGTTCAATTTTCATATTAACTGCGCATCTGCAAAATTAATTTGACAATTTGATTAAATGTGGTATAAATATATAAAGATAGTTTACACAAATGTCCACGCCACTCAGCAATCATTTAGTTACAAGGCTCTTGTTATTACCTAAACAACCAATATATCAAAAATCAATAATAAACAACCTTATGTGTCATTCAATATAAAATGGACTCCGCTTGGAATCCACAGGCCTTTATTTCTCATGGCCGCCATTTTCAGCATGTGGTTTGGAGGGTGTATGTGTAGGCTTCAGACTCCATTTTCACTGTTGATTACACTTCACTATACGTCTCTAAATACAGTAACATATCTCACTATCACTTAATAGGTTTCACAAGTGTCCTTCATTTACAACGATAAATATAAAGTGTTTAAGCTTAAAGGTTGAACTCTTTTGAATGTCCTCAGTCGTATCCTAGGCTTCATTTCAAGTCTTTTGCAGCTTCACGAGTCTCTGAAGAATGAAACAGCTGTGTGTCTTGTTGACAGACACCGATATAATTAACTTGAAATGATAGCTGGCAGAGGTTAATCTTTTATTAAAATGGAAGATATGATATATTTATTAATGCACACGTTGTTGATAGAAGAGTGGGGGGTCAACCAATATTTCACATAATATACATTCTGACCTCAAACTTCTCTGAGTTTATTCCTGTGATATTTGACCAAAATCAGGTTTCCTAGATGAGGATGATTAGATTTAATGTGTTTTATATATAACCTGCTTTAGGTGCCGTTTCCAGGCTCTCCGACGGTCAAGTAGGGTACAGTCTGCAGTGTATAAATTTTGGTTAATTTCCAGTGGTGATAATTTTTGTCAAGTTGTTTATGATTGGTTAACGGAACTTTTTATGCATTTGAATATTTGAACGCTTTTAAACGTGAAAAGTGCACCAGTCATAAATTAAAATTCTTTGGCTTAAAACAACGATCTTAAAATCAAATTTTCTATTAATTCACCAAAAGCTGATGTATTAATTATAATGTACTTCATGCATCTGTGTCTTTCAGAAAAAAATATAATGTTATCAGTAAATGATCTCAAGGTATCCAAACCTACCACCGCTCTTTTGCCAAGTATAAATCATTATTTCCTTTGCCAAGTATAAATCATTATTTCCTTTGCCAAGTATAAATCATTATTTCTTTATGTTGTAACTATTGTTGTCAGTTTTAAATTTAAAATTCAGTAGGTTTCTTTAAACTTGAAGCTTATTTAGCAGAACTCATAAACTACAACTTTCACTGCATTATTAACTTTGTAAGGCTCCAAAATTTGATTTCCTTTTTGTGAGTTTGTCCATTTCTGGATCTGGACGGAAACGTTCTATTTTTATTTATTTTCATAATTATTCCGTGTTTTGTCAGATATTCCATGATTCCTTGTCTTTAAATGAGGAATGTATTAAGCAAACATAATTTTGAACTTGGGTTGGCCTTTAAAATCGAGAAGGATGAAGAATGTAAGTTGTGCCAAGAACCAGAGAAAACATTAAATTGTAGTCTTGAATGCAGTTACTCCTCTCCAGTCAGACCACAATGGTCTATATATGACAGAGCAAATAAATGCACATAATATAGTAAAATATTAAAAACCTCTTTGAAAAGCGTAGAATAGTTTCTTTATTGTAACAGGTTCACAGGGTTGTCAAACTGTATTCTGTGACGTCATCATTATTATCGAATCTTTTTAAGGTTTAGATAAACATTCAGAAGAGTTCCCTTGCTGGAGTGAAACAATCTCTCCCAGAGTGCATAGCATAATTCTTTAAGTATGTATTTTATTTTTTAATGTATTTTATAATATGTATTGTGAGTATTTTTTCTCATTATATACATTTTGTACAGGCGCCTTTCATTCGGATGCCTTCTGGACAGAAGGAACATCGGAGGGCTCATCAGATGGTAGTTATAAGTGGGCAACGTCACAAGACCCCATTACGTACACTAGCTGGGGCCCTAATGAGCCAAATGCCACTCTCGGTGACTGCTTCGTGTTGAAACTCGACAGATCCTGGCAATCTAGAGATTGTCACTATAGTCAAGGCTTCATCTGCGAAATCAGGTATACATATACCTGTGTAAGGTTACTGGGTTTAGATAAGATAATTTGATCCTGTATGCAACAAGCATTTTCATTGGCCATATTATAACCCCATATCATAACGTAATGTCACGTTTGATTGGCCAATGCCGTGGTGTAAGAAATCAGGAAAGAAACGTGTCCATTATAAAAATGAAATATTACAATCTATTATTAAATTATAATGATTTCCATTAATCATTCTATATGTTATTGAGCCGTCACACAAAAACCGATATGTACTCTTAACATCAACCGCTTCAATCTTTATTTAGATTAAACTCATGATTTTTCTTTTTTTTTATGTTATAGGCCAATAACACGCGAATAGGTTGAGAATTAAATGATATATTTAGAAAACAAGACCTACTGTATAAGACATGCTTCCGCTTCTGCGCAATCACGGATTTGATCAGCTGTATTTTATCGTGATATCATATTGTAACATTACAATTGATTATCCTGCCGAATTTCATGTTGTTAAAGATGAAAATTTTCTATGTTTGAATGATTACTGCTGTAATTAAGCTATATAATATAAAGCTTTGATGATTCAGGTAAAATCTAAGAACCATTTCACATATATTCCATTAACATTAGAAGTGAATACGCAACACCCTTTGTCTTCATATTGATGGAGTTATTGGTGTGTATGTTTTCGGTGGAATGATAGGTAAACTGCAGAATCAGAAAGATGGTAAATTTTGCATTAAGTAGATGTTTTGAAAATAAACAATGGATCAAATCATATTGAGCACGTTAAATATCTCCTTACCAAAATAATATTTAAGTTGTTTTCATCTTTCAGTCGCCAACAGACAGACTGCATTACAAAGGAAGGTGGAACCATAATTGGATAATATATCAAAGAAAAATATCTCGATTATAATAAAAAAAAAATTGAAACATTTTCATGTTTGTGTTATAAATTTTATGGTATACAACATGTCGTGCAGATGTCCGTACAGAAAATCAAATTGTTAAATTCTTGTTAAAATCAAAACGCGAAAAAGGTTTTTTGTGTGCAAGCAGTACACCAACACGTAAAATCCAATTCAATATTTCATTCCATCATTCCAGCTCTTAGAAAATGAGCGGGAACTTAACTTTTATAAATCTTAGACTCATACCTGTGGGAAATTAAGTTGACAGGAAGTGTGTGTGTGTGTGTGTGTGTGTGTGTGTGTGTGTGTGTGTGTGTGTGTGTGTGTGTGTGTGTGTGTGTGTGTGTGAGAGTGTGTGTGTGTGTGTGTGTGTGTGTGTGTGTGTGTGTGTGTGTGTGTGTGTGTGTGTGTGTGTGTGTGTGTGTGTGTGTGTGTGTGTGTGTGTGTGTGTGTGTGTGATGTGTGTGTGTGTGTGTGTGTGTGTGTGTGTGTGTGTGTGTGTGTGTGTGTGTGTGTGTGTGTGTGTGTGAGGGTGTGTGTGAGAGTGTGCGTGAGTGTGCGTGCGTGTGTGTGTGTGAGTGTGTGTGAGTGTGTGTGAGAGTGTGTGTGTGTGTGTGTGTGTGTGTGTGTGTGTGTGTGTGTGTGTGTGTGTGTGAGTGTGTGTGTGTGTGTGTGTGTGTGTGTGTGTGTGTGAGGGTGTGTGTGAGAGTGTGCGTGAGTGTGCGTGCGTGTGTGTGAGGGTGTGGGTGTGTTTGTGTATGTGTGTGCAACTAAATACAAATCTTTAGCACAATAAAAATGATTGATACTAGAACTCTGAATATTGGCAGAATTACAGCAAATGCAACACAATATCGAGAATATTTACGGGCTTAAAACTTAGACAATCTAAGTCCAAATCCTAATACATTAAGGCAAGGTTAATGTCCCGAAGAGGTTTTCTTCGTCGTATGTCTTATGTCTCGTCACCATTCAAAGTGCTTGTCAAGTCAACATAACAAAGTGTATTTCCTAAATTACCAGTGATATGAATGATTGTATACATTACAAAGATAAAAATGTCAGCTTTGAAAGATCATCTCATCCATCCCATTCATTATAGAAATATTTCGTTCAAGAGTGAAAAGGGATCAAAAGGCTTCTATAATTATCGTATAACTTCAGGGCCATGTCCTACTGGAGTCAGTAAATGGAACCAAGAGTTTAAGTCTGATGATGTAGAAATGATTTTGAAGATAGCTTTTTGAGCTACTAAAAACTCAACGTTGCAATGGTTATAAGTTAGAATTATATATCACGTCTAGGGAACTAATACCTTCCTTCATATCAATAAGTTATATAATTTGATACTGAATGATAATAACTAAATGAATAAATTGACCCTCTATGTATTTGTTGTAATTTGAAGTAGGAACAATGTTTATGGAAATGCCAAGAAGTCCAGACATCTCTTCAGAGGTTTGAATTCCTGGTTCTTATTTCTTTTTGCACATAGGAAAAACTCTTCTCATTTTGGGATAGTTTCACAAACTTGTAATTTAAGTCGATCGAAATCCCAACTGTTATTAAGTTTTCTGTCTACAAATAGAGCTGCCTCAGCAAATCAGCACAACTCGATGGAATACTATCAAAGATCACATCATTGTTCAAAGCCATATAAATAAAAGTAGAAATGAACATTAGAGGAGGAAGATTGAAAGCTAGAAATAATTGACACCTGTTCTTGAACTATAGTTATATATTGTATAGAATGCAGTGTATCTCATGTATTACCCTTTGTTTGCATATAAAAAATGCTTGCAACTTATTTGCAAACACTCATTTAAGTTCATTCATGCATATGTGTTTATGTATTGTAATGTCGTTTATATGTTAAAAAGTAAAATAAAGAAAAAAAAGTTTTCTGACGCGTTAACACGAGTACGAGCATACGATGTAGGCATAAGATACTAGTTGAAAAGTATAAAGATCACAATATGTTTATATCTATGCCTAAAACATGTCAAAGCACTGGAACGGAAAGGATTTTTTTACTTGTTGTATGTAACGAACCAAAAAATCGTTCATCTGTTTCATTTTTGTCATTTTGTGAACATTAATTTTATGTTGATTGCATTTTAAAAATCAAAATGACCAATATTTGTGTTCTGATACTTATTTTGCTAGTGTAGATATCTTGTATTACAGACATCATAAAGCGTGTAATCGATTATGATGAGGATTTGATCGTAGTACAACTGATTAGTGCTGTAATGATAGAGCTACTGATGAAACAGTTTTTCATGGGTATGAACACATTTTACAGCTGATCGACAACAGAACTGAAAAAGGATGAGATTTAATTAAAATGATTTATAACTACAGTTTTACAATAAAACGTCAATGAAAAATCCATTCAAGTAACAAAGATATCAATCTTACGTTAACTGTTGTGTTGGTATATTCTGTTTCTATGTGCAATGCTAGTTAGTGCGTCGAGTGGTTTCATTGTTATTTCTCGGCTCTATTTTTAGACCGTGACATTACTTGGATCCAATATTTCGTTAACCTTTCCCAAACACCTGGTCTTATTCTCTTTGTACTTATCAAGGATCTTTGTGTAAATCTCATTGCATTTTTCTTTTTACTCTCCTGTATCTAACTCTAAAAGTTACGGATTCACTTGTCTGTCTTTTGTACCATCTTCATAATGTACCATGTATTAATTGGTTTTCGAATTACGATATTCTGACATGTTGTATAGTCTTATCGTGTATGGTTGATAGACAATGATAAAGGACTCCGTATGCTTAGCCATGTCATAGTCCGTATACAACTGGCAGTTGTGACCTAAATATACTGTAAATGGACCTCAAGATAACCTAATTGTCTTATCTCTAGAACAGCAAAATGAAAGCCTTCAGCATTGTTTTGGGCGTATATCTGGTAGCTGTGTTTGGTAAGTATAACTTTATCTAATGAATGCTATCAAAACTGAAAGTGACTTTAATACCATATTTGGAGGGAGGTACAAATAAATATGAAAATAAATTAACCAACCAAAACATCATACATAATTGTTACCTGAGCAAGTCTTTTTCAAACTATTTACAGTATGCTTCGCGTTCGTGGGAAATCAAATCAAACCAATATTACTTTTATATTTATCACACATACGGATTCCAAATTGTTTTTGAAAGGAAAATGGCCACCACAGAGAAATAAGGTATTACAAAATATTGAGACATTTTTAAGTGTGATAATTAATATATACAATTCACACTTGACATAAAGGTGGGGTTTCACTAAAACGCTGATACATAGTTGAAAAAGAGTTTGCAAGGTAGATTCAACTTCAACACCTGGCACATCAATTATCACGTACACTCCTGAAGAGAGAGAGCGCTTACGAAACACAGGCATAAATGTCGAATATTGTGTGATATTCTCTTTTTATGAAGAACAGAATATCTTATTTGGAAACCAATAAAAAGTAGTGTCGGGAAAGTTCGACCTTGTGCCCTTTCTGATATTGTCTAAAAAGTCTTAAGTCTATAGTACATTTTAAACAGCTGTATATATAGATGTAATACAAGTGGTCATATATAGTTTCTCTTTCTCTTGGTTATTTACCAAAGTTACTAATAACTGATAATGTCGCTGATAACAATATTCAAATACTAGTACAATTTGATGATTAATTTCCGTGGGTTGTTTGTGTTTGCTTTTATCATACGAATTCATACGTCTGTGAATCATTCAACTGTTAAGATAATAACTTACATTTTAAGTCTTAGAGGTTTACCTGAGCCTTGTTCCAATCGACGAAATCAACTGCCTGAAAAATTCTTGTAATGATTTTTGAGACAAATGAAAATATGCCATTTTATAGTAAGCATTAATATTGCAGACACCCCCTTACATAGACATAACATCAGTCTGAAGGAAGAAAATTGAAATAAGAGAAAAACAAAAATCAACGTAGGTCTGATTACAAGATCATACAAAGAATAGATAGTTTACAGCAACCGTTTGTACGAACAAACATTTTCAACTATATCCTACGTTGCAAGGAATGATAGAATATATGTTCTGCTGCTTGTTTGAAACTAAATAATGGCAAACTCTGCGACTTACGGTAATATTTTCCATGAAATCAATTAGCAAAGTAATCTGATGAGCTCTGCATTTATCATTTTTGTAGACTTGGGATATGAAAGAATGGTATAAATGATGTCTTTGTTTTATTGACTAAACGTCATGTTATACATCATCTGTCATTGTAGCTTCTCCTTAACATATAAGTGGATTTCAACCAAATTTGGTAGGGAACATTATTACGGATCGACAATCTTTAATTCAGAACAATGGATGACATCTAGGTAATGGAGGGCATGACCCAAACGGGAAATTTGAATATAATTTTGCTATTTATCCAACTTTTCCTTAACGCTTCATGATCTTCCAGCCATATACCATGTCTAACATAATAATTGATGGACAATAATTTCTTAACTACAGAAAGTTTCAATGTCGACTCCTAAGAACTGGATAATGGTGTTGGTATGGGGGTGGGGGTAGGGGTGGGGAGGGGGTGTGGGGATGGTGGTGGAAAACGAAAAATCTGGCTGTGACTCCTCAGCGGATAATAACACTAAGTGCGATCATTTCCTCTAAATCAGCAACTTGTTTCAATCCTAGTGGGAGGGAAGGGAGCAATGTACAACGTTTTTGTGCGTCAGATGTTCTGATTTTATTAATATGTCCGAAGAACGGTTGTTGTATAGTCGTTACGATTATGAACATAAAGATTAGTATTATTATAAAAATACTTACTTAATTACTTGACAGTTTTTATTTAATGAAGGGTTCCCTAGCGGGCTGGCCAGCTGTCCCGATGACTGGATTCATTTCCAAGGTTCCTGCTACTACTTTGTAAACAATTTCACAACGTGGCATGGATCGTCAGTAAGTCCAAGCAAATATCCTTTATAATTACCATGTAAGGAATAGGTCTGTGTTATTATAAGTGTATTGACGATTTGTAATATACTGAGAAGCGCAATTAGCAGAAAGTTCATATTGTGAATTAAATCCTTGACGTACACCCTTAAAACTTGACAAATGTGTGCATTTGAGTTAGGTCCCTATGGTACCGTATTAAAATCACTGATGCATAACTAAACTACGCACGCTGCTTGTACAAAAGAATAAGTGACAAAAGCACGATATCTTGAACCCGGTATAAAGGATTGGTTCAAAATCTGTGTGTGCAAATCTTCAGACATATACGTCTTGATTTCCCACATTTTAAGCATAAACAGTTCACCGTAAAAAATGCCACGACTGTCTGACGTTGACAGGGGTCGTGCAATTTCGCTTCTTATGCAAGGTAACCCAGCAAAATCAGGTCTCTAATCAATTTGGAGTCCATCCATCGAACATTTGCCGTCTCATCCAAAGACTTCATGCTACCGAAAGGGTTGCAGACCGTCCCCGAAGCGGTCGCCCTCGTGTGACGACGCGTTGGCAGGATAGGGCAATGCAACTTCCGCACCTACGCAATCGCTTTCTGACGGCCACGGAAACAGCGAGGTACACAATTGGGCGTCATCATGTTCCAATTGATCCAAAGACAGTGCGTACTCGACTGCGTGCCTTCGGTCTAAGACCGCGGCGGCCATATGTTGGATCACAGCTTAATGCGCGGCGACGTGCCAGACGAATGCAATGCTGAACGCACATCCCGCAAGACGCTTCCAAATGCAACGTTGGAGAACGGTCCTGTTCTCAGATGAGTCCAAGTTTTCGCTTTACCGGGCAGACGGCCGACGTCGTGTCTATAGACGTACCCACGAGCGCTATGCAGATGCTTGCGTGATAGAGAATGACCGCTTTGGAGGAGAATCGGTCATGGTATGGGGAGGGATTGCGCATGATATCGAGACTCCTCTGGTCGTTATTCGGGGAAATCTCACGGCCATTCGCTGTAGAGATTATGTCCTAGCGCCGCATGCTGTTCCTCTAGTACAGCAGCGTCAACTGACGTTGCAGAAGGAATCAACGTCAAATTTGAAAGATTTACTTAACGTACACGAATGAAATTCTCGTAGATGACAGAGTGGTCAACTATCTTTTAGCTACACCATAATTACATTCTATAACCCTTTTCTATTTCCCGTAGTTGACCTGGAAATTCCTAATTGCGTTTCTTTTTCCTCTCAGTATATTTACATTTTGTAGTGTCACTTGTTTTGACATAATATGTAATATGTGTATTAACATCCGCTCATACATCCGCTGTAATATCTCGGACAAACTCGTTTGCTAATAGTTAGAAAAGTACTTGTGATGTAATATCACTTGCTTTGACATAATATGTAATATGTGAATTAACATCCGCTTATACATCAGCTGTAATATCTCGGACAAACTCGTTTGCTAATAGTTATAAAAGTACTTGTGATGTAATATCACTTGCTTTGACATAACATGTAATATGTGTATTAACATCCGCTTATACATCCGCTGTACATAATAACGTGTATTTGTTACTAATGTGTCTATGATACGAACCCCGACACGTGAGATCACGTGTATTAATATGTACTAGGACATGGCGTAAATTGACATCTACTCAATTGTAATACGTTGATATGTAATATTATAACATAGCAGGATTTGTTTCAGATAACCCAAATATAACTTCTTTTGGCACACCATCAAGCTTCCACAGTTAATGACTGTTTATCTTTCTGCCACGGAAATTTTCAGCGTATTTTGTTTAACTGTTTCAGAGTTCGAATCATCCCCTATTGAATCTAAAACGAAAATTTAAAAAAAGACTGTGACAAAATCATGAATTTAGAGAAAACTTTGTATTATTCTTGGATTTAAAGATGATATTTTGTGATTCCTGGAATTAAAGATAATATTTTGTATAATTCCTGGATTTAAAGATGATATTTTGTGATTCCTGGATTTAAAGATAATATTTTGTATAATTCCTGGATTTTAAGATGATATTATGTATAATTCCTGGATTTAAAAATGATATTTTGTGATTCCTGGATTTAAAGATAATATTTTGTATAATTCCTGGATTTAAAGATAATATTTTGTATAATTCTTGGATTTAAAGATGATATTTTGTATAATTCCTGGATTTAAAGATGATATTTTGTATAATTCCTGGATTTAAAGATGATATTTTGTATAATTCCTGGATTTAAAGATAATGTTTTGTATAATTCCTGGATTTTGAGATGATATTTTGTATAATTCCTGGATTTAAAGATGAGATTTTGTGATTCCTGGATTTAAAGATGATAGTTTGTATAATTCCTGGATTTTAAGATGATATTTTGTGATTCCTGGATTTAAAAATGATATTTTGTATAATTCTTGGAATTAAAGATGATATTTTGTATAATTCTTAGATTTAAAGATGATATTTTGTGATTCCTGGATTTAAAGATGATAGTTTGTATAATTCTTGGATCTAATGATGATATTTTGTATAATTCTTGGATTTAAAGATGATATTTTGTGATTCCTGGATTTAAAGATGATATTTTGTATAATTCCTGGATTTAATGATGATATTTTGTATAATTCTTGGATTTAAAGATGATATTTTGTGATTCCTGGATTTAAAGATGATATTTTGTATAATTCCTGGATTTAAAGATAATATTTTGTATAATTCCTGGATTTAAAGATGATGTTTTGTATAATTCCTGGATTTAATGATAATATTTTGCATAATTCCTGGATTTAAAGATAATATTTTGTATAATTTTTAAAAGATGATATTTTGTGATTCCTGGATTTAAAGATGATATTTTGTATAATTCCTGGATTTAAAGATGATATTTTGTGATTCCTGGATTTAAAGATGTTATTTTGTATAATTCCTGGCTTTAAAGATGATATTTTGTATAATTCCTGGATTTAAAGATGATATTTTGTATAATTCTTAGATTTAAAGATGATATTTTTGTATAATTCCTGGATTTAAAAATGATATTTTTTAATAATTCCTGGATTAAAAGATGATATTTTGTATAATTCCTGGATTTAAAGATGATATTTTGTGATTCCTGGATTTAAAGATGATATTTTGTATAATTCCTGGATTTAAAGATGATATTTTGTATAATTCTTAGATTTAAAGATGATATTTTTTAATAATTCCTGGATTTAAAGATGTTATTTTGTATAATTCCTGGATTTAAAGATAATATTTTGTATAATTCTTAGATTTAAAGATGATATTTTTGTATAATTCTTGGATTTAAAAATGATATTTTTTTAATAATTCCTGGATTTAAAGATGATATTTTGTATAATTCCTGGATTTAAAGATAATATTTTGTATAATTCCTGGATTAAAAGATGATATTTTGTATGATTCCTGGATTTAAAGATGAGATTTTGTGATTCCTGGATTTAAAGATGATATTTTGTATAATTCCTGGATTTAAAGATGATATTTTGTATAATTCTTAGATTTAAAGATGATATTTTTTAATAATTCCTGGATTTAAAGATGTTATTTTGTATAATTCCTGGATTTAAAGATAATATTTTGTATAATTCTTAGATTTAAAGATGATAAATTTTTTAAAAATGATATTTTTTAATAATTCCTGGATTTAAAGATGATATTTTGTATAATTCCTGGATTTAAAGATAATATTTTGTATAATTCCTGGATTTAAAGATGATATTTTGTATAATTCTTGGATTTAAAGATGATATTTTGTGATTCCTGGATTTAAAGATGATATTTTGTATAATTCCTGGATTTAAAGATGATATTTTCTGATTCCTGAATTTAAAGATGATATTTTCTGATTCCTGGATTTAAAGATAATCATGAATAATTTCTGAATTTATGGATAATTTTGCATAATTCTTGGATTTTGTGATATCTGGATTTATAGATAATTTTGTGTAATTTCTGAATTTATAGATAATGTTGTATAATTCCTGAGTTTAGAGATAATTTTGTATAATTTCTGAATTTCTTGAATTTGGAAATCTTTAAGATATGAAGTAGTATGCATTATAAGTATTTTGCCGTTTAAGGTTTTGCAGACGTGAGTCACGGTGTAGTTAATACTGCTGTTTGTTTCCTTCTTTAGTCATATTGTCAGAGTCAAAATTCCGAGCTGGTTGCTGTGGAAACTGAAGTAGAAAATGACTTTCTCCACAGATTCATACAACGATTTAGATGTAAGTTGTAAAATAGTCCTAGTGTTATCGTTCCTTAGTTCCATGGTTTTATTCCCCTTGTACGTTTCATGAGTCGCCGTGTAAATATTTTCTGTTTCATATTTTATACTTGTTTTATTGGAGTTTATTATCATGTTGACATGTCGGTATTTTCTTTTATTTTACAGTTTCTTGTTGTTCCTATTGTTGGTATTACAGAACCCATGTCAGTAGCGTAAAAGTTGACAATTGCTGAACTATATATAGCTAGTTGTCAAGGAGACAAAACGAAATCTAAAATTATAGTAAGAGTTCTTGATATTCTACCAGCACTTGTTACTTACGGTTATTCTCTGTGTTCTGAATGTATTACAGAATTTCCGTATATACGAAGATAACTTGTTTTTGCAAACTGAACAGATGCATTTCCCCAATAAGTCTAATCAATCGATTATCGAAAATTACGCAATTTATTTCAAAATGGAGTCAGTGCACCTACTTTACTTAAGGTCCCCTTAATGTCCTTTTCTTAATTGTACTGTATTTGATGTTTCTGTGGTGTCCCTTTCTGAATGTGTTTCATCTAAGATTAAAGATTTAATTTCATGTTTGATTGTGCTTTATTCAATGTTATTTTTCGTGCCCTTTTCCTGATTGTACTTGAATCAAGGTTCTTTCGGTGTCCTTTACTTGATTGTACTTGAATCAAGGTTCTTTTGGTGTCCTTTACTTGATTGTACTTGAATCAAGGTTCTTTTGATGTCCTTTACTTGATTGTACTTGATTCAAGGTTCTTTTGATGTCCTTTACTTGCTTGTACTTGATTCAAGGTTCTTGTTGATGTCATTTTCCATGAGTGTACATTGTTTAACGCCCGATTTTGTTGTACTTTATCTAAGGTTCCTTTAATGTCCCTTTCTGGATTGATGCGACCGATATGATCTCTGATGGTGTCTGGGTTTGGGCTTCTTCACTCACTCCATTAACCTACTTCAACTGGGGCAAGAACGAACCCAATGGAGATATTAACGAGGACTGCATCTCAGTAGATTCTGGGATGTGGAACGACCTCCGGTGTGATGATAGAAGATACTTTGTCTGCGAAAAAAAGTAAATATAAAAAGAGCATTTATGAGAATGATCAGAAGGATGCCTAAAGTGGTATGTACGTGAAGGGGAAGGGGAGTGCTAGGCATACTTTGCAGATTACAAGTCGAATTGTATGTTCCCCAGGGAATTATGACTAGCAGGGACTCTGTGTTAATATCCCATTGACATAACCCTTAATTTTGTACAGCAATGGGCTTATTCGTATCACAACCAATACCGACGACAGATAGACATATCGATAGACAAGCTCTGGCTGACACAAAGAATGATATATCCTATCAGAGGATGTCCGATATTTTATTTAAAAACAATGTAAATGTCTATTTTCACTATTTTCTAGAATGATATAGAAATAACAGAAAAAGGTAAAGTTCAGATAAAATAGAGCCACTATCATTGGAAAAATACAGCATTGCCACTCACTGACGTCATGATTAATATATATAATATGTGTTGATTGGCTTATAATGTTGCTTCGAATCCAAGGAAAAGAAGAATATTTTGGATGTGTTTGTTCCGTGGTTGTAAAGCTTTTTTGTCATTTGAGAAAGTGATAATACTTAATTGGATTGACCAAGATTAACATGGGGGGTGTTGATATCACGGAACACCTGGTTTTATTATCTTTGTACTTTTTTTAGAATGCATGTAAATATTTCTTGTGTTAATTTCTTGTTCTAGTTTAATCAAACTCTGAGTTTGGATAATTGCTATGGTGACTTGTTGGTATTTTTATTCAACAGAAATGGTGTATTGCTGCCTCTTGGTAGTTTTATTGTAAAGTTGTTACACTTAAACTTAATAATATAATTCCTCCTTTACAGGACGCTGCCTATTTCATGTCCATCTGAAGGGAGTTCAATTATCGGGTAAACAACACACTTTAAATCTGTTTTATTCACTTCGTCGTAATAAAGGTTAGACATCAATATTTAATTTTTTTTGATTGTTTTCTCTTCTGAAAAGTCACCATTTACTTTTGTATATCGTGGAAATATGAGAGAGAGAGAGAGAGAGAGAGAGAGAGAGAGAGAGAGAGAGAGAGAGAGAGAGAGAGAGAGAGAGAGAGAGAGAGAGAGAGAGAGAGAGAGAGAGAGGCACCTATTTACATATTACAATTAAGATTATGGGATATTATGGGGTAGACACTTAAAGGTTTTAGTACTATTCAAATTTTTAAAATTTATTTTTATTTTCTTTCTATTTTTAAATTTTCCATGCATCCATTTTTCCATTGTTAAAAAAACCCGAAAAATAAATTGGAAAAGAGCAAGAAAATAGCGACGTAGTAACAGAATCTTTATTAAAATAAAATTCAATGAAACAATGAAAAAGGAAAAAGATTCAAGAAAAATTAAAACCGGAATAGTAAGATTCTTCTGTTTCATTAACAACTAAATCTTGGCCAACCCAAGTTAGAATTGTCGCTTTCTCAAATGTACTATAACATACTTTCTACATGGTCTTTCGAGTTTTTGACTTGATGCTCTGATTTTCCCAACATGGGTCTTAGAACGTCTGCTATTGACCAGTGAAGTTCGCTATGGTTCCGTTCATTTTTATCTTAAGTGTACAGTACATTTTCTGTAATGGGATACAGTTGTCTCTTGCTTAAGCTTTGATAAAATAGCTTCCAGCCGCTTTTTGAACATTTGGGGAATATTGCTTTTATGTTTTGATTTGTGATCTCATTTGATCAGCTCAGCGTAACTTAAGTTCTTACGTGTCTGATCTGCATCATACAGCTGCTTCCACTTCCTAGGATTAATCAGGGATACTTAGAGTTTAAATTTTGAAACGTAGGAGGCGACCAAGGAAAATCAAACTGTGCTTATTGTCATAATTAAGATTAGAAAGTGCACTAACAATAATTCAATAAATTTGACACATTGTATTAGTTGGTGGTTATCGAAGAACGTTAAATACAACTTTATATTCTAAATCATAATATTACTGAAAATAAATTAAATCATGGACGTACTTGTTATTACACTTACCAATGTCTGTAGAACAACGCAACGTAAATTTACATAGAAATGTATACATATTTCTCTTCTCGATGACGACACAGCCTTGATAGATTCAAGGTAACATAATATGAATTGATGAAGAACGCTGATGCTGTAAATAACCAACCAATTATTGATGTTGCTTGCTAAAGACACACAGCTCAGTGGCACCTTTTAAAACAATTTCGAATTATGTAGAGTACAGCCAAACAATAAATTGAACTTAATCATGTAGTTGTTTCATATTTCTAGGATGCTTGTGATTCTAAGGAGTTTTTTAAAAACAAAGTGATCGAAAAAAGGCAAGATGTTGATTAAGAGGTTCATTAACACCATCAAAAAACTTTTAGGAAAACATCAAATAAAAGTACTGTCCATGAAAAGTTTACAATGATGTAAATTGCACACTTTGCAGCATACATTCAATCTTCTTCCTTTCGTCCACACGAAATCAAAGTTGTGAAGGGTTTAAATCGTCCTTTCTTTGTTCCAAGCATATCCATCCGTACTTTCTTATGTGATTGCGTCCTGAGTGCTGTCTGTTGATGCGCCTTAAAACTTATCTCTGTAAACAATTTTTCAAAAACGTTCTCGAGATTTTCTCCTGTTTTCGGTGATGCCTCTATCATCATTCCTCCCAAACCGTTGTTATCAGCCCAGTTCAAGGCTTCGAAATATTCTACCTTTCGGAAGTTTTCTTTGTCCATCTTGTTAGCAATAACGATACACGGTATGTCCTTGTGGTCCGATCTAGAAGTCTTGATTTCCTGCCATGTCCGTTTCATTTCATCAAACGAGTCTTCATTGTCAATGGAGAAGACAAGAAGGAAAGCGGTTGCCTTCTGTATCTCTAGTCTCCGCATTGCAGGGAAGGCAATCGAACCGGATGTGTCTAGGTAGTCAATCATGAAAACCTCACCTTTAACACAAACGTCCTGACTGTAAACGTCTTCAACAGTCTGGGTGTATTTGTCAGCAAAGGTGTCGTTGAGGTATTTGTGTAAAATGCTTGTTTTGCCGACATTGCCACTTCCAAGAACTACTACAAACTGTTTGAGAACCATCTTCGGTAGGCTACAACTATTAGTCTTCATCCACATAGTTGTCGTATTTATAGTCTCGCATTCAATTAACACTTACAAAAGCGCCAATGAGCACAACCCCACGTTAACCTTGCTTGGAACGCCGTAGTTTCTTCATGGAGATATAGGATAAGACATGCTTTATCAAAATATCACTTAAATTAAAAATATATAATTTACATCGATCACATACTTTATAGTATATCACACTCTGTATTTGGAAATTCATATCTCGGTAATAAGATATTCACAAAGTATTTACTGAAAACAAATCTCCCAGGAGATGTATGAGTACTATGAAAATCAAACAGTGACGTAAAGAATATCGAAATACTAATACCACCACGAGTCATAATTAATTCTTTTCTTAGATAAGCTCTATAATATTTCATCAGCAATTCTGACAAATATATTAACTTGGAGGATGGAAGTGGGTGTGTGTGGCGCAGTGGTAACGGGTCATCTGCCTGACCACGTGGGTTTCCTGATGTCAACTGGTTTACCCCTACTTTGATGGTCGGATGGTTGAATGGCGCAGTGGTACTGCACTCGGCTTTTACTTTGCCGTCCGTGGGTTTCGATTCTCGGGACGGAAGAAAAAAAGGTAAAGGACACCTTTCAATGACATCAGTAAAAGCTGTGTGGTAGCACAAGGTGTATTTGTAAGCGCGATTGATTTAGGTTGGTCTGGTGTTTTCCTGTACCTACCTACATCCTTGGCTGATGTTTGGTTGTGATAAATTTCCCCAGTAGAAAGGAATTTCGTGCCCACTCATGTGTCACTTGATATCATATTTAATTAGTCCATATCTAACTTAAGAAAAACACGTCTGTCTGTCGTTGCATCCTGTTCGACAAACAAGGACTTGTCCTCGTCTGTGATATCTTGCTCGTCTTGTGATATCTTGCACTCGCCGTGCCATTGTGATGTGCAGTTGAAGACAACTTTCATTTTCTCAGCTAGAGCTCCTTCCTGTCTTTGGTGTACAGAAATATGTTCCTTTGATACCGATGAGGCCAGCTGATTCGCTGAGGCTTCTGACCAATATGGTAAATATATGTTCTACAATAGATGAAGATGTCCAACACAATGCCTCTTAATGCGCTCTGTGTTCTCGGTTTTCTCTTTTGGAGTGCTACTGACCGAGACCGTTTTGTCCAATCATTGAAAGTCTTTATTGTGAATAACATTCTCGATACTCCAAGGTTACGATCACTTTCATTCTCTGCACCCGTGGAATATGCCATCGCAAAATTGAATATTCAATGGGCGAAAAGACTAGTTTGATCCTTTGATGTTCATCAAACGAATCTCGAAATAGCATAATGGTATATTGCAATGGTTTTGAAGTTTGGTGTCGCGCCTTTGCAATCTTCAGAAGATTCTTCTTGTCTGTAATTATTGTTTACTTCTCTTTTTTTAAAAGTGGGTATTTTCCCTTATTTTCTATCCTTTCCTCTGTTTTCGCTCTCAATTATATGAAATTTGAAGAAACCTCATAGGAAACAGTGATAACAAAATCTAAGACGACTGCCTGACAGCCCGTTTTCTGGTCGGACCCAAAAATTCGCAAACCATCGTTGTGCTAACTGGCCAGAAACTGATAATGTGTTATTTGAAGTACATTTACATTCGCTGGAAATCCGTTTTTAAAACCCATATAGCCTGCATTTATAATGGTTCAAGTGATTTCTTAAAGCAAGCTGTTTGGTTTCATCAAAGGATGTTACTCTCTAAATATTGCGACACTACACCAACTTTCTGATAAGCTAATGTCAAAAATCCTGATGGCAACCTGTTGGTCACTTTGGGAACACACAAAATTTAAGGAAGAACCATTCAAGAAAGTGATAAAGAATTGTTTACGACAGTTGGACAAAGGACTACTAAAGAATCCACCACCTGATGAAGGTGTACAATACTTGAATCATTCTAACTATCTTTGGCTTATTTACCATATCAAGTTACTGGTGATCAAACCAGTTTGATTGTTTGTAAAAGTGATTTAAATTTCTTTAAAATAATACAACCAACAAAATATATCAAGTGTTTTGAATTTTTATTTCTTTCAACAGATACTATAAACATGTAGAGAACAATGAGGCTATCTACACCATTCCCTTGTTTAGTGGTGCATTGTAAGCTCATGCAGTTTGATACATATTACAGTAGCAGACATACTGACTGATGAACCGTGATACACTGATTCCCATGTTCCGATGTGGTTACACACAAAGTAATTTGGAAGAAACTGGATATGGGGTTAAAAAGTAGACAGGATTAAAAAACAAAAGATTGTTAGCCTGTGGCCACTATCAAGTAGAATGTACCTAGTCAAGGAGACATTACCTCGTGGTCAGATTAACCAATGATAGCATGTTAGAGTCACTGATTTCTATCAGTAGTGAAAATAAATATATAGCTGGTTCCTTAATGGATATAAATACAACTGAAAATCTACAGTAAAAATTTTCAAAGAAAATTATTTTTAACTTTAGATTTTTAAGTGAGGGAATAATAATATCTCTTATATTTCTTTTTTAAAAAAAAGTGTAATTTTTTTCCTCTCACAAGAAGTAAGGTCAGACCAGTAAACACTAAGCAAGTATTAAGGAATAAGAATGAGGTACTTAAATAAACCAATAGGATGACATATAATGTGTAACACAGCTGGAAAATTAATAATCACATACAATTCTGTAACCTTGAATTGAAGATGACAAAAGAAATGTTTTGTGAATATCGAAAGAGTAATGGCTTAAAGGAAATAAAGACTAATAAAAATGTTTTACTCCACATCAAAAGCAACTGGGAATCCAATTCTTATGAAAGTGTTCTGTACAAGGTCACACCTATGTTATGTACAAAGAGATACTAGACATCCATCAGGCAGCTCAGTGAGCACCTAACAAGACATTCACAACATACAGCATTCAAACTTATGGGCAGCCTGCCATCCAACAAACATTACACACAAAACGTACAGCATTCAAACAATTGGGCAGTCTGCTTACCATTCATGTACACGCAGTAAACATACAGCTTTCAAATCAGAAAACAGTGGTGGCCACCTAATACACACATCATGTCATCCCAACAGTCAGCACTTATCAAAAAGTTGATTTAATGTAAAACCAATACCACACAAGTTTTTCTAGTTTACCAAGAGTTATGCCCCTTCCACTAACTCTACTCACTCAAAAATTGCTCTCAAAGCCACTGGTCCTCAGGTGAACACCATTTCGTATCGTATTTCTCTTAATTACATACTATGAATAACAGTCACTTAGAGCCGTGACACAACTTTTAGACTGTTAAAGCACCAAATCATTCCACAAACTGGCTGTGGAAATTTGGAAAGTTTATTGCTAAAATATTTTCACAGACAGTGTGTACTGCACTTAAGAATAGATCACTAAAAATATAATATCCTGTAATGCTTTCCCTTTTACAAACTACTGTCAAAACAGGTGCTTGTTCAAAGTATCACTAAATCTGGAAAGTCTATATGCCTCCAACCATATGTCTGCCTAAATCACTGACATTGGACAGTTCCAATGTGCCTTTGATACACTGACTGATCAATAGCTTAATTACATCAACAGCTAGAGTGCCAGTGTAGCATTGTCAAATATGTAAGGGACTTCAATGAATAACTAAGAATGCTTGAAAGCATTTTAGGTTTCATGAAAGAATGTCCTAAAATCACTTTATGTATCTTGAAAAATGAAGTATAAAGAATTTCAAACAAGAGGCCCATGGCCTTAATGGTCCTCTGACTATAAAGATTTATCAATAATATGATAGCAGTAGTGATAGGGAAGTTGGTAACAGTTATAAATAGGATTCAAACGATTCTGAATTTTAGCATCCAAGGTAATAAATCAACATTCTCACCAAACTTCATGCCAAAGTGTGAAAGTGTTTTTTCAAGATGGTAGTCATATTGGATTTCACACCAACCTGAAAAATATCAACACTTGGTCAGGTCCACCTCAGGATCATTTTAAGCAAGTCTCAGCTGGATCCCACTGGTGTAACTTCAGAAAAAGTTAAAATGTTTTTCAAGATGGCAGCAATGTTGGATATTAGACTGACTCAAAAAAAAAAATGACATCTCTGGTAAGGACCAACAAGTTTGAGCTGAATCCCTCTGTGAAACTTTTAAGCAAGTTTGAGCAAAATCCCACTGTCACATGAAGGTGATTAATAGAATAACATGGGTCAGTTTTCTGGACTTGGATATCTCAACCCTAGTAAAGAAAGTTTGCTGGTAAGCATGTGGATTGCCATTATCACACCATTAACCATTTTCTATAAATTGTGCAATGAAATGGATGGTGTTATCAAATTGCCACATGGTTTTGTTACACAACACAATGCCACTACTCTATTGTAAGTAGGACATAGCACCTGCTATCTGTCATGTCGTAGAGGATGACAGAGAAATCTCTTACCGTTAAAACCCAAGACAAAAAAATGAAGAGAGAGAACTCTAGCAGTAACACAACAGCTGAAGTTAACTCTTCCAAAAAGAGGAGGAATACATTTCTACAAACACCTTAACAAATAGTTTACTACTGAAAAATCATATATTTTTGTGGGGCTAAATTTTCATTAATTTTCTAAAAAATATGTTCTCCTGGACACCTAGTTTTGTGATTAGATATATGGCTAAAGAAATATTTGCTTAATCATTCAAATTTTGGGATTATGAATACCCACAAAATCATAGAAAATAAATCTCCCACAAAAATGCATGATTTTACAGTATATTCATAAAAAGTAAAGTTATCTCATGTCAGAAAGGTTTATTTAGAGGTCATCAAGATAAACAGGAACGAAGTCACACTAAAATTGTTGGCCCCAACTTGAAAACAAAAAATAAAAATAAAAAATGAAATACTGAAACTTCAACTACATTTCGAAAGATATTTTTTTTTGGACATTTGTTATCAGTCCTGTTAATATTAAAGGGACATCACCGTGCAATATTTTTTTCTTCCCCTTTTTCACTTTTTTTTTTTTTAAAATTTCAAAATGTACATTAAGAATGTGGTGCAGGTCCTTATGTATAAATGTAGTCAGATTTTGTCAAGAAACAGTCAATAATTGATAACACGAGTATCCCTATTCATCAACAAACAAGTTAAAGAGACTTTATATCACTAATGAAGTTTTGAAGGAATGGACTGAGTATGCATTAAACACTTGTTGCTGTAAATGATATGGTGTCAAAAGCGAAGGACTGACAAACAAAGAGTCAATGTATTTCAGTGAGGAGTTGTCAAATACTCCTGGATATTAAGGATAGGAAGTCAATGTAACAGATGAAAAATTTTCAAACAATGAAATAATTGCTGTACGAATAAGGAAACATCCTTGCTTAAGCAAATCCAATGCCATAAGGAAGCATGTAATGTAGAAGGGGCTCCAATGTGGGAAACTGTGATGGTGAAATGATGTGATTTAAATACAGAGGCTGAATGAGGTTTGAGCTGTTGTAAATGGAGTGCAATGTTCTGGAGAATGTTACATTTCACAGCAAATATGCGTTAAGTCTTAATCAGTGCTTTTAGTGGTCAAACTTGACTTTCAGGATGGACTGGGTATTGATATAGCAATTACACATGTTTTGGGGTGTAAACCACAGGTTTATTTAATTTCTTATAGAAATATGACAGCAGGGGCTCTAACAGATATTCCCTACCCTGAATCAGGAAGTAATGGTCAACTTGTCCAATGACCACCCAAATTGAATCTGGTATGAGCTATATATGGTGTAAATATGGACCAACTGTATTCAAGGATGAATTACCCTAAGGTTATCATACAAGCATGCAAACCAGTCCCCCATCAGCCAAGTAGGAGATATATCAATCGGTTTCCACGGTGATGTCCCTTTAAATCAAATTGAAAGTAATGTATAACACCTCACAGAAGAGAATATAAGACTAGGTTTTATACCACTGTCTGAAGATAAACCTTGTTGAAACATTTCCCACCAGGTTTGTCTTATTCCACATACATAACAGTGAATCTAGGACTTCTTTTCATTCAGATTAATACAATTTAAGACTTGTTTTTCATTTCATCCAGAGGCTTCACTTAACAAAATTATTTTAACAGCTGTGCAGCTTTTCGTTAGCAGGTAACTTAATCAATGAACTGTGAACAGCCTCCTTCAAACCAATTTATCATAAATTCCATATCGGTACCCGAAAAATTGAAAACTAAATTCATGTTACAATCTGAATAGATTATCTGATATTTGAATGGCATAGACATCATACTGGAGTACAAACAGCTCTGTTCATTATATCATAAATCATTTTAAATGTTTTTGTTTACATTAATGAATTATTTCATTCAATGAGGAAGCATGAAGTAAACAATTAAAATCAATAATTACAACATTGTTAGATTTATGAATATATTTTGGCTTTGATTTAGTAAAAGCTGATATTATAAAAGAAAACCTTTTGATAAGTTTGACAGTTTAACCCTTGATAACATTTTATTCCTACAAAGTATGGTCCAGACACTTTTTTGTGTCTGATATCCCTTCAGATTCAACCGTTTATAAACAGAATAAATTCTAAAGTCAGCTGCATGTAATTAATTTCTCAAAAGTTTTATCCAAAATTTGAATGAAACATTGCTGCAACACCAGAACCATGTTTCTCATATAAAGCTAGGGCTTTCAGAAATGGTAAAAATCCTGTTGCTCACAACTTACACACCACCAGCTATCCAAGCACTCAATCTGCAGTCAAATTTTCACGGACGACTAAAAACAATACATCATGGATTGAAATACTTTAAATTAATCACATTTCTTTGCTGTAGAGTCTCCAGATTTCTTTGAGGATCAATTCCATTTTGTATGGCACTATTCCATGTACCCTCATCCAGAAGTCTGCCTACTGCTGCTGACTGAGGTCTTACAGGGATGGCCTTTGGCTCGATCCTAATTCTGCCAGCAAGAATTCAATTACAATGACAGACACTGTCCTAAGAATGCGAAGACGATGTAAACGAATGTGATGATGAAAATGACGGAGGCTTCATATTCTCTAGTTCATGAATTTGTTGAGCTAAAAATAATATTCTGTGGAAGAGAAAATGAGAGCCATATTAGTGAATGTTTCCTGTATGATGGAAATAGTTCATGTACAAAACAGTACCCAACTTCAAATGACCCTTCATAAAACAAATGTTTAGGCAGTCAATCATGGCTGCAATTTGATTTTGGTGAAGAGAATGAAAATTCGCCTTCATTTCTAAACATTTTACCTGAGGGAAGTGGATCATATATCACTTAGGTAATAGTCCCCATCAAATGTAAACATAAAAGCAGTTCCAGTGACTAGAAGTGTAGAAGAGAGCCTGTATAAACATTTTCTTTGATGAAGGTCAAACTGTAGGTCAGAATGTCCAGGTTCTGATATATGACACTGCCTACCCAACGTGCCCATATATCCTACCAAGTAAGAAGTTCAAGTCACAAGTGCCGTAGTCTGGGTTATAAGCTGAACTGACATATAAGCCGCAGAGCCAATTTTTGCCAAATTTTTCGATTAGATGCACAAATAAGACACACCGAAATATAAACTGCACCCTTTCTTACAAAGTGGTGATCGTTACATTGACCTAAGTTCGTTGATATAACAGACAATGAAGGTCATTTTATCAAGATCATCAGTGAAACACTTCCCGAAGTTTTCAAATGAATTATACACAGATAACCCTTTATTTCACTGATGTATTAAAAAAAAAAAAAAAGCAAATATCAAACTTGTTTGGCTTGGGTGCCTTCAAAGATGGTCTACGCACAGATATAGAGCATGACAATGTGTATGGTTTAGTAAAAAAATCTCTCCATCCATGTCTGGATTGTTCAATATTAACGAAGGCCTTTGCATGCTGACTATATTCTTATTGTCCCATATCATATCTTATTGTAATATGAAGTCACTCATATTGTAAACAAACATAACAGTCTTTCTAGAACTTGACCTATAACCTGATGACCTATCGATCCCAGGATGCAACAGGCTATTATAAACTTCTGTTATTGCTTTGAAGTAACCCCAAAAGTCCAGAAGATATTCTTGTGATTCATATTAAAAGGTATGATTACTGTTATCATGAGAGATTTCATCCTGTATAAGATTGTAAATGAAGGTTTTAGATGATCTGTTTCAGTCACAAACACGTGACGGGCAGGTAATAGTAAAAAAGCACAATACTGTCTCATACCAGTGTACTTGTATGCTTCCTGACTTTTTTTTTTTTTTTTTATCCTGCCAATTTATTAGCCACACTGGTGTATAAGCCCACTGATGTGGAAAACAGGTGCAGCTCATAATCCAGAAAATACGGGGAAGTAAGAGATTAAGCCCTGACAAGACAGCAGGACAGACTGAGAGACGGTGGGGCACAATACAAAACTACAACCCCCATCACCCTCGGTCGCTTGGGGAATAGTAAGAAATATTACTAGTATCTACATACTACCAACAATTAGGAATTTCCACCCATGCCAAGCTTACTGTCATTCTTGAATCCCACCTCACTGATCTATACATCATTACCCAAAATTCTATGCCCCATTTTCCAATCCAAATTTTACCAATTTTTATGATCGAGAAATTTTCACTTAATAATCATTTAGTTTTGGCATAAAATAAGATGTTAAAGGGGTCTCCGATTAATTTTGAAAGAATTAATCAGAGTGATATTTATCATGTTGTGATACAGAGTTTTTCAAAAAAGAAAATGTCTTGTCAATTAGGGATAATTTAGCAATATTACTGAGTGTGTACGTATAAGGGGAGATAACTACCATGCAGCATGAAAGACCTCCCAACCATTCCACTGTCATGTCTCTGAGTGATAAGTTCTGAATCTCTGTAACCTGACTTGAGATATTGGGTTAAGAGAGTGTTATCTCAATCAATCACAGTCTAAAGCTACTTATTCTACTGATATATAGAGATGTACCTTTGTTCATGTAATGTTGACTGAATTTCTGCAATCCGCACAAGAGACCTTGCACGCTTTAGTTCCACACTCACTTGACTGCATCGCATACAATCTATAGTAAGATTTTCTTGTCTGTACTTTTTGGCCTGTTAAAACAAGGACAAGGTCAAGGTAAATACTTCATCCAATCACTGCTCATATCCTCCCATTATTTCATATTTATCTAACACAATAACGCATGTCATTACTAACTTAAATATGCTATTTTTGAACATATGGATATTGGCGTTGTTTACCTCTAAAGTCACAACTGAATGTCAAACATCTTAAGTAATTGAGAAGGACTTATTCTAATGCCTTTGTGTATATTCTTGTTGAAATATTTCATTAAAACATCTCCCTAACATATCCTTAAATATACAATCTTCCTTACCTGTCTCTCTGCATGTTCTGCCTGCCAGCCTAACACATGGCCTATTAATTTTTCATTATAGTAATTTTTAAGAGCTGGATTGATGCCCATAGATGTCTCCTTGGTGATGCCAGCAGCTGACAATTCAGCCTGTGCCACTGCAGCTGTCTGAGAACTTGTTGTGCTGGATCCTGGACTTAAACTGTAACACAAATGGTTATATTAGCCAACTAGCCATTGGAATTATCCAATCTGGTGGAATTAGGACAACTGTGAAGGATGTTCTCTTCCATTAAAAAAAAAATATATATATATATCTTGAAAATAGAAAATACAAAAAAAGACATTCCTATGAAATATGCATCCTTTTTGTATTATGTTTTTGGAAAAATTTCAACCTATTTTTGACTGGGACATTGATGGATGTATCTGTTGGAAAGACAACACAGAAATGGGGTGAACTCATCTAAAGTCAAGCTGAATTCTATCTGAAAACTACTTTTGTTATACGAGTGATTTTGATGACAGAAGATTAGAATATCCCTATCACAAGTTATAACAACAGAAACAAGGTCTCAGATGTAGGAAGCACAGTGTTTTAACTTAATGTCTTACCAGGAGGGTCCTTGACTTGTCTCTGACAGTGGGCTCTCACCTCCACCTGGCCCTGTCATATGATGTTCGTCATCATGGCGAGAGATTTGATTGAGCTTGCCGTACACCGACGACGAGCTATGTCCACCAGGGGTGTGTGGAGGTTCTCTCTGGCCAGCAGGGTGATGATGATGATGGTTGTTATTATCGGAGTGGGGCTGAGGGTGAGGATGAGGTTGGGGATGATGAGAGTGAACGCCCTGTGGACTAAGGAGCATATTTGAGTTGTGAGAGGTGGGGGTAGGATTTGGTTGATGATGATGAGGGTTTTGGTGGGGTTTGCTTTGGGCTGGTTGGTGTGACGTCTGGGATGTCGGCACATCACTTGTAGACCTGGGAGATTGCTGGGGTGGGTTTCCTGAAAACATAATTATCAAAGCTTATATACATGGTTTTCTGTGATCACAGCATTTACACTTTCAATGAAAAGGTGTACAGATCAATCCAGAAATGTCATGCCTTAATTTCATATTCTCATGACATTGTATATGACAGCTTTAGCTGAAACAATGCTTCTCAATAAATATATATGCTATGTATAAAATTGGAAAAAAACAAAAACAAGTAATTTGATTACTTGGGAGACAATAGAATAATTCCATTGAATTTCTTACCAGGACTAGTTTGCTGTGCTATTTGTCGACTTATCACCTCTTGTAATCTCTGTAAGGTTTGCAAGGCTGAAATGGAGAGATACAGTATAACTGAGTTTTACCAGGATACAGAGAACATCTATCAGTAGGTAACTCCTCATAACTATTACACATTCAAAAAATCTACAGGGATTATTAGTGATATTTCAATATATAACACACTCTGAAGTTAAGGAACGGTTTTGTTTAAGCACTATTAACGGACAGAACTTTATTCAATTACTTTCCTCACTGAATTCAAAAGATATTTTCAAATACACACAATATTGTCAATAACATGAAAAGTTTTGTAAATTTTAACCCGACATTTTGAATGGAGAACATTTGAGGAGCTACAGCTAACAATTCAGCGAATGGTATTGTATTTCTTAGGTATGTTACATATAGATTATTTTTTGCAGGCTGTTTGAAGACAACCCTCCAATCACAAACAGATGATGATTAAAAAAAGGTGTTACAAACTTATCATAAAATAGCAAGGTCTGTGTCAGCTCATTAGAACTTTTATCATCAGGACTTTGGCCAATGTTTAACATTAGACAACATTCCAGTACTTAAGGAAAGTTTGTTTAAATGGCAGATATATCACATAGAAAATAATGTAGGTTTGTTGAGCAAGAACAAAATGATTGCTATTTTCCTTGCCTGAGCATTTTAAGCAAAGGATAGTAATAATTTCACAGTTCAAGTTTATAAAAAAAACTGACAACATACATGGATACACAACCTTTAAAAATGTGTGATTTAATCCATATAGCCATCTTTAAAACAAACAAAAAGTTGAACAAGGAAACATTGAAAAATACATGCAGTTTAACCAGTACATGCAAATGGAATAATTGTTAGTGATGAACAAATTTCACATAACCATGATCCATCTATCGTTTCCAGATCAAAGAAAAAAGAAATCCTCACAGAACCTTGGAAATTGTTGACAAGAAAAAAAATCTTTTAAAAGTTAAAGTTGTTTGTTTTGAAAAAAAAACAAAACAAAAAAAAAACAAAAAAAAAAACTTTGAACATTATAATTTTACAACTCAAAATATTGGGTGATCTTGATTATGGCACTTGAGTCTTGCAATAAATAATTATTTTACTTGAAGCACATTATACATTGAATTCAAGCAATTCCACTGTACGATATATGGTTCAAGGTTACAATGGGAAAAACAAATGTCAAACGTGAAAAGTATAAAAAGATTTGAACATCGAAATACACATGGTTGTCACTGTATTGTATTTACAGTGAAGGACACTTCCATGTGTAGTCGTGTTCATACCTTTATGAGTTAAATCTTGGTTTCTCTGACTGCCGCTGAGCGTGGATATCAGACAGGGAATCGTAGATAGGAGTGGGGAGGTGGCGCCTAGAGGGTTGGACACAGAATCACGTACTTGTACAATGAGGCTATTCACAAATTAGACATGGGTGTACAGAGATCTGCTTACAACTATTGAAATTTACTACATTGTTAAGATTTAACTATTAAAAGATTATAATCTCCAAACCTCTCATGTCTTACAGGTTATTTATTCATTACATCAACACCTGTATACTTTTCATAGTTTCACGTACCCAAAGTTAGAATGGCATTAAAAACGAAATAAAAAAAAACCCATCCTAATATCACCGATGAGGATTGGTCCAGTTCTAGAACTTCAAACTTTGATGTGTACTTTGTTGAATGTATGATTAGAGTTTGAACTACTTCATTGATGGGACCAGAATAGATTTCTATACCGCAATAGTATAGTGTAGGTGTTTCTGTATCTGTGTGGGCTCGACAGGGAAGACAGGAAAAGACAGATAAAGTGGTGTAGGATTTTCTGTACCTGTGGGTGCTATACCGGCTAGAGCTGCCGCTGTAGACGTAGGGAGTGACATGGGTGTGGAGTTGGGACCTAACTGGGGTGTGCCTGCACAACTTGACCGCCGTGAACTTGATGGTGAACTTCCTGGTGATATATCCATGTCATCCATCTGTGAGTCTGCAAAACACAAAAGTTAAAATGTATGGAATAAAAATTCATTTTTATGTACTACATGATTTTGACAATACATACATGATGCCTTGAATGCCCAAATTACTGCCCTTTCCACTCTCTGGAGTAATTTCATTAATAAAGGCTTTTTAAATCTTGACACAGGTCTGATGTTAAGAATAATATGATCTTTCCCTAGCTGGAGGTTAGGACAGAGAAATCTCTACTCGAGGAGGAGATTCCAGATAGTCTCACCCTGGGAAAAGCCTCTGGTTAGACAGACATGAATCTCCTCCTCCAGTAGAAATTTTTCTGTCCTACCTTCGAACTAAGAAATGATCCTTTTTCTACTATTTATCTCCAACATGCCAGAAATATAAGAACAGTGAGACCAACATAAAAACAAATCTACAATACACAATGACAATCATAATATTACAATAACTCATTGTCATAAAACCGAAGATGATCAGAAACGGTCTTACAAAAACATCAAATTGTCAATATCAATCAATCAAATCTCAAATGTACAACTTTGGGTTTAACAAGTGTTTATGTTTTGTGTACAGGCTGTCTCACTCTGGCAAGATTGAGATATCTTACCCTCACTGAAAATTTGGATTATTACGTCTGATAGGGCAGAAAATGATTATCTCAATAAAGATCACCATAGTAAACTTAACAAGAGCGCCGTGGACACAATATATGCCGCCACAAAATATAAAAATCAAGATCAAAAATCTTACAGAAATCAATGAACCGTAAAATCACCACTTCCAGCACATCTACCCATTGTATTAGTGACATTGAGCAAGTTTCGTGAAAACCTGATGATTATTTTAGGGAGAGTTGCGTTCACAAGGCTCCACTAAGAGCAAGCTACAGATACAAAGTTGAAAATGGCATAAATCTTACAAAAATGAATGAACCGTAAAATTACCCCTTCATGCACATCTACCCATTGCAAAAGTGACATTGAGCAAGTTTCATGAAAATCTGATGATTATTTTAGGGAGAGTTGCGTTCACAAGGCTCTAATATGAGCAAGCTACAGATACTAAGTTGAAAATGTCATAAATCTAACAAAAATCAAAGAACCGAAAAAATCCCCCCTTCATGCACATCGAACCATTGTAGTTGTGACATTGAGCTAGTTTCGTGAAAATCCTATCATTAGTTTAGGAGGAGTTGCTATCACAAAGCTCCACTAAGAGCAAGCTACACATACAAAGTTGAAAATGGCATAAATCTTACAAAAATCAATGAACCGTAAAATTGCCCCGTCATGCACATCTACCCATTGTAGTAGTGACATTGAGCAAGTTTCATGAAAATCTGATGATTATTTTAGGGGGAGTTGCATTCACAAGAAATGGATGTATGGACAGATGTACAGAGAAGATGACTCCAATATATGACCGCCTCTGGCGGCGTAAATTCCGATGTAAATCTACAAAGTGAGGATCAGGAAGTTGTATAAAATTAGGTGATAAAACTAATAATATAGTGTAATAGATGAACAGCAAATTATCAACAAAGGTCAATAACAATAACAAAACTGAAGAGCTGATGGTGACAACTGACTAACAGTCTGTAGAACTGAAGAATTGAAGTTGACAACTGACTAACAGTCTGTAGAACTGAAGAATTGAAGGTGACAACTGACTGTCTACAGAACTGAAGAATTGATGGTGACAACTAACTGTCTACAGAACTGAAGAATTGATGGTGACAATTGACTGTCTACAGATCTAAAGAAATTAAGGTGACAACTGACTGTCTACAGAACTGAAATATTGAAGGTGACAACTAACAGTCTACAGAACTGAAGAATTGAAGGTGACAACTAACTGTCTACAGAACTGAAGAATTGATGGTGACAATTGACTGTCTACAGATCTAAAGAATTGAAGGTGACAACTGACTGTCTACAGAACTGAAATATTGAAGGTGACAACTAACTAACAGTCTACAGAACTGAAGAATTGAAGGTGACTTCTACAGAACTGAAGAATTGAAGGTGACAACTGACTGTCTACAGAACTGAAGGTGACAACTAACATTCTACAGAACTTAAGAATTGAAGGTGACAACTAACAGTCTACAGAACTAAAGAATTGATGGTGACAACTGACTGTCTACAGAACTGAAGAATTGAAGGTGACGACTGACTGTCTACAGAACTGAAGAATTGAAGGTGACAACTGACTGTCTATAGAACTGAAGAATTGAAGGTGACAACTGACTGTCTACAGAACTAAAGAATTGAAGGTGACAACTAACTAACAGTCTATAGAACTGAAGAATTGAAGGTGACAACTAACAGTCTACAGAACTGAAGAATTGAAGGTGACAACTGACTGTCTAAAGAACTGAAGAATTGAAGGTGACAACTGACTAACAGTCTACAGAACTGAAGAATTGAAGGTGACAACTAACAGTCTACAGAACTGAAGAATTGAAGGTGACAACTGACTGTCTACAGAACTGAAGAATTGAAGGTGACAACTGACTGTCTACAGAACTGAAGAACTGAAGGTGACAACTAACATTCTACAGAACTTAAGAATTGAAGGTGACAACTGACTGTCTAAAGAACTGAAGAATTGAAGGTGACAACTGACTAACAGTCTACAGAACTGAAGTATTGAAGGTGACAACTGACTGTCTACAGAACTGAAGAATTGAAGGTGACAACTGACTGTCTATAGAACTGAAGAATTGAAGGTGACAACTGACAAAGTCTTCAGAACTGAATAATTGAAAGTGACAACTGACTAACAGTCTACAGAACTGAAGGTGACAACCGACTAACAGTCACAGAACTGAAGAATTGAAGGTGACAACTGACTGTCTACAGAACTGAAAAATTGAAGGTGACAACTGACATTCTACAGAACTGAAGAATAGAAGGTGACAACTAACTAACAGTCTACAGAACTGAAGAATTGAAGGTGACAACTAACAGTCTACAGAACTGAAGAATTGATGGTGACAACTGACTGTCTACAGAACTGAAGAATTGAAGGTGACAACTGACTGTCTATAGAACTGAAGAATTGAAGGTGACAACTGACTGTCTACAGAAATAAAGAATTGAAGGTGACAACTAGCTAACAATCTATAGAACTGAAGAATTGAAGGTGACAACTAACAGTCTACAGAACTGAAGAATTGAAGGTGACAACTGACTGTCTAAAGAACTGAAGAATTGAAGGTGACAACTGACTAACAGTCTACAGAACTGAAGAATTGAAGGTGACAACTAACAGTCTACAGAACTGAAGAATTGAAGGTGACAACTGACTGTCTACAGAACTGAAGAATTGAAGGTGACAACTGACTGTCTAAAGAACTGAAGGTGACAACTAACATTCTACAGAACTTAAGAATTGAAGGTGACAACTAACAGTCTACAGAACTGAAGAATTGAAGGTAACAACTAACAGTCTACAGAACTGAAGAATTGAAGGTGACAACTGACTAACAGTCTACAGAACTGAAGTATTGAAGGTGACAACTGACTGTCTACAGAACTGAAGAATTGAAGGTGACAACTGACTGTCTATAGAACTGAAGAATTGAAGGTGACAACTGACAAAGTCTTCAGAACTGAATAATTGAAAGTGACAACTGACTAACAGTCTACAGAACTGAAGGTGACAACCGACTAACAGTCACAGAACTGAAGAATTGAAGGTGACAACTGACTGTCTACAGAACTGAAAAATTGAAGGTGACAACTGACATTCTACAGAACTGAAGAATAGAAGGTGACAACTAACTAACAGTCTACAGAACTGAAGAATTGAAGGTGACAACTAACTAACAGTCTACAGAACTAAAGAATTGATGGTGACAACTGACTGTCTACAGAACTGAAGAATTGAAGGTGACAACTGACTGTCTATAGAACTGAAGAATTGAAGGTGACAACTGACTGTCTACAGAAATAAAGAATTGAAGGTGACAACTAGCTAACAATCTATAGAACTGAAGAATTGAAGGTGACAACTAACAGTCTACAGAACTGAAGAATTGAAGGTGACAACTGACTGTCTAAAGAACTGAAGAATTGAAGGTGACAACTGACTAACAGTCTACAGAACTGAAGAATTGAAGGTGACAACTGACTAACAGTCTACAGAACTGAAGGTGACAACTGACTGTCTACAGAACTGAAAAATTGAAGGTGACAACTGACATTCTACAGAACTGAAGAATAGAAGGTGACAACTAACTAACAGTCTACAGAACTGAAGAATTGAAGGTGACAACTAACTAACAGTCTACAGAACTGAAGAATTGAAGGTGACAACTAACTAACAGTCTACAGAACTAAAGAATTGATGGTGACAACTAACTAACAGTCTACAGAACTGAAGAATTGAAGGTGACAACTGACTAACAGTCTACAGAACTGAAGAATTGAAGGTGACAACTGACTGTCTATAGAACTGAAGAATTGAAGGTGACGACTGACTGTCTACAGAACTAAAGAATTGAAGTTGACAACTGACTAACAGTCTATAGAACTGAAGAATTGAAGGTGACAACTAACAGTCTACAGAACTGAAGAATTGAAGGTGAAAAAAAAAGGTTGACCACAATGCCAACATGACAATATACCCAAATCTGAAAGCTTTCTCAAAATTGTCTGAAAAATTGAGGCAAGGGGTAATGTTTTACTGAAACAACATTTGTAAAATTCATATATCATGTCAGCTCACATACTGCAGAAGTACATAAATAAAGTGGTAGGTTTGGTGTTCAGAGTTGCTAACTAAGAATTTCAGTAAACAGCAACTTTATCGCTTCACTTTAAGATCATCTCCTACAACAATGTAAAATAAGCTTAAACAATATATATAGCTTGTGAAACAGGACAGAGACACTGTGGGTAGTGACGGACAATGTTATTTATGGTTTCCTAAAACATTGTAAAATAAGCTTAAACAATATATATAGCTTGTGAAACAGGACAGAGACACTGTGGGTAGTGACGG